TTATTATTATTATTATTATTATTATTATTATTATTATTATTATTATTATTATTATTATTATTATTATTATTATTATTATTATTATTATTATTATTATTATTATTATTATTATTATTATTATTATTATTATTATTATTATTATTATTATTATTATTATTATTATTATTATTATTATTATTATTATTATTATTATTATTATTATTATTATTATTATTATTATTATTATTATTATTATTATTATTATTATTATTATTATTATTATTATTATTATTATTATTATTATTATTATTATTATTATTATTATTATTATTATTATTCATTATCATGGTATGCAGGATAAATTGAAGCTGCTCTTTGGGCAATGGGTACAAGGTCATGCCTTGCTGATCACTCATCTCCAATCACCTGAGCAGCCAACAAAACTATCCTAATGAGGGACTAATGGGAAATTAAAGACAGCCAGCCCCAAGCAAGGCCCCAAGCAGGGAACAATCTGTTTAAGCACTTGAAAGTGCTAGTGCTCTTTTGATTCATTATCATGGGAGCACAACATAGATGTGACACCTGTCAGGGTGTAAGGGTACCCCTTACTCACTCATCTATTCTGTTTACTTCCATTGCTAGGTTGTGGGCATAGTCTACCTTTTTCCATGTTCTTTCCTCACCATCATCACTAGAAACTGTATCCAGACAATTTCACTGATACAGAATGGTCTCAACAGTTTCTGAGTCATACTTCATTGGACTGGACCATCTGTGAGCGCCTATACTGTGGCTCATTTACAGGGTTCCCAAATTCCTTACAGTCTGCAGTTGTAAAGAGTTCAAATTTATCAGAGAACTCTCAAGTGCTTCTAAGTCATCTCATGGGCCTGAAGGCAAAGTCCAACTCTTGCTCAACTTACAGTTGCCTATGACCAATGCTTAGGACTCCCCCCCTCCAGAACCCCCCAATAATCCAGCTGACCCTGGTGACTTTGAATATCAACATACCCTTGCCTAGACAGCCATGATAATCTCTTGTCAATTGAGGGATTGACATTGAAGGGTGTTACTTACTTATGTTTTAGCAAGCAGACTGAAATCCCAAGAGGGGTGCAAGCCATAGATCAGCTGTTGTTCAAGGAGTGATGGGAGGCAGCTAACCTCCAACAGGCTGTGATGAACTTTCAGACCATGACACCCATCCACCACTATGCTTCTGATTGTGTGCACAGCCAGTATTCCAGAGCATGCAACCAGCTAATGATTGTTAAGAGAAACACAGATAGCCTTTGATGTGAAGGTGTCTGGCACCTTCATCATCAGTAGCCAGCTGAAAGAGGTTTGGGGTTTGAATGGAGAACATAGACATAGCATGGAGAAATGTGTACCTTGCTGTAGTGTTCCCCCGACCGAAGGAAGGAAGGGAAGCGACATCCCCAGCCACTCGTCATCCTTGACGCAACTTCAAGGCCAGATCCAGTAAGAGCGCTTTCACACGATACGAAAGCACTGTTGTGCCGTTTCAAAGCTCGCGCCACCCCCCAAGTTACTTTGGCTCCTGCATCTGACTTCTACGGATCTAACCATATGGGATAGTCGCACATTTCTGTAGGGAAAAGCTGAAACGCGCGAAAAATACAGGGGGCGTGGTCTTCTCGCTTCTCGCGAAGCCTACCAGTCCCTTGGGCGTTTGCTCCCGTGGCCGGGTGGATTTGTGCATGGCCACTTCCTGACTTTTTCCTCTCAAGTGGAAAGACACGACAGCATGGGCAACGTTAATCTTCATGTAAATATATCTATATTCATCCTGACCACTTGTATTAGGGTGCTAAGGCACAACAGAGGCGCGAGCGGGCCACGAAGGACGGCAAGTCATCAAAGGCCAGTCAGCTCAAGGTATGAAAACGCACCTGAATTCGGTCTCTTGGTACACCAACTTATGGGATTTCAACCAGACAAATACCGCGGCTCTCACTATTGTCTGCAGCGTCTGTCGACAGACATTTGTGAGTATGACCATCATGCTTCAGCTGATTTGTGCTGATGTACTATCTTAGCTTCAGACTACGAGGGCGCCAGCGTGAGTGCACAATAATAGTTTCGTAGGTGTATGGGGTTAACCAACACATGTGCGTGACAGTTTGGAGGAGCATGCGCAGAATAAGCACAGCAAGGTGAATTTCTGTTGCAAGTCTCAAAGTAAACACTAACGGTGTTGGTGGGACAGGGCCTTGCCGAGTGCTTCCCTATGTTTGGCAAATAAGATCCGGATTCGTCGGTCATTCCGCCCTTATCCGAAGATAGCTTACTCCACACACCACGCGATTTTAGACAAGTAATCTTAGCCGTGGATCACACAATAGATAGCTGATCTTGTCGTCCTTTGCTTTCTCAACTGCCACCTCAGGTTGATACGAACAATGTCACCTATTCCGACACTTACCGATCTTGAAGCTGCGCGTGCAAAAGTGGCCAATGAATTGAGTGTGGACGTACTCAAGGGTGTCGATTTACACAAGACTGAGCTGGCGCTTGCCAGAAACTTTACATGTAAGAAGAGATGACGATTACGGGTTTGACAATAAGATCTCATGGTCATTCTTAATAGCTGATACTATCACTTGTACGTTGTCAGCGATGGCCTTCTCACCTGAGCACTGACCTGGTCGAGATCCTACCGATGGAATGATTGCCTATGCTATGAAAGCTTCCCGCGGTTAGCCCACCATGGTCTCCCGCTGAGAAAACGATCCTCATATCAAGGACCAGGTGATGATGTATTCAAGGCAGATCAGTGCACCGTGGCCTTGGAGGCTCACATCGCCCAAATCACAGGCAAGGAGGCAGCTTTGTTCTGCGCCAGCGGAACTATGACGAATCAGCTCGCAATTCGTACTCATCTACTGTCGCCTCCACACTCGGTCTTGTGCGATGCCCGGGCCCATGTCCATCGAAATGAGGCGGGCGGAATTGCGCATCATTCACAGGCGACGACGCTCCCCGTCATGCCAGAGAATGGTGAATCAGGCAACGATCCATTGCCCCATCACGCTGACAGTCTTTCAGGGCATCATCTCACTGTCAAAGATGTCAAGGCAGCTGCCATCCTCAGCGAGGACGTTCATGTAAGCTGGGTTGAGATTGCACGTGACATGGCTTAATTGTGGAGCAGCTTGCCCCAACTCGTCTAATCTCCCTTGAGAATACCCTCAATGGTACCATTTTGCCTCAAGATGAGATCGTTGCCATCTCACAATATGCTCGCTCTTCTGGAATCAAGATGCATTTGGATGGCGCCCGGATATGGAATGTTGCTGCGGAGACTGGCGCGTCTTGTATGGCGGTTATCCCCGATTTCGTTCTGCACTCACTCCTCTTGCAGTGCACGAGCTGTGTGAGCCGTTCGACAGTGTTAGTCTCTGTCTGAGTAAGGGCATCGGAGCCCCGATTGGCTCTATGCTCGTTGGAAATCGTGAATTTATCTCAAGGGCCAGATGGTTCAGAAAGATGTTCGGCGGGGGTTGGCGGCAGGTACCCGATAATTCGATTGTTTCTCTTGCTTGGATCTCTTACTAACTTGTGATAGTCTGGTTATCTGGCCGCGGCAGCTGCTTACGCTCTCACACACAACTTCCCTCTCCTGTCAGGGACACATGCATTGGCAAGAAAGCTAGAAGCGGGGCTTCGTGATATTGGTGTCGGCATTTTATGTTCCGGGACAAATATGGTCTGCCCACAAAATTATTTGCTACAGCGAATCTAACATATCCTAGGTTTTTTTCGATGCTCGTTCCATCGGGGTGAACTATGATGAACTCGTCAAGAGGGCGCTTGCACTTCCAGAACCATTGTATCTCGGAGGGTCACGGCTTGTCATACATTATCAGACTTCGGAGAAGGCTGTTAACGACTTGCTTGACCTGATTCAAGTTATGGCCAATGAGAAGCGCGCTGAAGGTTTCGTACCCGGTGTGCTAGAGCAACAGCCAGCCGATGCGTATTACCCGAAGATGAAGGAAGTGTTCATTCGGAGCGGCACCAAGGCAGTGGCGTAAATCGAGTATGGAGGCAGCATGGTCGCGACATTGCACTTAGGTAATAGAGCAGTAAACAATGGTATAAGTAAAGATGAATGAGTCAGCTAACCCCTTCCAACATACTTCTGTCTGTCGTACTCTTGCCACATGGCCTTGAACAAAGCTTTAGCAGGAGTTTTCCTGAGAGACAGCATAAGAGAGTCTCGATCTGGATCATTAATCATACTGCATAGAGCGAAAATGCCAGGTTGTAGCGCTCTTCGCATGTCACCACTGATTGTGGTGAAGGGGTCTGTAACCATATCGATGTATTTCTTCAGCAAGTAGGGAGCATGCCGCGCAAAGGGCTTAGCCAATGATTCCAGTTTTGATTCTGCCACGCGATACCCTTGGGCGGGCCTTCTGACGACCACCGTACAGAGGAGTCGTCCTAGTTCGGCGGCGTGTTCTGCTCCAAGAGGATCATCTGATGCGACCCACCAAGGTTGACTGTTCGCGACAAGGTGGCTCTGATGTACGCCTAGGAAAGGCCGACTTGTGCGTAAGGTGAGCAGTAAGGCGGCCAATGTGTGAGCTAGGAGAGGAAGGCTGTTGACAATTAGGGATCGATGGGTGCGTATTATGGTTGTGAGAAGCATGACGATATGCGAGAAGACTCTGGGTGTCGCGGAGTGGGAATTAGCTGGTCGTAGGCAAGCACCGAGGACAGTCCAGATGTGTCCTATGCTGATGACGCTCAGGGACGACTGTACACAGTGGTGAGTCTGTTGCATTCATGCAATATAAGTAAGGCTCACGGTGGTTTTACTCAGGGTTATCAAGAAGTCTAGCAGATGGGTGATAGAATCAACTGAGGATCCTATATTAGCTTGAAGGCACAATATTTCAAGCACCATGTCGGTTAATGGATGGTTATCCTGTCCTACGAAGCTGCTTAGCCTGGATGTGCATAATGACAGAAAAGACTGTACCAGAAGGGATGCGCTCTAGCAATATCGCTACGCTTCGTAAGTCTGCCGCCGCTTCATGCACTGTAAACTGGAGCGTCCGCCAATTGCGTAGTATGTTTTGGACCAGTGCGATACGTTTCTGAACAGTCAAGATCGCACACGCAGCAGCAAACTCATTGTCCGCCTCCTCACTGCATAATCCTGAGTAGACCTGTCAGTAACCGAAAGGTGCGCTGCAAACAGACCCACGCTTCCCAGTCATCGCTGAGTACTTTCTGCAAATGATGTTAACCTGAGCATCACATTCCTCACGATGACAGAGCTTCCATCCCTGCACAATTACCCTGAAAGTGCGGGCACAGAGGGCGCGATATACGGCTGATACATCAGCGGGCTGTGAGCAGTCCAAAACTTTCCTCAGGGTAGAAGCCGCCATCGCAGATAAAGTCACCCCGTGTACTGGGCAGTGTCAGCCGGGGCAATTGGATGACGATAAATTCTCACATGGGAGGCCCGCCCATTCTCGAAATGCGGAGGCACTCGACCAGGCCTTGACTAGTGACAAACAAGCTCGAGGTTGGCATGCCGGCCCTAGATCCACTACGGATAAGGGCGCGTTCGTGCATACATGCTCGGACAGGGCATTCAACTCATGTTGTACATCTATGGGAAGCCTATATGCACTCAGTGCCAAGTTCACAGGATAAGACAAGAGTGCGCACTCAATCGAGGTAGACACCAATTGGCAAATGAGATCAAAGAAAGCAGATAAGCAGGTATACAATATCTCAAGAAGTGAAGACGGTGCATGGGTGGGGATGAATGACCTCACAGTGAGATCATGGTACGTCGTCACCAGTACTTTCAGCTGTTTTGACGGCAAATGAAGGTTCGAGACGAGTTGCCTGTGTCCAAATTAGCAAGGCCGAGGGAAGAACGAAGCTTGAAGAGCTCACCGTTGCATCGTGATAATGACCCGAACGGTCGCCTCAATGAGCAATATACAACCACTGCAGGAGGCACTCTGGAGCAATATTTCTCTGAGCACAAAATCTAAGGGCTTGGAGAAAGATATCAGGAGGCTTCTAAGAGGGATAATAGGAGGCGCATACAATTTCACATCGAGGTAGTTCGGCAAGGACACTTGCTGATAATCCTCGAATTTTGGCCACTCGCAACAGGTTCCGCTGATCGTTCGGTTTGCTGCAGATCAGGAGTAGATCCACGACTATCAACGCCCTGGACAGCCACTGGAGGTCCGCTTTGTTGAAATATGCGGGAGGCGCAAGACTCAGAACGTCAAGAATGGATAAGACTGGATGGAGAGGTAGTGATGCCGCGAGAACTGATGTGGAATTTGTTCCCAAGGACTGGATGTCCAGGGCTAGCAGCGGTTCGCAATGTTGGTGGGCGTGTAAAAGGAACCCATCTTCAAGACGTACATTAGAATAACATATGGTTATGAACGGATAATTTTAACGAACGTCTCAGGCGTCGCAGCTCCCAAAAGCTTGCCGCGGAAAGCAAACTGGGTTGAAGGTTGCTTAGGCCGGACGACGGTTCACTGATCAATTGCGCTGTACGACGAATTTGGACCACCGTTCCGACAGCGCTGCAGAATCGTCAGCGACGCCCACGCAAGGAACAATAGCGCTGACTCTATTAGGGCAAAGGTATCAAAAATACAGCCATGCCAATATGGGTTATTAGAAGCCAAGGTTGTGTTTGCCGGATACACTACATTTCGTGCACATTGAGACATCCTTTGGAGGAAAGCGTCAATAACTTCTCGTGACCGGCTTTCCGCCTCGGAAGGACTCTTCTGCAGGATGTAGACTGCGAGTCGGAACTGTCATTTGAACCGATGGTCAGAAAATGATGATTATGAAGGGCGCATACTCACACTTTCTGTCCATAGCTCTTCTGAATAGACATTGGAAGAAAGATGTTTCATAATTTGAGACCAGATGTTGCTGGCCGACAATCCAGAGACAATTGAACCCGTCGGATCCTCAGAGAATCCGATACAAACTACTCTCAGCAGACCTGAGAGCAGAACATCATCAGCGGCTGCCGCTAGCGTAGGGCTTTCTGATGGAGAAACCTTCTCCAGTACATCAAAGGCTCTTCTGACAAGTGACTCGCACTGCTCGAGGGTGGCCTGTGGAGTCTGTTGTGTCGTACTCCAACCCAGCAGTATCCTGTACAAGAGCACACAGTAACGCGACAGGAGCGAGAGTCCGGTGCTGGGAAGCGGTACATGTTTCTCTTGTTTCCTCTGTGCGCTGCCTTTCTGCCGTTTCCCTGGATGCGGTTGATCGGTGATCGTGTGCACATAGTCTTCTTGCAAAGGTTGAAACAGGGCCTCGTTTATGTGTTGATAGACGCTCGACGCTTGCCCCGGCGTAAGGTAGTTTATCATTGCAGAGCTCAACCTCAGCTCCCATCGAGGCGAGAAAAGCGGACCCGTGAAGTAAAGTAGACAGATATCGTCGTCGGATGTAGCGCAGTGTTCATTGACAGCCGACAGCGCATTGCAGATTTTTATGAGGATGACATGGACAGATCGAGTCTGGGAATAAAACCCTAGAATACGCTCCAAAACACTCTCGAAAGCTGCATCAAGGTCGGATCCCATCTACGAATGAGAGTTAAGGCTGTATACCCGTTGACAGGAAACAGTGGCCTACGTGGATGCAAGATAATAGGACGCAATCAATATGATCGTCGACAAGAGAAAGATTCATTTCAAATGCCAGATCAATTATATGGAGTGCCTCGAGACAACCGACACGGTGTTCTGTCCGGCCATGATTCTGGAGCAGTACGATTGCTGTCTGGACCTGTTTGGTGATCGTGGCGATCCAATGGGTGTTGTTCACATCGGATAATCGTTCGCTCAGAGCAATTTGAAGTATATGTTGTCGGGCTGCCCAAGCATCCTTTGAATTTCGCGACAGAAGAAGGTATAAAATATAGTCGACTAATGGGCCTGCGGTTTGGCGGAGTGTGACTACAGTGCTGTCATGTGAGACAGATGAAGAAGGTATCACGGAGGGGGTTTGTCGCATGGATTTGATAAACCATTTGAGTAAAAGGGGGAGAAGACAAAGACCAGCCTGATGTGGACGTTCGTTTAGAAGGACGTTGATGGCCATTTGCCAGGTATCCAGGTTGTCGGTCCATATGCGTAACGTCTCAGTGCTGAAAAGGATGCAACAACCAACATCTACAAGAGCGCCATTGCACATATGAATGATAGAGAGCTCATCTTGGGCTAGGGAGATTGCCATAGCCCAGTCGGAGAGACAACCATCCAAAAAGGAAGTCAAAATACGTTTCTTGCTTGAGACGGTTTCGAAGCCTCTCTGGAGGGCATGGAGAACCAATAGCGCCAGTCGAGAAAATGACGATTCATCTTGAAGAAAAGGTGGGCCAACGGAAGTGGTGGGCTGTAGGCTGCCTGTGGAAAGACATCGGAGAAGTGCGGAAAAGCATTCGAGAAGGGCATCCGGATTTGCCTTGGTTGCACATGCAGGTCCAACAGTCTCAAACACTAGGGCAAGAGAACAAATAAGATTCTCCGATAATGTTTGAGAATCATGTAGACAAGTGAAGACGCGTGAGAATATCGGCAGCACGGGTATCCGAACAAGAACAGATGGTAGCCAAGGTTTCTCGCAAGGGGAGCCGCAGGTGGAAGCGAGCAAGTGCCAATAACGAGAATCCAACAGAGTGCTAATAGAGCCATCAATGGGAGAGCAGGAAAAACTAGTCGCTAGCATCACCTGGCCTTGCCTCTTTCTTTTAACAAAGAAGTGAATATCCATTCTGTTAAAAGCTCAGCTTTGCCAGGTATGTAGAGATCGACCGTCGACCACGCGAGGTTCGCTAATTCGATCTTGCAAATCTTCGAAGGCGTAGGTGGATCATGAGATGACTTCAAGGCTCGAATGAAAGCCTCTGACGAACTGAGAGCGTCAATCGAAGCTGTCATCTTGCTAATCCTCCAAGAGCGCCGTCCTGCCTTCTTCTCTCTAAGATTATGCTGGACCCTGAGAAGCAAAATCATAGCAGGCTTACTTCATCACATTTTATCCATGTGCTTGTTTGTAGTGATACACTCGCTGAATTCTCTACCACCATGTCACTCCTAGAAGAATGTGCAATTCTTAGAGCTGATGAATGGGAAGCGTTTAAGGTTCGTAATTATTTTCAGAATATGCGGGACAACCCTACATGGTGTTTAGTCTATTTACCCGGACAGTGCGACTCGCTGGGAACCATGCCCCGAAGGTACCAAAGTACACCTCGAGCTACCCGTAGAATTGGGTCAAGACCATGATTTACAGATCAATAATTTGATGCATCCAGAAACCATCCATGACATGTCTCTCCAGATGGACCATACATCAGTTGCGATTCGCTTGACCTACCTCCCACCCTTACTGCTGACTTTCTGCTTGCCACCGCTGTATCCCGTGGAGGCAGGACCGAGCCAATTATCTCTACATGCGATGCATTCCTGGATATTCCCTTCAGCGCAGCTGCTCATCAAGGAAGCATTGGCGAGCAGGTGGGACGCGACTTTGGGAGAAGGCGTTTTGTGGGGCTGGGCAGAATGGATACGGAGCGGTGAATTCTTGGATACGATCAGACTAAGAGAAGGGCATATCATCAAGTCCGTGTTGCACACTGGTTGAAAACTCTTTTTTTGAACTGACATGTCGTAAAGACTCTCGCACCCAGCGCCAGAGTTGCTCGCACCTACCCTACAAAAGCATAACTCGATGTTACGAAATTCCGAGTTCACGCATGGCACGTATCTATGTGCAATATGTATGAATACTCAGAAAGGCACACAGTGTCTGCGCTTGGCACGCTGCGGCCACGTCTTTTGTCGGTCCTGCCTGAAGGACTTTTGGGGTTTGATGATCGTGGAGGGCGACGTAAGTCGAGTTACGTGCGCAGATCCAGACTGTGTCAAAAAGCATATGGAAGTCGATGAAGAGGATGTACGGCGTACATGCGGAGAGGATGCAACAGAGCGATGGAAGTGGTTGAGGGAAAAAAAGGAACTGGAGAAGGGTAGGTTGTCACTACGGGCATATCGTGGGTCCGGCATTGATGGCTATCGGCAGATCCAACCATCGTGTTTTGTCCCTTACAAGTATGCCAAGCGCCAGTGCGCAAGCCGAAAGTGGAGGAGCTCCCCTCTGACCAGGAGAATCGCTGGGAGGCGCTAAGGACCTGTTCTCATTGTGGATTATCTTTCTGCGTCTATTGTCGACGGACATGGCATGGCATACTCACGCGATGCGTATTTTCGCAAGCCCAAGCGTTCGTGCCAGAGTATCGGAAGGCTTCCAAAGGTTCGCATGCAAGGAGGGCCATAGAACAAAGATATGGGAGAGGTACATATATCTACTATGGTCATTTTCTGCGCCCCTCAAGCCGCATACAGCGAATGTCCTTCGTCTTATTGCGCAACAGGAGGAAGACGAGAAGAACAAAGAATGGCTGAAGCAGAGCACTATGCCCTGCCCAGGCTGCCAAGTATATGTGGAGAAGAGCTTTGGGTGCAACCATGTGCGTTCATCCTTATGCACGCGTCTAAACACAAATGCTCAGTGTGATAACAGATGACATGCGTGAAGTGTGGTTGTCATTACTGCTTCAGTTGTGGGAATAAGGTAAATGCAAAGGATCCGTATGCACATTTCAACGGTGGACGAAGTAAATGCATGTTGTTTGATGCGAAGGAACTTCGAGAGGACGTGCCGTGGGATCCCGTACTAGAAGAGCACCAAATCATGCCTGAGGGCCCTGCGGCCCAGTTCTTTGGCGAGCCTAATTGGAGACGATGGCAAGAGTAGGGTCTGATTGTTTGTTTATTTGTTATAACAATATACAGAATCGGAAGTGCAGATTGACCAGGCACGGGACGGGCGACATCGGAGTGGTGAGACAACGGATGGAAGTAAAAGTGGCCGGCGGCGGCACAAGGAAGTAGCCACATGGACCACATGGTCAGCTTCCGTCCGGGTCGGCTGACCTAACACCCGACCGTTGGACAGCGGCAAGTTCTGCTCATCGTGTCAGAGCCGCGCGCACAACGCGGAACGTGGGACGACGGCCAGCAGGTCACACAATATGTGAATTTCTTTTAAGTGCACAGTCTCACCGTTTACCCGCGCTCTTTCTATTGGGTACAATTGAAACGGATTGTCTCTCACTCTTAGTGTCGTCTGCTCTCGAATCACCCTTGTTTCTCTTAATTTTCGCCCAATTGAGCGCTCTCCAGTCCCCCGTCGGCCTTGTCGCGCAAAAAAAGCGTACTTGGTTCCGTGCTCCCGGAGCGTGATCTCACACCTGCCGCTCTGAACCTTATTATATACGCTATTAGTACTTTGCTCCCATTCTCAGCTTTCGATTCCGAGAACCCACCGTCTGACTCTTGCTTCCCGCGACGACGACGACGGAGCCGCCCCTTCCTCCTTCCCTCCTCCTCCTCCTTTCCTCTCATCTTATCCTTACCCTACCTTCCTCGAACCACACGCATTTGTTACCCCAACCCACATAGCCCATACCCCCTCCGGGCCACACAATTCGGGCAGTTCTTGCCTTCCTCGCCACCCTTCTTCAACCCCATCTTCTTCAGCAAGCGCCTGCGCCTGCAGTCCCGAAGGCTATCTATTAATCCTATCCACCACAGTTTCAACACATATTAAAAAGCCAACCTGTGCTTCAACATCACCTCGTTGGAATTCCATCTATGGATCTGTATACGACTTCGTTCACCTATCCCCGTCATTCCCCAACGTTCTCTCCGACGTATCTGGATGCCAACGTCCCCCCCGCAGCCAATCTACCCATTCCACAAAGCCATGTACGATCGCAGTCGGTAGAGGCCTATCCAGCTGGCCCTCAGATCGCGCAAGCCCCTGCTCAAGGCCAGCCGCCTCAGCAAGCCACGCAGGCTGGAGTGCCATCTCAGCAGACTCACCAAACTTCGCCTCGTTCATCGCTCGAGGTCGGTGTCGATGCAGTACAACGTGTCGCAATGGACGCAATGGCAGCTCACGGATGTCTCGTCACCTTTACCAAAGCCGATCCTGGAAAAGGCTGGAATTTCCATCTCAGTGGTGGTTACCAACAAGTAATGGCGTCTAGAGGAATGATTATCCGCGAGGCTCCTCTCAATGCACGCTTTTGTTTCCTACATGCTCACCGTATCTGACACTTCTTTTAGACTCGTTCCGCTATCCGCGTCCCTCGCTCCGAGTTGCTGGATTCAACAGCCTCCCTATCTTTGAAGCCGGACGTGCGCCGTCGGCTCGACGAGATTACTGCAGTCACCCAAGCCCACATTTCTGTTGTGCATTCACAACCGTCTACTGGGCCAGGCGCTGTCTCCGATGTTTCTGGTGGTGCAACGACGTGGAGTGGTTTGGAGACAGAAAAGACTTGTGATATCGTGATGGTCGGCCCGGAGGAGAGCGTGGATATGGCCAGGGTACGCATCCTCGTGATGCTCGATGAAATCAGTGGTCTGCATGCGGAATCGTGTGAGATCGACTACAAGCTGCATGCCATCATCGCCGGCAGGAAGAGGGCTGTCATCCAATCGATTCAGGAAGAGACGGCAACAAACATTTACTTCCCCACGCCTTACAGTGGTGTAGTTGGCTCTCGTGCAGCTTCTCAGGCTTTTGCTCAGGTGCAAATGGGGCCACACGGCATCCCTGTTCAGCAGTCGCCTATGACGCCTGCGCGAGTAAATCGGAATGTCATCTGGATTACTGGTGAATTCTTCGGTGTCCAGCGCGCTCGTGACATGCTGTTCCAAGTGTCAATGCACAAAGTCCGGGTGAGTGACCACCTTCCGTCGCTAGTTAGCATGCTCATACTGCTAGATGAAGTCTGTCATTTCTCGCGATACTGCCATGTTGCCCCGAAAGCTTGATTGGATGCTGACCGAGCGTATGGACGACCTGAAACAGATCATGAGCGACAACGGCGCCTTCATCAACTTTCCGCCGGTCGGGTCTCAGGCCAGCTTAATCAGTGTATACGGCGATAACCGTGTTTGCATCCAGCGCACGATCCGCAGTGTGATGCAGTTGGTGCGTGAATTCCGGGTGTTGGATGGAACCCCCTCTTATGCCCTCCCAGGCTTGCCAGTTCTACATCGCTTCTTTCTGGCTGCTGCCAATGACCTTCGATGCCATGGTTCCCTCGCAATCCATCAACCCCGCTCAAATGCCGGCAGTGTTGAAGCGTATTTCCAACCAATCTGGTGCTGAAATCGTTTTCAAGAGTAATTGTTTCGAGATGCACGGGTTGGAACACGAGGTTCGCGCGGCTGTGCAGATTGTGCTTGAGCTAGATATTGTCCGGGTAAGTGATTGTCGTTCCTTTTATCATCCGTTGCTCATGTTATCCCAGAATTTCCACCATGAGATTAGGTTCCAGATCGAACTTGCCAATGATCAACGCGAGTTCATCAGCGGCAAGAAGAACGGAAAAATCAACAAAATCATGAAGATGGCTAATGTGAAGATCAAGTTCGAGACTTTCAATGATCACAACTTTTTGATCGATGTGGCTGGCTCTGATCAAGGTGCTTTGCAAGGGTTAACCATGCTTCAGGAAGAACTTCCCGCGGAGATCTCGTTCCATGTACCTGAGGTCTACCACAAACGGATTATCGGCGTAGGCGGCAAGAACATTCAGAAGATCATGAAGAAATACGGTGTATACGTCAAGTTCTCGAATGCTGAGGAGTTTGCCCAGTTGGGTGGATATATGGACAACGAGGATAATGTGGTGGCTCGGACTCCTGCTAAGAATGCGAGTAACCTCGAAAATCTGAAGGCTTCGGTGATGGAACTCGTGAACCCGAAGGTGGGGTGTTTCACTGTTTCGCTCCATGTATTGCTTATTCTTGGACAGGACAAGGATTATACAACAGAGACTGTTTCAATCCCACGACGATACCACCGCACTCTGCTGGGCGACAAAGCCATTTTTATACACGATATCGAACAGAAGACCAATTCCCTCGTTCGCTTCCCCGATAAGGAGACTGCTTCTGATATCGTAAGCATCTTTGGCCCAGAGAGCCAGGTGCACATTGCTGCTGCTATGCTCTTGGTCAGTCAATTCGCTACAAAGTGAACCTAGCGAAGCTGACAAGAGACCCCAGGAGCATGTTCCTTTTGAGGCGGACTTTTATGTACCTCCCTCCTCTCAGCTCGAGAATGTCGCTGTCTCTGCTGATTTCCTCGCCTTCACCGAACGTGTGAAACGAGACTTGCACATTGCTATTTTCCCGCCTGCCAAACCTGGTTCGGGAGATGAAGTCTCGTTCAAATTCCGCTGCCAGAGGTCTAATGTGGACTTCTTGCCTGCTGCCAGGGAGGCCCTAGAAGCCTTCTTGGTATCCAGGCATGTTGGTGTGTTCCAAGCTGATCCTGCTCAGCAGGTGGGCCGAGGAGACTCGTTCGCCGATGCATTCGCCCATTTCGACAGCAAGCTGCTTGCTACACCGAATACCAACGGTGCGTCCGAATCCATTTTCTTTCATTGTAGCAAGATGCTCATCATTCTTTCAGAGGGCGACATCAGTCGTCCGCAAGAAGGATTCGCTGACCGACGTCTGCGTTTGGCCGCCTCCACTCCCGATGTTAAAGCGCTCTTCAACCAAACGAACTTTGTGTACAATATCCCGGAGAACGAAAGCTATCCGGCACCAGGTTACCAGCCTCCGACGCACTTTGGATCTGACGCCCATCTGCCACCCCCTGTGGGTAATGAGTATTGGCAGGCAATGCCTTCTTTGATGGGAGTGAATCCTGGCCTTCACCGTCGCTTCGGCTCCATCGACACGCCGCATGCTGGCATAGCTCAGACTATGCGCACGGGAGATGATGTCGTAAAGCGAGGGTCCGACTCGTTGCTTGAGGCCAAACTGAAAGACTACGTCAATAAGCCTCGCTCCTTGAGCAATCGCGCGCAAAGCTTGGACATGAGTTCGTTGGCTTCTATCTCGAGGTCCGGCTCTACGACCACTGTACGTGCTGCCTCGCCTTCAGGCTCTATAACCAACTCCACCCCGCCTTCGGCTTCCACCCCGTACTTCCCCTCCGTAACCCCCACTGCCCCCGGCGCGCAGCTCGTTCGCTCGGTGCCTCGTGCTCCTGTGGGCGTCGACGATGTCACGAAGGCTCTTGGCCAGGCCCAACTGGATCCGAGGAGGTCTTGAAGAGACTTGCAAAGCCACCGATACCGCTGTTGGCAGCAACAATGAGCATGAGTTCCAGCGACTCGTTCTGTGAACGAAAGCCGGGGGATCCAGTGCGCATTGGTGCTGTCTGCCAAACATTGGTGATACCATACCAAATTGCATTCATGCTTGCATTATCTTCTTTCTATTCCGTTTCATTTCCTCCATTGGAACCAACGATCCTGAACATTCTTCTTTGCTTGACGCGCGTGACTGCACGGTGATACAACAACGCACCTTCAAACGTGCCCCCCCCTCTCCTTGTTTCGTTTTCACTTTCTCAGCTCTTCCAATGCTCATGTCATTTCTCGCAACTCTATGTAGTAGTACAAGGCTTTAGGTGATCCGCCCAGCGCGGTGTTCTCCTGTACACATACGCATTTAGCAGATCCCAGCCGGTCTCCTCGTCTGCATTAGAAATGATATATATTTGAGCGCAGAGTACCTCGACCCGTCACCGCTCAAGGACCAACCCCTACAAAACCGATGGGACTTCAAACAGGACAAAATCGTAGAATTCCTGTTCCATCAAGCTCTGATATTCACCCGTGTATTCATCCGTGCCGCTAGCTTTCTTGCTCTTCTTCCCTGCACGCTGTTTGTTGAGATAAGTGAAATGTGAAGTGAGGACGGTTATTAAACGCTTCGAGGGTCTGGGGTCAGGCTATTGTTCCGTTAATAATTAATAGATGGTCGGGCTTAAAGCAACTTGCCTTGATTACTAGTCCGATATAGTTCGCAGGTAGTCCATATCGTAACACGCTCTCCACAAACAATCTCAGAATTTTCAGGTGCACAAGTACCTGGAAAGCCTCGGAGAAATTCGTTCTCGATAGCCGCAGCAAGTCAGTCCACATCTCCTTCTCCGCAAGGCTCAGATCCTGTTGCTCTTGTCGTTGCTTTATTATTGATTCTTCATCAAAAGTGAATTCGCGAACGATGAACTTGCTTTCGCGGCACTTTTGAACAAACTGATCGTGTTGACGTTTGAACACGACAACGGAGTATAGTGTAAATTCGCTGTCCGTCGCTACCTCTAAGGATGATCTGGGCACGACCATAGATGCGAGTCGCTCGTACTTCGCTTGCCACTCTTTCGTCAACGGGCTGCGCAAACATGTGAACATCCCGAGTAACAGACCATGTTACAGTGGGGAACGCGCCTTGGTACAGCAACGAGCAGAGTCTCCAGGTACTCAGAGTCTTGGACCATTACTTCTCTAGGCACGACATCGACTAGTGACTTCACCGAAAGGTTTCCCCTGATGGTGTGTATGTTATTCGACAGCTTCTACTCATGGCGAAGTTAAATACTTACGCCTTCTTCCGTTGCATCTGAGCTAGCGAACCCTTCGCAAGGTTGTAATTGTTCACCTTGCTTTTCATGACATTGTCTATTGATGTCATTTCCTGAACAATTGCTCAGCATGGCAATTATGCGAAATTCGTGATATACCTTATTCAACCCATCCACGAGTTCTCGTAGTCCCCTTTGGGTCCCATATTTCCCAACATTCCACTTCCATCCCTTCATCAGATAATCGTCACATGTCTTCTCCTCCACCAGGGTATGCTGAGCGAGCTTTTGGGGATCGTTGTTCAGGAGGTTTCGCAACGTATCGACGATCTTCGCAACGGCACCAGTAAAGAAAGCATCAAATTTGGGGAGCTCTTCGGAAAGAGAGATGAGAAGGTCAAGTGTACCCGTCTAGGGAACGGTCATGAGCGCGCAAGCATCACCGCATGGTTGGACGGAGCACTACCTTGAGAGTGGGGATGTGCAGCTCCACGACATTGCTGGTGGGCAACGCCTTCGCCTGTTCTAACTTTGCTGAAATCTCTTGGTACAAACCTTCAGAGTCGCCATCCTGCGGTACTGCGATGAGCCAGGTACTTAGATCTGATGGCATGTTAGAACAAAAGTCAATGCAGAGACTGGCGACCAGCCGCAAGTATGACGATGATGCCGGAAGCGAATCATGCTTGGATGGACCCTGTAAAGGTATCGGAAGCGCTTACAACTTGGTAGATAATGCATTACAGGATCCAAGGAAATCGTTATTTCTTCTCTATCCGTCGCCAGCATGTATTGGCTTCTGACCGCTCCGGTCCGGCGCACTGTAGTCTGTTCTCGCAATGCGGTTGGTATGATTAACTCTCGCTGGTTCGTGACGACAGTCTCAGCAGGACGCTTCATGTCTTCCCCCGCCCGAGAGTCACTGCTTATCAACCCGGAGGAAGTGGGCACTTGGGCACTAGGCTCCTACGTTCCTGTGGATGCTAGTTGGTTCATGCATGCTGCTATCCGGCGTCCGAAAGAGGAATTCGAAGTGAAACGGCTTCCTAATGCTCGGTTCTTTGACCTAGACAAGGTGCGGTTGTCTTCCTGCTTTACTGCTGTAGAAAACGCTGAACATTATCCAGGTGGCATCCCAGCATCCTCTTGGACTTCCACACATGATGCCGGATAATCATACGTTTGCTGATGCTTTAGGTTCGCTGCCGAGACTCTCGTTTGACGCGACACTGATCCGCCTGGCTATAGAATCGCTCGGCATTGATAGAGGAACGACCGTTGTTTTGTATGATCTACAGTTCATTGCATCGTGCCGTGTTGTCTCCAATTTCAGACAGGTATGACACTCATGGGGTATTTTCTTCACCGCGCGCTCTCTTCACCTTCAAGGTCCGCCCTGTTCCCGGGCCCCAAGATCTAGACTGAGCAGTGTACAGGCGTTTGGGCACCCTGGAGCGCTTGTCCTCAATGGAGGACTGCCTGCATGGGAAGAACAGGGATTGCCTGTGGAAACGGAACCACCCAGTGCACCTTGGGTATGGGCAGCAGCAGAACCCACCCGCAAGAGTTGACAACTTCGTCAGAAATCATCGTATAAGCCCGTACCCCAATTGGATGCATCCGTTATCAGGAGTGAGAGCTCCGCTGGGGCTTCGTCGTACGATCACTAAGCGATTGGCATAGGTTATGAGCAGATGGTTGACAACTCCCAGTATGAGCGGGATAGTAAAGCAAGCGAGCTAGTGCTGGATGCCCGAGCCCATCCTCGGTCCGTCGTCCTTCCGTCTTATATCTTCATCTAACACTTGGCAGATATACGGGCGAAACGCCTGAGCCCCGCGATATTCCTTCTGGACACATACCCAACTCCTTCTCCCTTCCGTTCAGTACCCTGCTGGAACAACATGATAAGGGTGATCGCTCATACACGACCATGCTTTCACCCGAAAAACTAGAGCAGGCGATCCGGGATGTTCTTGGCCCGAGTGCGGATGCCGTGCTGGCGGGACAGCGACCCATTGTCACGACTTGTGGGAGTGGGATGACTGCCGCTATCATTTGGCTGGCCCTGCAGGAGCTCGGGATCGATGCGTCGGTGTATGACGAGGTGCGTGGTCCGTGGATGCATTTGCAGTGCTGTTTGTGACAAAGATATTGTTTTTCAGTCGTGGATGGGATATGCGGCGCGCAAGAGCAGCAAGATTGCCACGGGGGATGAATGATGTGCGCTAAAAACTCGGCTCATTTATTGAAAGTTAATGCGCACGGGATTATCCGCGATAAACAAACAAACCATATTACGGAATGAAATTTTTGGAAGAAAATATAATGCTACATGTGTCGTTGAATGCTACTCGGGATACAGCGTGTTGTGAAAAAGATAACTATAAATTACAGATCCATGTTCCAAGCCCTCCAAGAAAGCCAGACACCCCTGAATGAAAGAGAAAATCCCCTCATTGCTCATTTTGATGGCAAGTAGGTTAAGAACGGCGGTTCCTTGGCGCTGCTCAAGCATTCTGACTGTGCAGGTCGCGCACGATACACGACCTCCAAACGAAAATCGTTTTCTCCTCGTCGAAGGGAAGTGACTGACCACCCCTCACGTATGAAGACGTTCCAACCCATCTCTTTGGCTGTTTTTATCATCTGTCCGCGGGCATGCCGGAGGGCCTACGTGATAGAACGTCAGTTACCGCAGAGCTACAAGCGGGTAAATATGCACCTTCCGCTGCTGGAAGCCACCCTTCATATCAAACGTGTAACGGCCGACGATCTCGTGCCCGGTATGAATGTCATCGAATACTGCAATTGTGATGAGTCAAAATAACCTTCCTGGGAGAGGTACAAAGGCTTACCAGCATCTTCGTCGATGGTCCACACTGGACGAACCTCGGCACGATCGACAATTGACCAGGTGTCGTCGTTTCCAAAGCGATGCATGATGTATCAACGTGGGCTTGCGGGAAGGCAAGAGGCGGGAGGAAGGTGGGTGCTGCGCAGGTAAACAAGCCAGAATATGTGCAAGCGCGGAAGTTAAGGGGGATTCAGGAGACGAGTCTTTGTCGACAGTGAGTTATGTATGTAACCGGGTGAGGCAGGGGCAAGCAGACGAGCTGAGAGTGGGTCCTGCTGAGATGTACAGTTGCTGTCATCATGGCCGTGGGTTATATACCTACCTTCTTGGGTAAGCGCGGCGCTGATGCAGCGCTGCGGCGGAGAAGAGGCGCACGGTGCCTGCTAAAGGACTTCGAAGGGGCGGGATGCTTGACCGCTGAGGTAACAATCTCTGCGCAGATGTCCCGCGCAGAGGCATAAAGAATCAGAACATCAGGAGCACGAGTTCCCCATGTTCTGTCCCAAGGGTGGGATCTGTAGCAAGGCTGATGTCGAGATGCTGACGCATCGCCTTCTAGAAAGCATAAACTGCCAAAAGTACTGCGCCGGGGATGACAAGGCGCTGTTGCGTGAAGATTGATACCGGAAAGGGACACGCGCACCAGCGGCGGACGGGATGAGACACGATGAGGACAAATCAATCCGCTAGCACCGGGAGCGAGGTAGCACCGCGGCTCCGATACCGATAACAGGAGCGCCGGTCCGCCTCACATCCCGCCTCCTTCCTTGCTGCGAGAGAGCAAAAGGCTGGGCATGGCCACGCCTCGGAGCTGCGCGGTTCACACGCTCACAGCCACCGTCCCGCATGCCACTTTGGCTGTCGGAGCCGAAAGAAACCAATCTTTGACCGCAAAGTGGTTACATCAACTGTTACAGGTCCCATAATCTTGGGGTGAAAGCGGTAATGTACAAATCATTAGCATACTTCAGAAGCCGTGCATAAAGGGAGAGAATGGAAGCGCACAGTGCGTCCAATACTTGGTACTAGCTAGTGCGTCGGGACTTCATGTGTCCATCCATCCGCCGGCGTCGAGCTTGTACGTCGCCTCCGTTTCTGGCATATCCGGACTGTCGACGACCTTTGCAACACGCTCCTCACCTTTACCTACATGAAGGGAAACTATCAGCTTCATTGTCAGAACAAGATGAAAATTCAAACTGGCCCTTGCGTAGGAAGATTCTCGTGGTAGACGCGTGCGAAAGGACGTGTCCACCAATTGGCTTAAGAATAGGGACGAACGACATCACCGCACCAGGATCAGCTATGATGTGATCAGTAAAATGAATTGCTCTTCCGAAGGGATTCCAGGTAACTCACACTGCACTTGATTGGTGAGCAGAATAGCAATCTAGTGTGGTCGTGAGAGAGGAGTTCTGTTATACTGAATCTTCTTACGTTGAATTCTTCGGCAAGTTTCACAAGACGGGAAAGCATCTGACAGCATTTAGAGTTGAGAACAGTGCTCATTTGGTCTAACCGACCTGGCCCAGCTGCAAACTTCTCAGTAGAGCACTCTGCAACGATGACAGGTGACAAACCTTCTGCTGACGTTCACTCAATTCTCCACGACCAGAGTAGTCAGTTCTACCGGATATCAGCATAATAATGCGATACAGAGTGAGAGTTACCTACCTGAATAAGGCAAGAATGCTATCGATAATCTGTGTACGGAATATTTAGTGAACGCAAGAAAATTCACCAACAGACCCTCTCACCAGCAAGCGATATATCTTCTCCTCGGTAAAGCGGCATGCTAGGTCTTGAATGAGTTCCATCTGAAGAACGATCAGACATTGAGGGAGTTATGAATGAGTTCCCTAACCTGGTGTTCACTATTGTATGCACGAGCTGCAAAACGTTAAGAACACCATCAGACCTTCCTCCGCAGTGAATGACTGCTGCGGCATACCATAAAGGATGTTATCCTGCACTCCGCCTGGATCTAGCCCAAATCTGTTGGCTATAGCTTTAACACGTTGGGGACGGAACGTTCCTTGCAAAAACTCAGTATCATCCAATTTGTTAGTATAATGTAATTACCTTCCGTATCGATGTATGCAACCTTGAGGAGCAAGCATTCAGCATACATGATGGGATAGAAGCGGTATCGCTCGACTCGCCTTGCCTCCCGTCCCCCCCATGCTTACCGGCATTTGGGCCGTGACACACAAGGTATGGCAGAGCTGGGTTTTCCCGGTTCGAAATTCTCCGTACACTACCAGCACGTGTTGGCTCCCGCAAAAAAAAAAAGCAAGCACCCTTCAAACCTTCTGAGATGGACTGCGTCTCAAAGCCGCCTGCTCTAGAATGAGAACTTGCTATGTGCACAACACGTATGCACTGACCGCCGAGAATAGTGTCAACTGATTTGGAACCGGTGGGGATGTGCATGACCTTCTCCCTCCTGTTGATCAACTCGGTACCAGTGCAGAAGCTCGGTCCCTGGTTCCACTCAGTGTTGGAGGTATAGCATAAGCAGAATACCCCACAGCTAGTTTCGCTGCAACTTCCTAAAGGAGTGGAAACAGCATGAATACCAGCTAAGGACACAGATAGCATAGACAAACCTTAATTTTGTCCACTTTCGTGTCAGACATGCCCTAGCCCATTAAGTTCAAGAAAGGTGCTATCCAAGAGACAACTACAAATGCACCTTGATCTTTCCGAGCGCTTTCTTCGTCATCATACGAACGCTCCCTACTGTATAAAGTCCGGCGGACTAGACGGATGTAAGACAGCCTAAAAGCTTGAGTAATGCCGATCCTAACCTTGAGCTTCGTGATGTCTTGCGCATTGATACCCTAAAGGACACGGTAAGTATATGCGCTTAGTGGGCGGGGCCGTGACAGAATGTAGTTGAAGCTCCACAGTGTTAACCTAAGGAATAAACGAGGTATGCATTGGAGTGTTTCACACAAAAGGGTCTGTCGCAACCTGCATTTATGCAGAGAATGGGAGATTCGAAGGGAACTACTCGTGGTTGACCCACATATATGCGCATGAACGGCCTTAAAACGACAGCAAAATACCAACCCCGTACTCACATGGTTCTGAAGCTCATCAACGTTGTCAAATGACGGCGGAATCTGTGGTGAAAAGATGAGAGGGATGTTAAAAGGAGTAAGGGTGAGGGGAACTCACATCCTCCTCTACATCACGCGGAGCGGGGGTGGTAGAGCGAGAGCCGAACATGGAAGTCTCCGGTTCACGATCAGTCTCATGAGTGTTGCTGCGTTCTCGATTGTTGGTAATTTTGCGAGGAGGCATGTCTGCGAGAAGAGAGGACAAGGTTCTTATCGACGGTGGTGAAGGAAGGAACAGAATTACGATCTGTCTCAAGACCAAAACACTCGACCTTAATACGCAGGATCATCGGGTCCGTGCGCACGCGTGTCTTCCTATTTCCGATGCCGTGGCGGAATAAACTCAACGCTCTTCACAACCCAAATTAGGTACCTTCATCCGGGAGCGAATTCATCCATTCGTCCTTATGGAACACCATGATAGTCATTGTCAGATTGATTTACGTTCAGTATTCATGATAATTCGGCCTTATGTGTATCAGAGTGGCCCAAGCTCTTCCCTGGCAGGATGACATCGCGGATGCGCTGTTTCTACTCACACCGTCATACCAGTTACTGTCTGCGGCGATTAGGGAGCTCACCAGCTCTTTCAGCTCGGGGAATCCTCCCGCCATCTTCCTGTCCCAAACAAGTTGCATGCTGTTCTCTGCTAAGAGCCATACCCTGAATCGAGCTCCCGTTTCTTGGGTGTTTAGGGGAATGAGGGTGATACTCTGGATTGCAGGTGGGGGGAATGTGAGCAAGAGCTCTGTCTGGATCCAGGTCGCTCGGTGTAGCCTGAAATCGAGTATCAGCATGTTTTAAAGTATGATAATCATAGATGGAAGGACCATCTGCACTGCGATACCTATGAGCTTGCAGCCGAACCTGTTCTGAGTAGCACTCACGCGATCGCAGAACTCGATAATTACTTGAGGAGAAAGTTTGTCGATTTCAGGATGGGTGAAAGTTGTCGAATCGAGTGGGTCAAATGGTGCGCGTTCTTGTGTTGGAGTATCCTTTACAATTGGAGGACCACATTGTCCTGTCAAACAGCCGGTATCGTTATCCTGGTGGGCAGACATCGAACGAGAGAGGCCCTGATTACGTCAATCCACAGTTCCCCAGCCTTCTCAGGCTGTCGCACCCTGCCTCGTCATCCCTCTCACCTTCATCACGTGGTGAAGAGGCGACAATGGAACTCTTGACTTTGCATTTGGTCTGATACTGCTACAAGAGCTGGTCGGACTTCCAGTACAGATACGTATACGCCCTGGGTTTGGTCTGGGCGATCTCAAAACCTCAGTCGTCTATGAGATGTCGCCTCATGCTTGGTTTTTGGGGATTCGAACGGAACTGAGTATCAATAGGAAGCTCTTATTTCGACGGTATAACTCGAGGAAGAACGGTCTGGCTGAAGCTGGGTCATGGCGAAATGGATTGCCGCGGATGTGGATGTCCCGCTGGCTGCTTCCACGTGGCATTGGCTCTCTCTTTCAGTGCCGCCATCTTGCGCAACGAGAGAGGCCTATTCTTTGTATCTTCCTATTTGTATATGGCAAGTTTACCTCATCTTTTCGTGCTATTTCTTCACCTGCTCCTGACGGACTGAGTCGTTCGAGATGTACGCGCCCGGCCTCAATCTAGAAGTTATCTACGGTACTGTCAGGAAGGGGACTTATGATGAGGGGTGTGCCGAGATCTGGCTAATTTCCTTTCTACGTGACCGTGTGGACGGAGTTCCCCTCGTACGATCGTATTGCCAACGTTGCACTCTTGGGACCTTCCGCCCTTGTCTTGGTCATCTCCTCTTCAACGAGAGCGTATCCAGATGGAAGACCATATGATCTATGTTAAATTGTCATGTGGAGCGCTTTGCATATATCGTTCGACCTTCTCGTAGAGTCTGTGTCACAATTATGAGCCTGCACGGCAGTGGAGATAAGCGACCAGGGGAAATGGTATATCTAGGTCGACCTCAGGAGGGCGTGAGCAGATGTGGTCGCTGTCAGTGCATTTCGTCAGTATGCAGCCCGCCTTGATCCTTGCTCTTGCGCCTCTTGCGGCTTTCGCATTTCCAGCCCCATCTTCTGGCGTACGTCGTGTGCACGAGAGGCGCGACGCTATCCCGTCCTCCTGGGTGCCTGTTACCGACCCTTTCCCGACAACGCCAATTCCACTTCGGATTGCTCTTACCCAGTCCAACCTAGACAGCGTACACGATGAGCTTATGCACGTGTCTGACCCATCTTCTGAGCATTTTGGCAAGCACTGGACGGCGAAGGAGGTTGCCGAGTTCTTTGCACCTTCCAAGGAATCTGTGGATATTGTCCTCACTTGGCTAGAGAGTGAGGGCATCTCCCGTTCTCGGGTCGAACAGTCACAGTCTCTCGGCTGGCTCGAAATTTCTGGTGTGACCGTCGCAGAGGCAGAGAGCTTGCTCGACACGAAGTATACCGTTTACTTGCACGACGTCACTGGCACTCCTCACTTGGGCTGTGGCGATTACTCCGTGCCTGAGGAGGTTGCCAAGCACGTTGATTTCGTCACTCCAACCGTTCACTTCGACACCCGCGTCAAGAAGGAACAGCCGCAGAGGAAACGGAGTGCGGCTACCGAGGTCGGCAAGCCGGGATCCGGCTCTTTGCCCAAGCAGGGCGCCACGCTATCTTCCGAGTCGATACTTCAGGAGCTTGAATACTGTAACGAGGAAATTCTTCCTATTTGTCTCGTAAGTTACCCGAATTCGTCAGATTTCCAGCCCAGTCTGACAACAATATTAGCAAGCGCTGTACAACATTCCCGTCAATCAGTCCCGTGCTACAGCGAAGAACAGCTATGGCATCGTCGAGTATACGCCTCAAAGTTACTTTGCTACGGATCTCGACATGTTCTTCGGCCAATTCGCTCCTCAGCTTGTGGGCCACAGGCCCACAATGGACAGCATTGATGGTGGCAACATCCAGACCATGTATGAGAGCTTCGATTATAACGGCGAGAGTGACCTTGATCTTGTGCGTCATTTTGAGTTTCCCATCTGTAAATCTGATTATTGGACGTGGCCCAGGAATATGCCATGACTCTCGTGTATCCCTTGAACCCGACCCTGTACCAGACCGGTGATATGGTCGAGGGCGGTTCTTTCAACAACTTGTGAGTTTCCTCCGACATGTATTATTCTCTTCTTAGCGGTATCATAGCCTGGACGCACTGGACGCAATGTACTATACATTTGACGGCGGCGATGATCCTACGGAGGATGGTGTTTACCCCGATCCCTACGGCGGAGGTTAGTGTTCTTTGTATGCTCGAGTGTCTAATATTTACGCCCTGCACAGGATATGAAGGGCCAGAGACCTGCGGTGGCTACGCTGCGACCTATGTGGTCTCCACTTCATACGGGTACAACGAGGCGGACCTGACACCGTTCTACGAGGAAAGACAGTGTGCAGAGTACGCCAAGCTTGGTCTTCAGGGCGTTTCTATCCTGTACAGCAGTGGTGACTATGGTGTTGCTGGCAACGATGGCGAGTGTTTGACAGCTAACGGTACATGGAGTCACCTGAGTACATGCAAAACCTCGCTAAAGCCATTTACGCAGGCACTTACGCGCTCAACGGGACCCGATTTAATCCTTCATTCCCTGGCACCTGCCCCTACGTGACGTCCGTGGGCGCTACTCAGATTGTACCCAACGCCACTGTCTACCAACCCGAGGAAGCTTGCGAGACCGTGATCTATTCCGACGGTGGATTCTCCAACGTTTTTGCCATGCCCTCGTACCAGGCTAAGGCAGTGTCCACTTACTACGAGTATTTCGTTCCTCCCTACACGGCAGCGCAGTACAACAATTCTCGCTCTGTTCGCGGTTTCCCGGATGTTGCGGCAAGCGGTGCCAACTATGGTATGTGTGGCACCTGGCATCACTTCATTCATGCTGACGAACCTGTAGTCATCGCCATCGACGGCGAGTTTGCTCTGGTATATGGTACCTCCGCCTCCAGCCCGGTCTTTGGCTCTATCGTCACCCTGATCAACGACGCTCGTCTTGCTGCTGGCAAAGGTCCCATTGGTTTCCTTAACCCAAGCATGTACGCGAACCCGTCCATGTTTAACGACATTACAATGGGAAGTAACCAGGGCTGCGGTACGGAGGGCTTCTACGCTGTTCCCGGCTGGGATCCTGTCACTGGTCTGGGCACTCCCAACTATCTCAAGATGGTCTCGTACTACCTCGCTCTCCCGTGAGCAGCTCACACTTTGGACTATAGCACTAGCATCATTGCTACGTTGTCGCATATCTTGTCAATGCAGATTGTGATGAGCTCTGCGCTGTCATTGTTGAGTCTTATCCGGAATCTAGTGAGCCGGGATTGCCCACTGCTTCGCACGTACGAAATTCGTTAGGTAGAGACGTCCAGTTCAATTCTGTAGTGCTTTGGGAGTTGACGTCATCCCGAAGCTTGAATTTTGCCTCTGTTGTGTCTGCGCTGGGGAAACTGTTGTCCCCCGAACAAAGCATACAGCGCGTGACTCTTTCTGGGCATGGTTTTTCGGGGCCAGCCAGGGTTCCGTGTTGAGGCATCACGGCCGCATGTTCCAGGGAAGAGTACGTCCTATCTACTCTGCACCCCTTGATACTGAGAATGTTCAGTTACACAATTCATTTGGATCCTGCGGGAATCGCGCTCCTCCAGGAAACATGCGATTATTCGCACACGCTGGAACGTCAATGTGTCATTATACCATGTAAGGTAGTAAATTTATGGAGTGGACACGGTGCTTCCTCTGTACTACATTTACCCCTCAAGTGTATAACAGTCTCAGACTTGAACTGAAAGGGTAAGAATCAAGCGCCCAATATTGTTTAAGGTAAGATAGCGGGCGGCGCGCGGGAACGATTAGAGGGAACATTCCTCCCAGGTGTCTTCTTCCTCCTTCCATTCGCCAATGACGAACTCTGCCTCCGGGTTGTTCAAGGACCACCCATCGACTTTGTTGATCTTGGCTTGCCTGACATGGTTGACAGGCGTTGCGATCCATGATCGATGATGTGTGCCCATTACGCTTTGCTTCAGTTCTCGAGTCGACGTCTTTGTTGGGAAATCGTTACTCTCCGTCCGATCCCGAGTTTCCCATATCCCTCTAAGCTGGTCCAAATCCATGCTGCGAGTATGATTCCCTCTCCTTGCCCTGCCGTCCGCTTGATAGATGCTCACATCTTGTAAAATTGGGCATTCTTTCAGGGCAAGCGAGCCACCTCTCCTGATTTGCTTCGATGAGTTCCTGAGTGTTGGGTCATTGCACGGTGAAGCGACCGCCTGAGGATATGCGCTGGCAGAGCGAATCGCTGGTTGCCATTCTGATACAGGTATATTCTTGGATTCGTCTGATACGCCCACAGAAGGAGAGCTCATCTGACGCGCTGGCCGCTGGCGAGCGCTGGTAAAGCAATTGGAGGGATTCAACGAGCGTTCCAATTCTGCCGCGGCATGTTCTGCAACAGGCTGGTGAACACGCTGCGACGGCGAACGAATATCTTCATCTTCTCTTGTCGCCCACACATGCTGTGCCGGGGCAGCCTTGGATGCTGGGAATGGATGGAATGTGTGGACCAGGTCTTGATACCCTGCGATGGATGCCGGCCTCTTCCTCACTGGAGTGGGCGATACAGGCCGGCGAGTTAGTGACGTGAGCCTGGGCGGCTCCGGCGCAGCCGGACGAAACGGGGTTCTTGAGCTGTTGTCGAATTATTTATTCGTTTCGACATCTGTTGTCAAAGGGAAGACAAGACGCACCGGGGGAGGGAATCTATCATCTGACCACTGGGTGGACGTATGAGTCGTGGATGCATGAAAACATCCGTCTCCTCTGCCTGTACTGACTGCGTTCGCTGGGAAGGAACACTTATAATTGGACGAGTGTTTTCCTTGTCTTCGCATTGTCCACGTCTCGGTCGCCGGGGATATGCACGGGGCATCAGCTTGCCAGTCTCAAATTTCGGCGGTGAGGACTTCATATGCTCTGAACTTGAATCGCGAGCGGGACTAGCAAAGGAGATGGGTCAGATTGAGGGACCTGCGAGGGAAAAGGACATGCGAACGCACGAGAAGAACCTCTCCGTCAATCTCCGGTTTTCCGTTCTGCTTATGGTGATCACCGGTCTGTCAGGGGTGCTGTATACATACCACCGGCTCTCGTCTTAGTACGATTGAAACAAGGCAAGGCAAGAGGACGCACGGCGGAATAAGGACAATTTCGGGGACATCGTCCTTTACGTGCTGTAAGATGGTGCTCCACATGTTCCGTCCAAGCGAGAACTGGAATGGTAGAGGCAAGGCTGTTGCCAGGTGGGACAGCGAAGCAGCTGCACGGTGCCAAGTTGGAGGTGTGCGAGTGCTGTCATACACGATGCTCATGTCGTCGCTGTTGTTGTTTGTGTGGAAATGTCGTTGTCACTGTCTTTGTCGTTGTCTTTGTCGTTGTCGCCGTTGATGCAATGAGCATGCGCCGACGAGCCCCTCTCTCCATGCACAGGTGCCATTCAACTCATAAGACAGATTACGGAAGATAAGTCAAGGTGATAGATCGAGATCGAGCAATAAGGTTTTCTCGATTGCCATATTAGGAAAACGCAGAACCACTGAGACATTCATCATTGAGAAGGCCGGCTGCTCCGATGGTTGGTTGGTTAGTCACTAGTGCTGTCGTTGGACCAGATGATTCGTGAAGTTGTTGACGCGTTCAACAACAATGATCGCGCAAGACGGCCAGAACCCTCTGCAATTCGATTAGTAAGCTATTACATTACTCAGCATCTTATCGTCGACACAAGTCTTCGTAATCTGGGTTGTCAAGCGTCTTGATTGTTGATCTCGAAGGTGTGTGCCTCCTGAAGTACGTGTCACCATCACAGAATGAAACATGACGGTCAATGGACCTCAAAACGAAAATCAAAACCATTCAGTCAGCGTTCTCCACAGTCAGCGATGTCCAAGATCCTTCTAGGATTTGCGCAGTCTTCTCAACTCCATGACGGTAAACCACTGTCGATCAGCGTGTATCCACCGTACACGCTCCACGGGTTCACCCACCGTGCATTGTCGCCGTCCGTGTCGGCCATATGTCCCGCTTGACTCATGATGCTAATATCCTTGGATTCTATCGCCGATCCAATTGCCTGCACCAACTGATAACCCATTGTTTGGGATCATGGGTCCGACACTTGTCATGTTCTTGATGTATGACTTGGACCCAGCCGAAATTCCTGAAGTGTTTCTCCCGGAACTTGCATCACTAGACTTTCGCCGCGGCCCAACGAGCCAGTGACGTCTCCTAGTCCTACTGTACAATTTTTCTTGCACCCTCATGTCTTCGCGCCGACAATGAAGTAGAACAGATTGACTTCTGTTTTTGCCTTTTCCAACTTTTCCAACTCCTGCTTCGTCCGGTTCCGACACCGCGTCATCCCGACTCCGGCATGGCCCGGTTTCTAATAACACGGCCGGAGCCCAAGGCCTCCTGGGTCGAGAGTTTATCGGGCGAGGTGCCGATTGGAGGGGAGGGGGAGGATGACGAGCAAGCGCCGTAATCAAAAGGAGAAATTGAGGGATGACGTTGCTGAGTCAGCAGGGCTTCGGCTTTGCCATCACTCTCGGCCACAAGAATTTATCTTTTTCGGGGCCGGGCCACTGCAACTTTCTCTCTGGCAAAGAACGTTTTGGAACCTTGGCTCATGCACTCCCACCAACATGTCCTTGTCCCCTTATGCACTATCAGATCAATGGCTGACAGAGCCAAATGTATTGTCTTACATCAGGGTTATTGTCTTGTCCAAAGTCTTAAAAGTCTGAAGTCCCCTGATGACTCCCTCTTGGTCTCCTACCGGCGGCAGCCATGCCGCCTCCGCGGTGTTCGCGGAGCGGAGACTATCAAACCATGTGGATACCCGGTCCACGGACACCGGAGGCACGAGAGCCTCGCAGCGCCGAGGAACCATTCACGTGCGCCTGATCCAAGCGCCCAGGGCCTTAGAACATGCGGTCCTCCCGCACACTGCGGGCGGAATCCCTGGCTCACGCAAGACTAAGCTCTTGGGGATTTTGACAGTCGATCGGTATGCACGGTCCGGATGTGTTCATGTGTGGGTCGAGGCGTCGTGAAGTGTGTCGGCGGAAGACGCGCGACGGCTGCAGTCACAACAAGCCCGGGTCTTATACAGCACCTTTCCTTATCACACCATATACAAACTATTGAAGACAGCTAAGGCAGCTTGGCTAATCAATACAAGACCTGATGGGCAGTCACGGCTTGAATTGCGGAGCAGGAGCATGACGCGGAGTACCCGTAAGTGTATGGTCGGTACCTGTGGTCGCTGACGCCATTCCCGGGCTGAATGGGTACCGGGAACTTCGTAGATCGTCTTTGACAGGCGGCAACGAGTGAAAGCATTCAGCTCGATCGCAGCCTCGATCAATGTCAAAAGCATTCTACATCGTACCCTTCTCCGCCGGCGGCAACTACAGAACCTTTCTTGAGAACGCGAGAACGCGAGAAGCCGAGGACAGAATTGATTTACCCCGAAATCGATTTTTTTTTTCTAGGATCTAGGTATGCTGGGAGGCGGTGAAGAAGCTCCCTGACCTGATGATTCAGGGAATCGAGTGATCGGCGTGGCTGAGCACCCTTTGGGGAAAGGTTTGTCACTCCCCGAGACTCGGCTCCGGAGACCCAACATAGAGATGACAAAATGTATTCCACCAGGCGGTGCGTCAGAAGAGAAATGTATGCGCCAAGGGCTCAATCAATGCGGTCGTTAGGCCGTGTTTGGCCCGCGCTAGACCATATATAGTACAATGTCTGAAAGCGTTGGACACATAGTGGGTGATGTGCCGGGAAAGGAGCGTCATACTGATTTGGTTCTGGGAATGGGATATTGGCAGTCTGTCATGCGGACGAGGTGCTGCGCGCCGGTTTGCACAAGTGGGATTGGCTTCGGTGCTTGAGCCGCTTCGGAGTAATCAACACGAGGAGAATGACATGCTTTGAATACGTGTATGGTAATGTGGTGTAGGTGATATGATGACATGGACGAGTCTCCTTGTGGGCGTCGGACGTCCAGGTGGCAACTGGTACATGATGTCGGCCCCGAGTGCCGGTCGGAGGGCCCGGAATGGCGCCCGGAGAGGTCCGAGCCGATAATCAGTATATGGTCATACGACGTCTACTCGGCAGCGTAGGAGCAAGCTGGTTGGACAACTCCTATGAGATAGGAGAGCAGGTGGACGTGGATGGTCCTCAAGGAGAAGTGACGTGAACTGTTTGCGGGGGAAACAGGGACTGTGCTCCTAGTTGGAGGATCACGGTGGTCTGCAAGAGGAGCTGAAAGGAGGAAAAGGGTCCGCTGAGTGGGTGACTAATCGGCCAAGCGCAGGCGGCGAGAAGTATCCAATTTCCCTGCCCTGCAAGCAGAAGGTGTCGGACAGCGCTTCCCATCTGTCCCCCTCCTCTAACCCGCCGAGCTGACGGCCACGGCACGGCATCACATTCGCCTGCGCAGAAGGAAGAGAGATGGGGGATTAAATGCACAGTCATGGTTACTTCAGGATGAGCAATCCATTCCCCGGTAAGCACACAATATAAGTTGCCTCTCTTTTGTCTGTCCGCGTGCGCGATCGTTCCCTCTACCCGTCACCCGACGTCTAGCTGCGACTTTCCTCCAGCTGTATACAGCGATACAGAATCGCGCTTGGCTTACATCGGAATCGCCCCTGGAATAGGCAGTCCCCTCCATTGTATTGCGGTGCAGCGACTCGCGACTCGGACATTGCCTTTCCCTTACTTCACCTTCCCCGCCAGCGAGCGAAAGCGTCAAACGCTCATCGGATTCGGCTCGATCGCTCGTTGTCCCAGACGCCCGCACCTCTTCTCTTGTATTCCAACTCCCTGACGCCCAGTCCGGCAGTCGAGCATTGCCTTTTCTCCCCTTTCCCCAGTTATATACTTGTCACATCGTCAAGCGCACATCCTACCCATTTACGGACCAGTGCGCCCACTTCTAAGCGCGCAGCCGAGCCAAGATCCAACAAGGAAGAGCAAGCGTACATATAGCGCGGACGAGAGGGAAGCCATATCTCAATTTACACACACCACCCGCCCCTTGGGGGAATCTAGCCCTTTTCAAGAGAGACAAACAGACAGCAACTCGCGCGTGCTTCTCACTTCACTCCCGGATTCTGCTTCCGCTCTCCTGGGACGCCCATTCCCCGGTCAACCAAAGAGTATACATATCCCCTTGCCGTCCTATCCTCCTCCCCGCCCTCTCTCTCCCGCCCCCTCTCCCCCTCTTCCTCCCGGTCCTTTTCGCTTGACCACCACCACGAACAGCAACCAAACATGAAGCTGCACGGACCGTCACGCACTTCCACCCTCTCTCGCCGTGGCTCACCCACTCCCCTCAAGCCCGTCTCAGGCGCATCCGTATCAACCCCCACATCAGATTTATCTTCCCTTCGAGCACAGGCAGTCGCGGCGCACGGGCACTCCCACCCGCAGACGCTGCACACTTACACGCTGGAGCAAGCGAGCTTCCCCTATGTCACGCTCGCCCTCAACAGCTGCGCCGCCTCTTCCGAGCAGATGCCGGTATTTCACGGCGCTTGCCCAGTAACAGGCGAGGTCGTACTTGAGCAGAGCAAGCTCCGCTCAATAAAAGACGTGATGATCACAGTGAGTGGATTTCTCGTGCATTCTTCACTCAAAGAGCGCATACTGACTCACCGCGAAAAGGTGGAGGGTCGCCTCTTTGCGCCCTGCGGCGAGGCAACGTCATTCCTGTCCCAGACTCTCTCCCTCATCACCCCCGCCTTCCCCCAACCCCCACCGCGCACTTCCACGTTGGATGGCACGCACAGCCTCCCCTTCTCGTTCACTTTCCCCTCTGTCGGGTCTAATGGCGCACCCTTACCAACAAGCTGGGCATCCGCACTTTCTCCGAACACGAAGATCGAGTACATCTTCTCCCTTCGCATCAAGCGCAAGAGCCGCGCTGCTCGTCGTGTATGTGGGGACGACGTGCTGAACGTACCGATTGTCTTCCACCCCCGAGTACGACCCGAGAAGCAACCTCTTGTCGCATGGAGCGCTGCTGGGTTAGTGGGAGAATGGCCTACGGACCGCAGTGCGTGGCACCTTTCGACCGCTACCATCCGCGGGTCCGAGCTCGGTCAGCGAGACGCGAGCCTCCGCGCAACGCTGGGCCTCGCAGCGCCCCTTGCATACCCGGTCCGCTCCTACATACCGTTCACTATCACCCTCTCCGACGAGCGGAACAGCGCGCCCGACGTCCTCTCCGCACCCATCGCGATATCCGTCGACCTCCGGCGCGGTGTGCGCTATGTGCCCACCGTCATCCCCCACGCTGTGAGCGTCTGGTGCGTCTCATGCGGATTCGCGTCATCAAAGTGTATCTGCCCTAAGGCCGCCCTCATCAAAGCCGCGCACGCGAACAAGCCGAGCCAAGAATGGACCTGGGAGAGCGTAGCGGTGGCAAACTGCTGGCAAGTCCCGCACTCGGCGGCGAACGTCCGCGTCGTCCGAGGGGAGATCGACCTGGACGGTTCATTGGAACCGTCATTCACCTTCGGTGGTCTCAGCGTCTCTTACGCCGTTCATGTGCGCTTCTCAGCGCCCGGAAGAGAGGATGAGCACTTCACATTCGTGGAGCCTGTTACCCTTGTTCCCGAACTCGGTGGGGAGACTGGTTCTTCCCGCACGAGCGGCTACTCCAGTTCTACGCCATCGATGACAGCGGGCTCTTCCGCCTACGCGCCTTCTATTCGATCTGCATCACCTCCCTCAGCCAGCTCAGCAGCTGCAGCGGCTATAAAAGCGCAGCACAATGCGCTCAGTAAGACCCTCTCTTACTCTCCTCAACCAACATCATACCACGATCTCCCACCATCATACGACTGCTCCCAAGTGCAGGCAGGATACGGGTACGGCCTCGGCTCCACTCCCAGCGCGCTCAAGCCTGCCGGGCGGGAACGAGGAGGCAAGCAGAGCAGTCCTCCGGGCACACCCCAATCTCGAGCAAGCAGCGAGGAACTGGAATTGCAGTTGCCGGTTAGCGCACATTCGCGAGCGCCTTGTGGAGCAATCCGATTCGGCCTCAAGCCCGGTCAGCCAGGGCAGGGAGAGACTTGGATGCACATGCGGGTCAGCGAGGAGGACTTCTTGCTTGCGTAGTTCTGTTCGATATGAACTATGGTGACGACTTCTTATTCGTGTTTAACCCTTCCACTAGCAATACTTTTTTTTGTTCCTTCACTGGAGCTTATAGCGTAGCCTCATGATATGCCCGTACGATAACCCCTTCCCTAGTCAAGTATCTCATCGCTCTCGCGGACGGTTAATGTCCATGTCTACTGTATCTCGCTAGTTGAAAGAAGTTGAATAATTGGATGGAGTGCACAATCTCTCTCTCCCTCTCTGCATCGAAGGGAGCTTCCCCATTTTTAGAATAGACTCATTTGAATTGGTCACCGGGTAGTCGTTAGGGGTCGACAAACCCGTTGTTGGTTAGCGGCCGCCAGCGAAAAGGCGCCCGGACCTTCGGCCCTTCCAGCCATCCCCCCCCAGGATCTCCACGCTTTCCCGCAATTCACTCAGGGCTCCGGGAGTGCCATGGGGGAGGCTTGTAGGGCTGCGCCTGGGATTGGTCCTAGTTGGGAACCCATGGACAGTCGCATGGGTTGAACCGAGATTTGGTCGGCATGTTTGTGCTGCAGCCTCTGCTCACGTGCCAGTGTGAATGGAACGAATTCGCGGTGAACAACATGTGCTCGAATGCTCACCGTCAATGAATCTCTGGACTGATGCTTTCCGGTGTACCTTCGCCGGTGCAGGGGTGCTGACGCGTCGGATTATACTCACCTCGGCCAGGCTCACACCACAGGTAGAAATGAGAATTTCACGTATGAGAAGCGTCTCGGCCCACCTCGTATCATCTTCCGGAAGGCAGTTTACTTCGGTTCGAACCGCAGCACATGAACATATCGGATTCGAAAAGAAAAAGCAGGAGGTGGCACCATGTCTGTCCGCGCCACGGTCAAGAGTGCCATGTTCACTGGGATCCTCGCCGGATGTGCAGTTGTCTTGGTTGTGGTGGTTCTTCGCATCATATGGAGAAGGTTCGTAACCAGAAAGCGTCGCCTGCCTCCTGGTCCTCCGGGTTATCCGGTGATCGGCAATCTCTTGGACTTGCCAAAAGAGGAGGATTGGTTGAGATTTAGCGAATGGCAGAAAGTGTACGGTATGTCATCACCGGAAATTGAAGAACAGAGATGGTTCATTGCGATCGCAGGAGATATCGTCTATGTCACGGCTTTGGGGAAGAAGTTCCTCATAATTAGCTCTGTCAAGATCGCGTCCGATCTGCTAGAGAGGCGCTCGACATATTATTCCGGTCGGATGAAATTGACATTCGGTGGTGAACTGTGTGGCCATGATCGTTCTTTGGCACTCCTGGAGGGAACTAAGCACCGGGAGGCTCGCAAAGTCGGGGCATCGTTCGTTGAATTCCACAGCAGTCAAGGGTTGGTATTGGCTACTGGAGAACGAAGCTCATAAGACGTTGAAGAGGCTGCTGACCAGTCCTGACGAATTCGTGAAGCACTTCCATCTGTAAGTTTGGAACTAGCAGATAGAACAGATACCGATTTACAGTGATACAGCAATTCTGGCTCCACGATCATGCGTATCGCATATGGTTATGAGCTTGACGGGGACAACGATCTGCATCTCCGTCATGCGAATATGGTGATTAGAGATTTCTCTAGAGCTTGTGCACCAGGACGATGGCTCGTTGACCTTATACCAATCCGTCAGATACATTCTTTCTGTCGAGAACTGATCTGACTGAAACAGTCAAGCACGTACCCGAATGGTTCCAAGGGGGTAACTTCAAGAAGATTGCTCGGAAATGGAGGAGTGAGCTTGATGAGTGTTACAGCGTCCCTTTCACCTTCGTAAAACAAAAAATAGCAAGCCACTCTTTCTTTGTTATTCAGTTCGTACCCTGACATGTTCTTCTCCGCAGGCCTCCGGTGACAACCTTCCATCGATGATATCGCAATTACTTGAAAGCAACAAGCAGCACGGGGACGAAACGCAGATTGCGAATGCGGTTGGGTCTCTGTTCATCGCGGGGTCAGATACCACACCAGTGGCTCTATCCAACTTCATCATGGCAATGATACTTTATCCTGAAGTGCAGAAGAAGGCACAGAGTGAATTAGATCGTGTTGTTGGCCTTGAACGCCGGCCGACATTGGCCGATCGAGTGAATCTGCCCTACGTGGTTGCCGTCGTGAAGGAGGTAAGCTTGCCAAACAATTGTCAAAGGGCGCAGTTATATCTGATCATGACGAAGGTCTTGCGTTGGGCCCCAGTAGTTCCTACCAGTGTGCCTCACAGACTGAATAGGGAAGACGGATATGCCAACTTCTGCATTCCCAAGGATACCCTTGTTGTGACCAACATATGGTAGCAGTGTGTTTCGAGGTCCACCGGGGGAGAAAGCTGATCGCAAAGTAGGCACATGAGTCGAGACGCTGCGACATACGGTTATGATGCAGATCGTTTCCGTCCAGAGCGATTTTTGGGGCCCGACCCCGCACCTCGAGGATTTAGCACATCAAATACCCGCGAGTTCGGTTCACCCATCTTTGGCTTCGGAAGGCGAGTGTGTCCTGGAGAATTCCTAGCATTCTCGTCCTTGTTCATTACTTGCGCAAACATATTGGCAACTATGGACATAGCCTCTGACGCTGATGGAAAATCAGTGCTGCCAGAGATGAAGTGGACAAGTGGAATTGTGACGTACATGCATTCCATGACTGACCTCTCGCTTGTCACTGACACGGTGATTCATCGATAGACATCCATATCCATTCACATGCAGTATCAAACCTCGATCCTCAAAGGCTGTTGATTTAATCAATTTGAAGGAGATCGATACAAGAAAGGAGAACGGAGTCGCGGAGTGATCATCACCACATCGGAACGCGTGCGAGACTTGCGGAGGCTAAACAGGATTCATGTGATATGCCCCATATAACTATGTATCTCAACTTTGATGCTGGTCTCGAACTGGAACACAACACTACCTATACGGCGTAAATAGGAAGAAAGAAGGCCACCTTCATCCTGAGATCTTCCGCTGTAGTCGGAGCGCTCCGAGAAAGCGGTGATTTAGGACGAATATGAAAGAGCTACATCGAGGACCTTAAGCTTGCATCACTACCAAAATGAGTCGAGCTGCTTCTGCCGATGTTTGTCCGTTTGAGCGTCTAAACCAGATATGGAATAGGACGACTGGTGCTACGATTCGGTGCCTGGCCATGCAGAAGAAAGCACAAGATGTTTGATCGCATCGTTGGCGCCACAAGATTGCCGAGGTTGCACGAATGTCCCGTTTATCGTTGCACTGGTGAAAGAAGTTGAACGTAATCCCCATTTCGGACTTGGGAGAGGAATCCCTGATGCCCGAGCTCGATGAAATAGTGGTATTATTGCGTATGTCTCCTATTCCTGCCATATGTGACTCGAGTTTCTAACGACACCACCATCACAGTCGTTTTCAGGCATTTCAGTGCAGAATCTCGCTGCGATTCCAGAAAAGGGCCAATGTGAACTAGGCAGCCGCGCGAGAGTGTGCTCCCCGTCCTTTCATGGTGCCGGTTAACGCAGAAGCCGAAGACGATTCTCACCCAGCAACGATTTCCTTTGTCGACTGCGCTTGTCGCGTTGGTATTGCACTATGTCAGTCGGAAATATAGGGGCTCTATAACCCATAATGATACGCAGTCTCTGGAAGAGGACAAAGACATTTTTCACCTCTATCCTGTGCACGGGTACTACGAGAGAGGCGGTGCGTTATCCTCATGGACGTTGACCTCACCATTCTCCGAACAGCTGCGATCTTCCGATTTCTGGAAGGCGGAGCCTTTTCTCACCAGTTAGTACACGAAGTCACTGGTGGAGTTCTTCAAAAGGTGACCGACAGCAACGCCTATCAAGAGGACCACTGCCTGGTCTCGCTATGTCAAATCTCCTATTGCCCCTTATTCCGGCTGTCGCACTTCTATTGTTGGTTGGCTGGCGTCGCGTGAAACAGAAGAATATCCCCTTACCACCCGGTCCTAAGAGTCATGTTTTCATTGGCAACTTGTTTGAGATGCCCAAAGAAGATGACCCCATGGTGTATAGCAGATGGCAGAAGACGTATGGTACGTGTGACTGACCAGGATCATATCTGTTCTTGATGATTGTATGTAGGGGACATGATATATGTCAATGTCCTGGGCAAGGACTTCCTCATCATCAACTCATTGAAAATCGCGGCGGACCTTTTGGAGAAGCGGTCCTCCATCTATTCTGGTCGGAACTACTTTACATTTGGTGGGGAGCTATGCGGACACGATAGATCGACTGCTCTTGCTGAAGGATCGGCGCACCGAGAAATGCGAAAGTTCGGTCATCGATCGATGAATTCCACAAGTATAAAGCAATGGCAGTGGTTGCAAGAAGCGGAAGCGCGCAAGACGCTGAAACAATTACTCCATAAACCGGAGAACTGGAACGAGCTTTTCCATCTGTCAGTGCTTGTCCCGGAGATTCACGCGGTCCGCTCACGTCTCACCCACAGTAATGCCGGCTCTTCGATCATGCGGATTGTCTATGGCTATGAACTAGCGCCCGAGAATGATCCACTACTGCGTCATGCGAACATGGTCATGGAAGATTTCTCCCAAGCGTGCGCTCCCGGGCGTTGGATTGTCGATGTTCTCCCTTTTCGTCAGTAATTAACATGCACCTGGTCGTTAATTTTGTTAGCTGATGTTTTGAAAGTCAAGCATGTGCCGGAATGGATGCCCGGCGCTGGCTTCCAAAAGATTGCCAAAAAGTGGTGGCTGGATGTCGATAGAATGTATCGGGCACCTTTCGAACTAGTCAAACAGCGCATGGTGCGTTTCCCTGTGCTGTTCCGGGAGGAGCTTAGAACATAGTCAACCAGGCAGCAGGTATTGCGCTCCCGTCGATAACTGCTCAACTCCTCGAGGTGAAGAAAGAACAATCGGACGAGGAACACATGATCAGCGCTATGGGTGCATTGTATGCTGGCGGTGTAGATACCACGCCCGCCGCTCTGGGAAGCTTCATGATGGTGATGATTCTATATCCCGATGTACAGAAAAAGGCGCAGGCTGAGTTGGATGCGATTGTCGGTCCAGATCGGTTGCCCGGATTCATCGATCAGGCTAATCTTCCATATGTGAATGCTCTCATCAAGGAGGTGCGGCTCTGTTGCTGGTCGATGCACAAGAGACGACAATACTTACGTGACGTAGATACTGAGATGGGCACCCAGCGTCCCCATGGGGCTGCCACATAGGCTCATCCAGGATGACGAATATAATGGGTATCGCATCCCGAAGGATACCATTCTTTTGACCAATATATGGTATGAATCCATTGGTGTTCATGAATGAAAGCTGACAAGGGGGACAGGCACATGAATCGCGACTCGGCCACTTATCCAGATGCACCGGATTGCTTCAGACCCGATCGTTTCCTAGGTCCAGACCCTGCCCCACACGGTTTCAGTACATCCAACACCCAGGAATTCGGTTCCCCGGCGTTCGGCTTCGGTCGACGTGTATGCCCCGGAGAACATTTTGCATTCCCGTCACTGTTCATCCTTTGTGCGAGCATTTTGGCGACAATGGATATTAGCCCCGCAATGGATGCTGCAGGGAATCCTATCCTGCCGCAGGTGCAATTTTCTAGCGGTGTTATCGCGTACGTATCACCGATAGGGAGATGCTTTATGAATCACACACTTAAGACATGCAGGCATCCGAAACCATTCCGGTGCAACATTACTCCCCGATCACACAAAGCGGTCGATTTGATCAACGTTTCCGGGTGAGGCAGGATTTTGTAAACAATGCTGCGAACAACAGGCAATCAGGGAAGCACATGGGACGATATTAATGATACAGTATATATAGAGAGAGGGAGATCCTGCCAATGAAATGGATTTCGCCCTGCCGAATTCGTGCAAATTAGATTGCAGCTTTGAAGCAAAACAGGAGTAACAGACATTCACTAGAGAGATTTTACTGCTAATGCATAACGGATGGCCGTCTTTTCCATAATGAACACTGTGGGGAACTGTCACTTTCTAGGATGTAATCTGTGCGGTGATGCCATATACTCATATATAGACCGATGATTCGCTAAGAAGAAAATACCTCCTTAGGGGAATCCGCATTCTAATATCCATTGTCCCGTAAGCTCCTTGAGTGAAGGATAACATAACACTGACGTTGTTATCGGCGAGTCTTCGTGCGTGCCCGAATCCCCAAAACATACAACTGAGGCATAGGTGAAGCATAGGAAGAGCCGCCATCTGAAACTTCAACTTGCATATATTTCACTCTGAATACAGCGGGCACAATATGGTATCGAAACAGGGAAGCAGAATGATCGCATTTCAACATATTCATAGAAGGAGTGAATTGCATACATCGAGCTCGGCACAATGATTCACTTGTAGTGTTTACCACGCTATCACAACTTTCTCCAGTCCTCCAGGTTCCACCAGCTGTGCATCGCCGAGGTAGTAGTCCGAATCAAGCCTTGAAAGGGAAGAGAACGTTGGTTACTTTCCAAGAGTTGTTCCCCTGTTCACGGCACAACAAATATGTAAGCTTGTCCTTTTCCTAATCAAGTGTTTCCTATTACTCACCCAATTGGCTGCTCTTAGGTCATGCGGAACATTGCCAACCCACATCTGAACGGTCACGACATTGTTCCCACCCACTGGGCCAAACTGGTAGATCTGCTGGTTGTTATGAGTCAACCACATGTCGCCGTGGCCCGTCATTGTGACGTTTCCGAAATTCTGGATGGAGACCGAGAGAACGGTGTTCCAACCTGCGGCTTGCTACGGTTGAATCAGTGAGAGCAGACATGTTTTTAATTACTGTGACGAAGGCCATAAATTCGAACGCTCGCACCAGCTGGAATGGGGATGTAGTTTACCGTCCTGAGGAGCAATGTTCTTAGTCAAGCGCAAGGACACGATGAGGAGGGAAGCTCACGGCATAGTGAAAATTGTCTGAGTGAATGAACTGGCTACGACTGGTAGAGTTTGTCGAGTGGAGAGCAAAGAAGAGATGGATTGCAGCTTTATATGTGGCTAGCGGGAGGAAGTGCCCAATTCAACGTATAAAGAGCGAATCAATAATGCGTCTTCTAGTCTTGTGTTGCACATGTCAGGACTTGGACTAGAACACTCTTGCCCTGGAACCTGCATAGCTTTGACCTAGTCGGGAAGAGCCAATGTCGGTGTTTCCAACCGCCGGTGTGCTGTTTCGAGGGTCGTTACAGACCCCCGCAGGTGCCTCTCTTCGGGAAGATCTATCGACCGGGTTACATGATTTCGCCGGGAGCACAGATACCTATCCACCATCCTATCGCCTCATGTAGTCGAAGCAGAAGGTGCGCCGGTCAGTCCCCATATAATATGGATTTGATAGGCTTAGCAGCGGTTGACTAGTCCGGACAACCGGGAGAGTCACTGGAGAAAGGGGAAGTTGGGTGCAGTGGCTATGCAGAAGGACGAGTCCAGATCCGCGGTGGTCTTGTTACATACACTTTCCTATCTCTGCACTCTGCCTCCAAATAATGGGATTGCATCCCTCTCCTTTTCAGACTAGCGTAGAAGTTCTGTCGGTGAACTTCGGATCCGGACCTTGATATGATAAACCCCTCATGATGTTCTGTCGAAGTCCATGCCATCAAGCCCAGGCTCAGGCTACGTGGAAGTCGACCTGAAGGTAGAAGTTGGTGTTCAGAAGGATACTGCCTAGCGCGTCCTATTACACCTCAGTCTCAGATTATCAAGCGCACATATACGGAAGACTGATTATGATTCTAAATATGCTGATGCTCATTGGCACAACTACGTGTGTTCTTGCTGTTGGTTTCCTTCTTCGGAAGCTTGTATTCAAGAGACTGCCATTGTCGCCTGGTCCAAAGCCTTACCCGATCATTGGAAATATGCTTGACATGCCAAAGGAGTACGCCTGGATGGCTTTTAGCCGATGGAAGAAGTTACACGGTATGTTTCGTTCATGCGCTTGAAGCAGCGGTCGCTGATAGCTCCGCGAAGGTGACATGATCTATCTGACCGTCCTCGGGAGGAAGTTCCTAGTAGTCAATTCACTGGAGACCGCAGCATATTTTCTGGAAAGGCGCTCTTCAATCTATTCCGGACGGATGCGCTTTGTCTTCTCCGGTGAGCTGTGCGCTCACAACCGCTCCTTGGCATTCAAGGATGGCACTTCTCATCGCCAAGCGCGGAAATTCGCTCACCGTTCACTTAGCTCGACAGCGATAAAGCAACGGCACGGATTACAGGAAGATGAAGCACACAAAATACTAAGGCGATTATTGGATGATCCGACTGAGTTTGTGAGGCACTTCCACACGTGAGAACACGGTCTGTTCGTGACTTTCGTGATGCTTAGGCCAATACAGGACTGCCCAGTCCATCATCATGAGGATATTGTATGGCTATGAGGTGGGGGAACACGACGATCCTCTGATACAGGCAGCGAACAAAGTATTGGCTGCTTTCGAGGTCGCTGCCGTACCCGGACGCTGGTTGGTGGACGCAGTCCCAATGTGTTCGTTGATCCCAGTCTGTGCTTGCAGGAAGCTTACTGGTCATTAGTAAAATGGGTTCCTGAGTGGGTACCAGGCGCTGGCTTCAAGAGGATTGCTAGATCTTGGAAAAACGACACAGAACATATGTTCGACGACCCTTTCAACCTCGCATGGTAAGGGGTTGTGAGGATCGGGTGCTGCTTCTCACACTCCTGATCCAGGCTGCCGGTACTGCAATGCCTTCGATGACCGCTCAGCTAATGAAAACCGAAAAAGAAGAGGCGGTTGAGGAGCATATCAAGGATGCTGCGGGCGGGCTGTATGGTGGAGGGGTGGACACGACACCCTCCACTATGACTAGCTTCATTATGGCGATGATGCTTTATCCGGAGACATAAGCGAAAGCGCAGGATGAATTGGAGAAAGTTGTTGGAAAAGATCGTCTTCCAACTTTCTCCGATCGACCAAACTTACCATACCTGAATGCGATGATTAAAGAGGTGGGGGCATTTGCACTACATGAAATGAGTTTAGCTGACGTTTAAAAAGCTCCTGAGATGGGCTCCAGTAGTGCCCATGGGTGTGCCCCATAGACTCACGCGAGACGATGACTACGAAGGTTATCGAATTCCTCATGACACGATCGTGCTGACGAATATTTGGTGCGTCATGTCTTTCCCTGTCCTGCCCTGTCCTGCCCTTTACTGACCGGAGATAAGGCATATGTGTCATGACATCGCTACGTACGGACAGGATGTGGACAGTTTCCGTCCTGAGCGTTTTCTTGGAGAAGACCCGGCCCCTCGAGGGTTCAGCACGGCCGGCACCAGGGAATTCGGTTCCCCTGTGTTTGGCTTCGGCCGGCGTGTGTGCCCTGGCGAGCGGGTTGCCGACTCTTCATTATTTGTCATGTGTTCTAATATCTTAGCAACAATGGAGATCAAGGCAGCATACGATACAAAGGATCAGCCCATGTATCCCCGAATCCAATACACGGATGGCGTTATTGTGTATGTTGTTGCCATGAAGTTCTTTGACCGTTCGTTGATTTGTTGATTAGGCACCCAGAAACATTCCAATGCCAGATCGTGCCCCGATCTCCCAGAGCAATTCACCTCATCTTAGGCCCGCGCTCGTAAATTCTTTCAACATTCTCATACAATGCGGGGCTTTGGCAAAGGGAGCTCTGGAGCAAGGCATGGATAGTGCTGGTCAGGATCGTTTCCTCCTACAGCCCTCCATGAATGATGGATCCCTTAACGTCAGTATCGATGTTGATCACGGAACAGTTTCACGTTGTCTGTGTGCCGCATTTTCTTGAACCAATAGTACATGATACGAAGGATGTCCATTCTGTCGCGTCAGCACCATTTGCTCCCCACTGTCGGATTGATAGGATTTATCGGCGATGCTGTCGCACCTGGATCAGATATTAGTAGGTAATGTCCTCTCACAAAGCGCCATGGGATCATCAACCCTATTCGGGATGCAGGGGCTATTTATGACCTGTGCTGTTTTCTGATTGAACCCCGAATGTCGTTGACTCACTTGGCTTCCTGGGTTAATGTTCCTCACCGACTTCCCTTTCCACAAAACTGTGACCCCTGACTTTCACCGCGAGCCTTGACTGTCAGACCAATATGTGCTTGCGGATCTCGGAGCTCCTGATCGCGTGCCTTGTTAGGTTAAGCGTGCGGTATGAACACCCTGCAGGAGTTTCTCACCGAGAATGTTGACGAATCTTACCCGAAGTTCAGTATGAGAAGGAGGACAACGCTTGCATGATCAGGAAATTTTGATCGGTGTGTGTATGTTGTACGGAAATGCAGCTCCTGATAGTTATAAACACCACTAGCGAGGGGTTCAGAATATCTGAATGCCCAAACGTGGTCTCAGAGATACCCCTCCGGATAGACATGGAGACCTTGGCTGCCATAGGGGTTCCTTGTTTTGCTCTCGTGATCGTACTTCTCGCTTGGCACTTGTTGAATCAAAGCAAACCACCTCTGCCTCCAGGCCCCAAAGGGTACCCAATCATCGGGAATCTGTTCGATATACCGCGGGAAGATGATTGGATAGTATATGGACAGTTAGAGATTGAAGCCCGCAAGACGCTCAGAAAGCTTTTGGCTTCACCCGAAGATTTCGCGGGGCACTTCATTAAGTGAGCAGCACCCACGTGATCCTATCATCTTGTCGCTCAGCCCCGTTAGCAATACTGCCTCTCTGACCATGAGACTGGCATACGGATATGAGCTAGAACGATCCGACGATCCGCTCCTTCGATCGGCTCAAAAAGCAATGGAAAACGCATCCGAGTCATGCTATCCGGGACGTTGGCTCGTGGACACCTTCCCGTTCAGTTCGTCTTTGCAGCGATCTCTCAACTTTTGTTGATGGTCTTGAAGTGAAACACATTCCCGCGTGGGTTCCAGGTGCTGGGTTTCAGAGACAAGCAAAGATATGGCGGGATCAAGTCGAGGAAATGTTTCATCTCCCCTTTAACCTTGTTAAGAAGAGGGTGGTAAGCTCGACTATTCAGGTGGTGGACGCACTCTCAGTCCGTTCAGGCCGAAGGCAACGCCCTCTCCTCCATGACGTCCCAGTTGTTGGAATCAAAGAAGAATCAAAGCGACGAAGAGAGCATCATGAACGCCGTTGGCTCGCTCTACGGCGGCGCGGTGGATACGACACCGGCAGCCATGAGCAGTTTTGTGCTGGCAATGACCCTGTATCTAGAGGTGCAGCGCAAGGCCCAAGAAGAATTGGATCGTGTTGTTGGTCGCGATCGTTTACCACGGTTCGCGGATAGGTCGAATCTGCCATATATAAATGCGCTTGTAAAGGAGGTATGCATCAATAGTGGTGGAGTATCCGCTGAGAGATGATCTGCACTCAGGTCCACCGCTGGGCGCCAGTAATTCCGCTGGGCATACCGCATCGGCTAATCAAAGAGGACGTGTACAATGGCTATCGTATCCCAAAGGATACTATAATCATTCTAAACATATGGTTTGCGCATTGTTGCCTTCTAAGATGGGATTGTTGAGGTCAGGCTCTGCAGGCGCATTAATCGTGACATCCATACATATGGCTCTGATTCGGATACCTTCCGTCCAGAGCGCTTCCTCGGTAGCGATCCAGCACCACGCGGCTTTACTACGGCCAATACGCAAGAGTTTGGCTCTACGTCCTTTGGATTTGGACGCCGCGTCTGTTCCGGACAACATGTAGCCGATCCGTCGATGTTCATCGTATTTTCTAACGTCCTTGCAACGATGGATATCAGCCCACGCGCAGGAGCGAATGGAAAACCGGTGTTACCTGAGATCAAGTTCACTACCGGTGTAATCTCGTATGTCGTCTTTCGAAGATGTATGCGCATTTCATTCAATGCCAATGCCCAGGCATCCGAAGCCTTTCCAGTGTTGCATTACACCTCGCTCAGCCCTGGCAATCGATTTGATCAGGGATGCTGATTAATGGCATTCTCCCAATTGCAGATGTAATGTGGGCTGATGAAAGAGTGTTCGCAGGCGTTCGAGCAGCAATATTCCGCAGAGCATTTCGAGGAACCCGAGGGTAGTGCGAGAATCCAGTGTCATAAATACCAGCTGAGACCTGTAGTGAATTACAGTGCAAACAAAAGAGGAGCACTGTCAGAAGTGCGATCTCCGTCAATGGAAAATGCTTTGAAATTAGAGCACAGTGGTCGAAAGAAAGATAAGCAGAGCAAATTGTAGAAAGAAGGTTCAGGAGATAGGAGAAGCTCGCGGCCAATCAGAGACAAACTGATCGAGGAGAGATTGTATCACGTGCACGGATTCAGATCGTCCACGCGTTCCTGCGTTCTTCCGAACTTCAGTTGTGCATGTTCTCACCTCATTGTTGTTATCCATGCCATAGACTCATGGAAACCAGAACGAGCAGCATTCTCTTGCGGGATTGTCGGACAACTCAACGCCTTGATGAGCGACGCTTATGTCAGGCAAGACTCAATGCCAGCACACATATCATATCTCAACCCAAATCTGAATCGCGCACGACCACAATACGACATGCGCTGTACATGAAATATTCTAAATGGATCGATTTTTCATTCGCGGCACGACAGATCGGATATATGACGATGCATCGGCACGGAGAATCAGCAGCAAGCGTTCCTGCATATGCTCGCTCAACTTACTCTTGACCGCGATGACGATTCCCCTGCTGCTACCTCTTATTTTGGTTTTTCTTCTGGTCCTGACGCCTCCAACCACAAACACGACAGCTCAGATTCCCTCGATTGCTAGCTTCGAATTCTCGCGGGGCGCCCCGTTTCTCCTGACTGCTGCAACACGTGTCCTCGTGGACTCAAATTATGCCAATACTGGGTCTCCTTCTCTTCTCGATTTTGCTACAATTTTCCGGCAAGATCTACTAGAAGTTACTGGATTTGATTACCTACCACAGGTGTCGCTTGCGTCCGATGGCGGTCTTAGCGGTATCATCTACCTGACGCTCGGTGCTTCCGACTATTCGCTTTATAATGGCCAGGCAACAGATGAAGGATACGAATTTGATGTCAGCCATCAAACGATCACCATTAAAGGTAGCGGGGCTCGAGGTGCATGGTGGGGCACACGAACTCTGTTGCAGCAGGCGATCGTCAGTGACAAGATGTCAGGCTTCATGACCGTGCCTTCTGGTTCAGGGTGGGATGCTCCTGGCTGGGAAGTGCGGGGTTTCATGCTGGATGCTGGTCGTCATTGGTTCGAAACATCTTTTCTGAGTACATTCTCTGTTCATCTGTCATTTACGACATCTAATATATTTGAAGCCGATCTCTGCACATACGCCTCTTTCTTCAAATTGAACGAGTTCCACATTCACGCATCCGACAATCTATGGGACCCGAACTGGCTCTACACCGATCTTTGGCCAGAGCTGTACTCAGGCTTCCGGTTTCGACCCGCCAACGATTCTGCAAACTACGGCGTCGTGCCTCAGTTGAACGAAAGTTGGTCCCAGTCCGATTTCCAGGCGATGCAAAGCAGTTGCGCTGCACACGGGATCACCATTGTTCCAGAGATCGATACGCCAGGGCACTCGCTTGCCATCAGCCAGTGGAAGCCGGAGCTCATGCTTGCGGGAAATCCTGATCAGCTGAATTTATCCTATCCTGCGACGATCCCGACGATCCAAGACTTGTGGGAGGAGTTCCTGCCCTGGTTCACTTCTACCGAAATCTCGATCGGGGCTGACGAGTACCCTTCCCAGTATGCGGACGAATACATCTATTTCGTGAACGACATGGCCGACTACGTCTACGCTCGATCAAGGAAAAGTATCCGCGTTTGGGGCACGTACGAACCGAGCAACACTTCCTCCATCTCTAAGAACGTGACGATCCAGCACTGGGATTTCCCGGGGGATACGATCCCCGTCCAGCTCCTGGCCGACGGGTACAAAGTGATCAACAGCGAGCAAGTGTTCCTCTATCTAGACGGGAAGACCTCCGACGGCAACCAGTTCCCTCTCTCACTGAACGAGTCCCTTTTCTGGACCGGCGCACCAGGCGAAGTAGGCTGGGCACCAAACGTCTTCTCCGCCACAGACGAGTCGAACAACACATACCCCGGCGACCCCGGGCTCCGAGGGGCCATCTTCGCACTCTGGGAAGACTGGGGGAACAACGCTACCGATCCTTTGGAAGTCTACCTCCAGCTGAGCAAGAGCATCACTCTTTTTGGGGAGAAAAGCTGGGCTGGATCGGGGGTGCGAAGCACGCAGCTCACGCAAGAGCAGTTCGATTCCGTTTATCCGGCACTGAATGCCCGCGCCCCGGGCCAGAACCTGAACCGTGCTGTGAAGCCCCTTGGCCCCCAAGGGGAAGTCTTCTCCCTCAACTTTGGGGGACACGACTTCAGCCAAGGGCCAGTGGGTACAGGTGTGCAGAGTGTAGGCCCGCCGTACGTTCTGAGCGTCACGCTCACTCCCCTCTCAGGGGAAGGCACGCTCTTCCGAGGAGAGGACACGGCGCTCCTCTTACAGAACCTGACGTTTGTTGATGTCCCCACCAACACCTATTTCTCACTTCCGCTCAGCCTACCCCTGGGCGTACAGAGCACGCTTGAAATCCACGCTACCTGTGAATATACCTACCTTCTCCTCCAGGGGCAGGGGCGGGAAGTATACTGGACGACGCGGATGGATATTTGGGGGGAGAGGATGCAACTGGGGAACATGAGCTTCCCTGCGCCTTCGGCATGGATAGGAGAAGGGTTCGAGGGGGAGATTGGGGAGGTGGTCTTGCGTTTAGGCTAGTAGAGGTTAAGATACGTTGTACATTCTAGGCTACGAGTACATAGTACATACATGGGTAGTGTACAGTATAAGTCCACTGGAATACAATACTCTACAGGAAAACCAAGCAAGATCCTACGAAAATCCGAGTACAACGGGACTAACCGGAGTGCGCAACTCCCTCCTCCCCTCCCCCTCTCCCAGTCCCTTAGCAGCGACCTTCCCCTCACTTACCAGTACTCCTAAGCCCAGCCTCCTCAGTCCCAGCTCGACATCTTCAGGCTGCTCCGTCTCCCACCCACGGACACTCACGCCCACCTGTTTGCGCCTTGCGTACTCCAGTAAGGAGGGGTCGAGCAAGCAAGCATGTACGAGCGCCCGGATCGTACTGAGGGGAGTGTCGGACGCGTGGAGTACGGTTCCCTGTTCCAGGGAGTGGACGAGCTGGAATGCGAGGGTTTGCGGGGCGTAGCTCGCTGGTGGGGGGAGGGAGCGGGTCGTTAGCCGGCGGAGGGAGGCGTAGAATGCCCATAACCGGTTGAGCGTTGCAGACGTGACCAGGGACTGGGAGGTCACATGTAGCCTTATGAGGAATAGTTCGCTGTCCTACGTTAGTGAGGCCGGGGGGGAGGGTTAGGGAGACGTACAGGTCTAGCAGCCGTACTACGCCCTCCCTCCGCTCTTCGGCTTGTGAACCTGTACCCCACTCGCCTTCCGTATCCGACTCCCTTAACCACTGGTTCACTTTCTCGAGCGCTTCCTGGCAGCTGAGCGCAAGATGTGAAAAAAGATACCTGTTCTCGCCCGGTGCTGGGAGGGGGGAGAGGGCGTGAGCCGCGATGAGGAGGACTTGCTGGCGGGCGTCGATGAGTGTTCCGAGGAGGGGACCGGTGAGAGGGGGGAGGAGGGAGATCCCTGGATGGGGAAGGGAGGGGGAGGCGAGAGGATCGGAAGGGAGGGAGAGGGAGAGGGGGTGAGGGGGAAGAGAGGCGAAGTGCGAGGCTGGGAAGGTTGGGTGCGTTGGTGTTAGGGTTGGGGAGGGAGAAGGAAAGAGAGGAGGGGGGTGGAAGGCGAACACTGTTGTGCACGTGGGGGATGTGCAGGTGGGCATGGGCATGGGAGATGAGAGCATGGGAGAGGGAGAATCGACGTGCATCCAGCTGTTGTCGGTGTAGGTCGGGTACATCTTGTGTTGTTGACCTGAGGGGTCGAGATGAGATGAATTGGGAGCAGAAGAGGGAGAGTGGGAGAGCTTGTTATATGCGCCAAGCTGGGAGGTCCGCGACAGAGGGCGATGTACCGATACAACGATATACCGATACTTGATATCGTATTGTTGAAGTTCCGGCTAGTTTGAACTATTGATGTGTGATTCGGAAGCTCAAGAGACGAGACATGACAGTCCATGGAAGAGTTCCAAGAGCAATAATATCAGCACCAATAGCCATAGTATCAGCACCAGAAGCAATGTGAATCATAGTAAGATCCGTGTCGGCATATAAAGCAGCCAGTCTCAGCATGTTGAGTCGGAAGCTGGTGGCGGTCTGGAACGAGTGAGGCGGAAAAATATCGGCGTCGGATGCAACAAAGTGGTTGGCGGCTGTGCTGTTCCTCGGCCATGACCCATCTTATCTCCGACAGTTTCTTTGGTTTTACGACGATTGTTGACAGTACTGTACACACGAGTAGGATGCTTGTGCCCTCCCCCGTCTCTCTCTCGCACAGCTATAGGTCGCAACTCACTGATGTCTGGGGATTGACAACAACTTCCTCTCTACCCTCCCCCACCTGGGAGTGAACCCTCACCTCACGCCCAATACCGCACAGTTTCCGTGTTCCAAATCATTATCCGCCACGTCGGCGGCCTGGTCTCGGCCCGCCAGCTCCCGGAGAAGAAAAAACAGGCGCGGACCAACCGATTTGAGATTATCGCGCACAAACGTGCGTATACCTGGACCAAAGGGACCAAGAGGTAGACGTGAAGCCTTGCCCCTGACTCGATTTCGTCGCTGTTTCGTCCCTATGTCCACATTTGATCTCGTATGCTTTCACCCCATTGACATACATGCGATGGACTTACGGAGACCAAATTGAACAGCATCTGCTTGGGGTCATGTCACAATCGTCAACGTCTTGATGAGCAGTGCTTATGCCAGGCAACACGAGTCAGCGCCAGCACACATATCTCTTCAATCCAACTCTGAATTGCGCACGACTACAGGTCCGCCAAAACGACATGTGCCGTACATCTATTCTGAAACGGTCAAATCTTGACTCGTGGCGGGAGCGGGACAGATCAGATATCTGATCAATTGGTACGGCGACTCAGCAGCAATCGTTTCCGCCCCACTTGGGCTTGATCGCGACGACGATTCTGCATACTGCTGCTACCGCTGATTCTACTTTCTTCCCTGGTCTCAACGACTTCAGCGACGAATGCCAATAGTGGTTCTCCTTCTCTACTCAACTTTGCTACGTTTTTCTAGAAGGATCTATTAGAGGTTACTGGATTTAATTATCTGCCAGAGGTGTCGCTAGCATCCGATGCCGATCTTGGCGGTCTCATCTACCTAACGCTTGGTGCTATCAATTACTCTCTGTACGACGGCCAGTGAAGGATACGAGTTTGATGTCATCCGCCAAACGAGCGTTATCCCACGCAGGGGGACTCGAAGTGCATGGTGTAGCACACGAACTTTGCTGGTGCAGGCGATCCTGAGAGAACAAATATCGGGATTCATGACGGTGTGTTTCGGTTCTGGACAGGATGCACCTGCGAGGGAAGCGCGGGGTTTTGCTGGATGCCGGTCGTCATTTCTTCCATACGTGGTTCTTAAGTACGTCCTTCGTTCATCTATCACTTACGACATCTAATATCTCCAGAGTTGATCTCTGCACCTACGGCTTTACCTTCAAGTTGAACGAATTTCACATTCACGCATCCGACAATTTGTTAGACCCGAACTGGATCTCCACCGATCTCTGGCCAGAGCTCTACTCAGGCTTCCGATTCAGACCAGCCAACATCTTACAAACTACGGTGTCGTGCTTCAGTTGAATAAAATCCGTACCCAGTCCCATTTTCAGGCGATGCAAACCACCTGTGCTGCGCATGGGATCACCATCGTTCCGGTGCACGATACGTCAGAATACCCGCTTGCCATCAGTCAGTCAAATTCAGCCATCTACCATTTATATGAAGTGACAATATGCGATGACACTGAAATAGCAACATATAATGATGGAACCTCGGCATATCTACAAAACAAGGGTCTCGTATACATATTAGAAGCAATCGCGGTCGTTACCAGGTGATATACAATTTCAGTTTTCCGTGGTTGTCATACACCTGTAGGTCACGGACGAGTTGGTCAACATCGGTGGCTCCAGACACAAATCATACTGCATACTTTGTAGTTCCTTTCCTGCTCAGAGCATAATCATGTGAGCATTGACCATTCAAAATGAAATGTATCCTGAATACGTACTATTCCTTGGGATGCACCAACTGGATTCGGCATCGTCGGATCACATGAATACTCAACCTTTGCCCAGACGGCCTGCGTCACCGTGGCTTCACGGAAATCATGGACCGATTGACCGTACAAGTTCCTCAAGGACGAATTACCTCGGGCACTCATTGTGACGTTTCCGAATTCAGGAATGTTGAAACGGACAGTAGTGTTGCAACGGGAGTCATTACCTTCCTATCGGTTCTTCAGCAATGAAAATACGCCGTGAACCTGTATGACGCACACCCTGAATAGTAGGGCGTCCACCAACTGGAATGGATAAAAGACCGGAAAAGCTACAGTAAGAAGAAAGGTTCTCAGTCGATGCAGACTAGGATGAGGAGGCGATGAACTCACGTCGTTGGCATGGCTGAAATTGTGCTGGCGGGAGGAGTTGGAAGAGCGTGCTGCAGGTTTCGAGGTTCCGAGTCCTGAGCTCGGGGTGCAGAGGTAGTATGCGTCGCTTTATATAGAGCTAGAGGGGTGTAGGAAGAACAATGACGCGATTTCAGTCCTTAGTCGCAAGGGCCATGCATGCCAAATTGGCCCAGGCCAGAGCTAGGACTCTGTCCTGAGTGCTAGGATGCCCCAGGACAACTCAGTAAGGAGTTGCGGTCGGTCATTTACAACTGCCGGTCTTCCCCACTTCCCGTTCTTCCAATTTCCGGTCTTCCCAAATACCGGTCTTTCGAACCGCCGGTCTGTGGAGAAGCCTGCAAACCCGGAGACCTGTGGTTGCCTGACTTCCAGAAGATCTCGACTGGATGATATTGATGTGCGGGCAGCAACAATTAATTCCCATCCTCTTTCCTGCCGCATCATGGGGCCAAAAGGGCTGCTGGCAAGTCGTGTTGTGATAGGGATCTCATGTGGCTGGCAGGACTAGAGCGGATAAGCGCCGGGGCGAAATGGGTACGAGAGGCTCCCTGGTACGTGATCGTCAGCGATAAGCAGCCGATTTGCCGTCATGCAGATTACACACCGCTGAGTGGGGGCATGATAGAGAGCGGTACATGTCTGGACATGTGTCCTTCGGTACTGCATAGTGCTGCCAGTTTGCGTGTATGGTCTGGACACGCGCGAACTTTGCGCCATACGGCAGTTCAGCTGGCTAATCCTATCCTTCTTGCTGTCCACTTTCTTCCACACTTACCTTTAGGCTGGTAAAATTAGACAGAACCTCGTCACAGAGCCTTTTGGAGTCGATACCTCACATAAGGAGTAGAAACGTGATTGTCAGTCCTGTACAACACAACACGGGCAGATGGAAAAAACATATTGGCTCGGCATCCGAGAGATGGAAAGACCAGTGGCTGTGTACTGGTCGGCCATAACCGCGGCCTTATCCCCGACATTCCCTGGACCCTTGCGGCCATTGAACCGTTTCGTCGTGATCCTGCATTGTCCTAACACTTGTCTGCGCCGGCGCAACCTCAAGATGTCCCAAAAGTCCCCCCTCCCCTACATCGCCTTCTGCGTACTCAACATTTACGTCCTCCGCAGCGTGAACGAAGTCCTCCTCAAGCCCTATATGGTGTGCCCCACCCAACAGAGTCTGCGCGCACCTAACCCATTCGATGCAGGACGAACCCTTCCACGTCCCCCAGGCACAACGTTACTGTTCTTTCGAGTTCGACACGTACGACCCGAAACTAACCACCCCGCCTGGGCTGTATCTCTTCTCTCTAGGAATCTCCAAGCTCTTCGCTATGCGCTGCTCCCTCCCCCTGCTGCGATTTCACAGCACTCTGCTGCTTCTCTCCCTTCCCCCAATCCTCTCCCACCTCCTGCCTTTGCTCCAGCCCCCACCGTGCTCCGAGCCCCCTCGCACGTTTTTGGAAACACTCAGACCCGGGTGGGAGGCCATCGTACTGGGTTTCATGCCCGTGGCGTGGTTCACCGGGTTCTTGTACTATACCGACCTGGGCGCGGTGGTCTTCGCCCTGGGAGCGATCGTAGCGGCCAAACGGGGGCAGAGCGGGCTTGCAGCACTACTCGGTATGCCTTTCCTAGAGCTGGGAGAGAGGATAGCTGATCAAGGATGCAGGTACAGTGGGTTGCTTGTTTAGGCAAACGAATATCGTCTGGCTGGGATATGCAGCTTCCCTCCAAGCGCTCGAGATCCTCCACCGCCCGTCCCCTTCCAAACCCCATCTCGCCGACCCAACACTATCACTCACTTCCCCCACCCTTCTCCTGCGCACCCTCCTCTCCCTCCCCTCGCTCTGTCTCTCCCGCCTCCCTGAGCTCTTATCCCACCTCTGGCCCTACGTCCTTCCCCTAACATCGTTCTGCGCCTTCGTACTCTGGAACGGCGGGATAGCACTTGGGGATAGGGCACACCATGAGCCCACGCCGCACTGGGTGCTCCCAATGTACTTCCTCGTCTTCAGTACCGCGCTTGCTGCTCCTGCCTTGGCGGGGGGCCCGCTCGGAGTCCTAGGGTTGGGGAGGGTCGTAGCGAGCAAGATTTTCTCCACGCCGCGGTACGCCTCCCACCGTCTCACTTTTCATCAACTAACGGCCTCCAGGCGGATAGGCTTCACACTTGCCTGGACGGCAGTATTATGCATCCTCATTAATAGGTATACGATTGCCCACCCCTTCCTCCTCTCCGACAACAGGCACTACCCGTTTTACCTCTGGCGGCGGCTTATCTCCCCCTTTCCGCTCGCGCGGTACCTCTGGGCTCCCGTTTACCTCCTCTGCTTCAGGATCTGGACAATAAGGCTAGGGGAACAGCCCTTGCTACCCCTACTCTCCCTCGCCATATGTACACTTGCAACTCTGGTCCCGACCCCATTGTTAGAACCGAGATACTTTATCATCCCTTTCCTCCTGCTGCGGTGTTATTTGGAGACGAGCGCGCTGGGCGTCGCGGGGGAAGGATTGGGGTATGCGGCACTGGATGGGGGGAGCATGGCCGTGTTTTTGGGGAAGCCGTTTGATGGAGGTTGGGGAGTTGGGAAGGGGAGGTTGATGTGGTAGTCGAGGCAGGTTGATATTGGAATGCAATACCTAATGTGGGACACGCCTTTTCTGATAGGAGCGCGTTTTCATTGTGTCACGTGAGCCACTCTGATGGGCTTGGCCAGGATCGAAACTCCACTCGGCATGCCGGCGCCGTGAGCCCGTGACACTGACCAACAGACACGTTACCTCCTCTTCCTATTTTCATTCGCCAAACCCAATCGCTGAGGCGCTGTCTCAGGCTAAACTAGAACAAGAATCTAATATAGTAGGAATGTGATGCCAAGAGAGTTGAGGGGGAAAAGGCTTGGCGTGACCAGAAAGTGAATGGACGCCGGCCCTAACCAGCGAAGACAGCCTCAATAACATCGACAACATCTCCAATGTTGCATTACTCAAATCATAACTGCAACTAATTATCTGAGCATGATCTCAGTGACCCATTCTATGTTCGCCAGCCCGAGCTCCTGCAACCACACCCGGAACTCCTTTCCCTTCTCCGTCTCCGGGACTTGTACATGGTCGAACCGGCTGTGTGCCGTTTGACCGTCTTGTTCCGCCTGATGGAGGTTGAGGTTTGAGAAGTCGGCCGTCAACCTCCTCCTCCCAATCTCCAGCAAGACCGCGTCCACGGATACGTTCCAATTGATGGCAACGTTCTGGTGGGTCGGCCAGATGAACTCAAGATTCCACCACATCCGCTTCACCTGTTCCCCTCCTTTATGCCGCTCCTTCCACAGATAACTGTCGATCTTGTTCAGTTGATCATACCGGTTGTTCTCCTCGATGCCAAGAGACGGGAGCCAGGCGTTCCATACTGGCCATTCGACGCGGTATCCACTGACAGCCCATACAGCGACACCCCTATCGATATATAAGCACTGCATATACGGACACTGGACGTACATCATAAGATGACGGTAGAAAGGCTTGGCGTGACCAGAAAGGAGAAATGGACCGCAGGGGATTGAGATTGAATTCCTCCCGCAGAGGGTTCTTGTTACAGGTGAGAGCCTAAACCTGTGCCCAGAGTTAGACCACACACACAGAGCTTGCTGGCAGCTCGGAGTCGGCAGTCGGACATCGGTCTTTTCCCCTGTTTTCTCACTCTTTTATTTCTTGCATTTTGTCTCGTCTTATTGTTACTTCTGGATAGAAGTGACAGGGGGATCGGAGAAGTAGGACTGCCAGGTGGCACCACCCTCGGCTCAATCAGCAAACCCAGCGCGGACTATCCTTCATTCATTCCGATCACCAACTGTGACCACCAATAGCAGCCACTTGGTGCCCATCCTTCCTTCTGCCAAACCGTCATGCACCCCCTCGCTCTCCTCCCCTTCCTCCTCCTCCTCATCCCCACCAATGCCAGACGCGTCCAACACCCCAACCTGCCGCACACCGCCCTCATGCGTACGCGCGCTGCCGAGGTCCGGCAGACTTTTGAACAAGCGTTCGAGGACTACCGCTTGTATGCGTGGGGACATGACGAGCTTGCACCGCTCACGATGAGGGGGTATGATACGCGCAATGGGTGGGGAGCGACGATTGTCGATAGCATGAGTACGATGCTTGTGCGCCCTCTTCTCTCACTCTTTGCGTGAAACATTGATCCTTGGTCATGGATAGGTCATGGGGCTTGACGAGCTCTTCCTCTCTACCCTCCCTCACCTAGAAGCGACAAACTTCACCTCCCCCCCAAAACCGGGCACTGTCTCCGTGTTCGAAACGATCATCCGCTACGTCGGCGGCCTGGTCTCGGCCTACGAGCTCTCGGGGAAGAAACACCAGGTGCTGATCGACCAAGCCGCGACCCTCGCGCACAAACTTGCGCATGCTTGGACCGAAGGGAGGGAAGAAAATGCCCCCCGGAACATGCCCTACACCTGGATGAACTTCGTCACCAACCAGCCTGAGACGGGCGTTGTAGGCCTCGCCACGGCCGGGACGAACATCCTCGAGTTTGCCAAACTCTCAAAGTACTCCGGGAACGCCACGTTCTTCGATTTGGCAAAACGGTCCATGGACGCTGTCCTCCGCACGACTCAGTTCCGCCCGGGGCTGTTTGGGGAGGCGTATAGCCCCTTGCTGGAGATAGTCGTGAATGATAAAGTTAGCTTTGGGCCGAATTCGGACTCGTTCTACGAGGTGCGACATATTTTCTGTTGCGGGATAGTCACTGACCCCAGAGCAGTATTTGATCAAGGTGCGCATTTCCAGTTTGGAGTGGAAGGAGAGTGCGAGCTGATGCGAGTAGTATGCGCATATGACGGGAAACGCTGATCCTGTTTATATGGACACTTGGCTTACGGGGGTGAACAGTGCTATGGAGAACATGTTATTCAAGAGCACGGTGGGTGACTGGCTCTGGCTCAGCGACTGGAGCAACCGCACGGGTTACAGTTGTGCGTCCCCCTCTTCTCCTTCTTCCCTCTTCCAGTCCGGATCGCGGTTCACTCCACTCACCCTGTGCAGATCAGTTCTCCCACCTCGCGTGCTACCTCCCCGGCAACTGGCTCCTCGGCGCCCGTCTAGCACACAACAGCACGATCTACCGCACCGCCCTCTCGCTAGCCGAGTCCTGCGCCCATACCTACTCTTCCACGCCCCTCGGTATTGGCCCCGAATCATGGCACTACGTTCCCGTTGGCGTGGAGTACGCCGCTCAACCGTACCAAGGCAGCCGTGCGGCGGAGATTTACGGCGAGCGCGGGTACTGGACCTCGGATGCATCCTATATCCTCCGTCCGGAGGTAGTGGAGAGCATGTTCTACGCATGGAGGATCACTGGAAACCCCATTTGGCAGGAGAGGGTCTGGGCCGCTTTCGAGGCTGTCAGGAAACATTGTAAAGCCCCAGCGGGATTTGCGAGCTTGATCACGGTGGAAACCGATTGTGAGCTGCTACTTTGATTCTGGGGTTGTGCTGATACGGGAATAGCACCTGTGAGGAAGGACGAGTCCGAGGTGAGCATAATCCCTCCCCTAGGTAGGCAGGCCGATGGCTAACATGCACTCGCGCGCTTCAGTCATTCTTCTACGCCGAACTGATGAAGTACTTCTACCTGACATTCTCCGACCCCTCCGTGATCCACCTCGACAAATACACGATCACGACCGAAGCGCATCCTCTTCTCCTAGAAACAGAGCAATTCGACTTTGGCCCAGAGCCGGCGTGGGTCGTCACTGAGGTAGAGGGTGACCAGAGGGTGGAGGAGGGAAGGGTGGACGGGTGTGGTGGGAGTGGCGGCACGGGCATGAGTCAGCTTATGATGCTTCTGGACTTTTACGTGCCTGCGCTAGAGAGGTGTAGTGCGACTTCCTGAGCTTGTGGGCTCTGCGTGTGCCGTGAGCGCTGGGGGTGCACTGGCGGGAGTGCAGGGACAGGGAGGAGGTGGGACTTAGCGGCTGCTTGCAGGAGGGAAGGAGGGTGGGCGGGAGGGATTTAAGCATCATGTATTTTGTATATCACATTTGAATATACCGGACGTCCTAGACTCCACTACCTAATTTGGAGTGGTTGGACTAGCCTTCCTCGGTGGGGCACGAGCAGGGAACAGAAGAGGACACCGGAGAACGGCCGAGATCCGTGTGCGCTGCGAAGATGGAAACTTGTTGTGCAGTATACGGGCGAGAAGGTGGCAAATCAGCCTAATTTGAGTTTCTCGTATATTATGAAATGAGTCAAACACGGCACTCGGGACAATGTCATTTATTACTGGCTCGCATGACAATGTCCAGCTTCTACCTCGCGTGCTCTTCAGGCGCCGTTCACCACCCGCTTCCCTTTATTAACATATATCCTCGCCTCATACGGTCTCAGCACATGTTTCCCCGCTTTAGGCAAGTTGCTCAGCAGCAGCTCTGGCTGACCCTTAAACGTCGAAGGAATGACGAACGACTGATCTTGATTCGTAAAGTTGAGCAGCACCAGCGCATTCTGGTCTCCATTCCGCTTGATGTACGTGATGGTGTTGTCGTCCTCGGATTCGTGGAGCTCAAACATGCCATATATGAAGAGCTCTTTGTACTCCTGCCTCAGCGTCAAGAGCTGGCGATAGAATGCAAGTACCGAATTGGCGTCCTTCTCCTCAGTAGCAGCATTTATCTCCTTGTAGCTGTCGTTCACCCGCATCCACGTGTCCTTCGCCGTGCTGAATCCAGCCTGGGATGAATCATCCCACTGTATGGGCGTGCGCCCGTGGTCTCGTGCCGTCCGCTGTGCGCCGTAGATGCCCTTCTCTAGCATGCCCTTGTCCGACCCTGCCATCCGGCGCAGCTCGACCATGTAGTCTATCGTGTTCAGATCTTTGTACTCCTTGTCGACGTCCCACGAGGGAGGCATGTTGACCATCCCCAGCTCCTCGCCTTGGAAGATAATGGGCGTGCCGGAGAGTGTCAGGAGGTACGTAGCGAGCATCTTGGCTCCTGCCACACGATACTTGGGGTCGTCGTTAGCAAACCGGCTGACAGAACGCGCCTGGTCGTGATTTTCCAAGTAGGTGGTGCACCAGCCATCATGTTCGGGGATAGCGAGCTTCTGCGCATCCTCTGTGATGGCCTTGAATAGCCTCAAACTCCAGTCCCGGTGCCACAGGCGCAGCTCTCCTCCGCCATGATCCATCGATGCGAGGTCGAACTGGATGACCATATCGAGTTCTTTCTCTTTCGTGCTGACGAAGGGGAGGACATCGTGGAAGTTTGGAGTATTAGGGCACTCGCCAATCGAGACAACGTCGTATCGTCCAAAACACTCACGGTGCATCTCCTTGAGGAACTCGTGCAGTCTTGGCCCGTTGGAATAGAACTTGTCAGCCGGCTGCCAGGGCGTACTCGGGTCGACTATGTCGGCATCAGGGAAATCGAGCCATTTGGAATACATGTTTACTGTGTCGATCCGGAAGCCGTTGACACCTTTGTCCAGCCAGTAGTTCACAGCTGTTGCATAGACTGCTTTCCGGACTTCGGGGTTCTCCCAATTCAGGTCGGGCTGTTGGGGTGCAAAGTAGTGGAGGTAGTACTGAACATCATCTGTGTCAGTAAAAAACACACGCGCGGATTACAGAATGGCATACCTCCTGCGTATGTTCATCCCACTGCCACACACTACCCCCAAAGTTGCTCCTCCAGTTATTCGGCGGTGCCCTCTTCCCATCTACCATCTTCGCCGGTTTCCAGATATACCAATCTCTCTTCGGACTTTGCTTGCTACTTCGACTCTCTTGAAACCATGCATGCTCGTGCGAGGTGTGGTTTACTACGAGGTCGAAGATGACTTTCATCCCACGCTCATGCACCCCAGAGATGAGCGCATCGATATCCGCTTTGGTGCCGTACGGCGCGTGCACGTCTTGGTAATCTGAGATATCGTAGCCCATGTCATACTGAGGTCTAGAAGAGATGTCACGTCGGTCCCCACAGACACGCAGCGAGCAGGAATTCAGGAACGCACGATTTGTAGAACGGACAGATCCAGAGTACGTTCACCCCGAGAGCCTTTAGATAGTCCAGCTTTGATATTATCCCGGGAATATCGCCCAATCCATCACCATTCGAGTCTTTGAAGCTAGCAGGATAGATCTGCATACACACGCAAGTCCCATTAGCGCATGTGCATATTGGTGAATCCTGCACACGGCTACCTGGTAGATAGTGGCCTCTTTCCACCACTTGGGCACGGTGCTCTCCATCTAGTTTGCGGTCTGGTAGAAATTGGATTAGAAAATGGGGGCGATCGTTGCAGGAAGTGTTGAGGCATGCCCGTTGCGGTGGTCCGAGACTATATATATGCTCCGGTGTGTGTGACCCAGGTGCACGAACACCCGTGCGAATAAACGCCGGGCACGCGCCCGTTCCACGTGAGTGAATACCTCCGATCTCGGTCCTCTTTCGGCGGTCACGTTGTCCGTGACCTTCGAGCTACCCACGTCAAGGGAAAATACCATTCTGGGCTTACCAACAGGCTTCTATATGCGTCATTCCTTGGGAAGACAGGCATGACCCTTACGCCGATATGGACGGAACATGCAAGAGTGACGTAATATCGAGTACACGTGTTGACTGCCAACACGGCCCCGTGCCCATCCTCCAGACCGTGCCGTATCCAGGCAAACATCACCCCAAGCTTTTCCTACCCTTTTCGGGGCTTTGAAAACGTGTTGACTCTATATCCAATCTATGATTGACATCTTTCTCTTCATACACCGGAACATACCAAGATCCGTCGGACTGATTTTGAGACCACCAGGTCAGACGACCTCAAATGGTCGTCCAGCGTGTATTCTAATTGACTTTAAACACGGTAATCCACTGGACCCCCAACTTTCCGATATCACGCTATTGGGCTACATGTGTACGATTCTTCAGAAGTTGATCTCCTTCGCAGGTAATCGGTTGTCTTCTCCCAAAATGCCAAAGAAACAGCCTAGTATGATTACAGTGGTATACAACATAATATGACACGCAAGCAATGTTTGGTGATGTAAAGTGGTGACAGACTGGCACAGAACCCAATATAGAATGATCACCTCGTTCCGAGACAACTCACCTCAACTCCAACCCTAAGCAATTCTCGGTCGTTTCCGCGCCATCCCCCGTTGTTGTTGTTGTTGTTGTTGTTGCTGCTGCTGCTGTTGCGCTTGCTGTTGAGTGGTCCACATCCTAGCGCCCGGAAGACCCACAGCGCTCGTCCCAACCAAAGTGGTACTTGCCTGGGGCTGGCCAGCGAGCGGCGCCGGCGGGGCAGCAGGTCTCTGGGAAGTAGCGCTCGTATTCGCTGTTTGTGCAGGTGGGGCGTGTGCCGCTGGTTCTGCGAATAACCCGCCTTCGTCCGCTGTGATACGCCTAGTTGGGTAAGGCTTTGTCGCGTATGCAAAAGCGTTCTTTGTCGGTGCAGGCGCGTCGGTCGTGAAGAACGGGTGGTTTAGAGCGTCCGCAGCGGTGAGTCGTTTATCTGGGTCCCAGGTGAACAGCTCTTGCAGCGCCGCTCGTCCAGTGTCCATCGAACGCATATACCGATTCAGGAATATCCCCATGTTATTCTCGAATCGCGGCTTGGAGGGATCTTGCCGTGCGCGCTCTCGCTCCATGGCTTGCAGTTGCGGGTAATCAGGCATCCAGGAGAGAAGGGGCCATTCGTCAACTGTGGGTGCACCGAGGACGTCCATGATTTTCATCATCTGGTCTTTTTGGAAAGGGAGCTTCTTGGATGCGTCCATCTTTGCTTCGTCGCCTTTGAAGATAGGTCTTAGGGAGAGGAGTTCAGCAAAAATGCACCCAACGGCCCACATGTCTGATGTGTCCGGTTAGAAATATTTTGTTAATCAGTCCATCTGAGACGTACCAATCGCTGTCGTATAATGTTTCGCTCCCAGTAGCAACTCCGGTGCACGATACCATATCGTCACCACTACCTTGTCTCCATTCAAGAGTGGGACAAGCGGGCGGTGAAACACCCTCGCCAAGCCCAGGTCTCCGATTTTGACGATACCATCGTCTGTGATGAGGATGTTCGCCGGCTTGAGATCACGGTGCATGATGAAATTAGAGTGAAGGTATGCGACGCCGTTGAGCAATTGGTACAGGAGTGATTTGAGCACACCAAGAGGTAGAACGGATCGTGGATGGGAGGTGCTGTGAAAGTGGATCACTTGCTATGCGTGGGAACAGTAAATTTGGATACTGGAGGGTAGCGTGATGGACGCACCAGAAAGTCATGCTCCGCGTACTCGAACACCATGAACACGGCCTTCATCTCTAAGATGACTTCCCTCAGCGCAATCACATTCTCGTGCCCAATCTCTCGATTCAACGCGATCTCCCGGCAAGCGCTCTGGCTCAGACCTGTATATCCCTCCCCACCCTCCTTCTCCGGTTTGAACTTCTTGACAGCATAGAAAGCGCCAGCCTCGCCCTTCAAATCACCGGGTCTTGGAGCAGCGACTGCTTGAGGGAGAAGAAGGACCTTGTATACTTTGCCATATGTACCGGAGGAGATGAAGCCTTGAGATTCGTATTTCGATGCGACGCCGAGCCGGGAGGTATCACGGCGCCGTTTGTAAGCTGCCATGAGTGGGTTGGTGTCCAGCCCGGTTGCCGTCGAGGATACCGCCATCCTTCATTCAAGACACCTGTCCGTAGGTGGAACTGGTGTAAGTAGAGAATTCCACTGGGACTGTATGTTGTAAACCATTCAGACTAGTACTGTCCATCATGAGAACTCATCATGAAGCGCCTACACAGCCACTTCCAAGGTGGTTCTTAACGCCGATATGCCGGGGTATGACTAAAAAAGGACGCTGTGTGGTCTTGCTCGAGCAGGTGCAAGCATCGCTCCGGATGTCCTAGCAGAAGTATGTTCATCATTCACATATCTTCACTCTGTCTTACCGTCACTTTTCAGGATGCTCTAATCCAAGCATCCCTTGTCACAAGACCAACAGACACACAGATCATGGTCAACATCAAAATGAACGACATGCTTAGACCAGCCCAGCCCAGGGCCCGGAAAATCCCTTTGCTGACCGCAGGTTCCAGAACCAAAATGCTCTAGCAGGAGTGGTGGAGGAGCAAGCTATGACTGAGCGTGACTTCCGAGTGCAACATCTCTCGTACTCAATTTTGGGTTATGCCGCGAATCCATCCTTCGCCGCTGATGCGCCAGTTTTGGGATCTTTGGCCATCAACGTATGTAAACTCTTACCTGGCGGCATTGAATCTGTACCCCGGCACATCCGCTCCTTATCGCTGATGATCAGCTACCATGGCGCTTATTTCTGGTAACCATATCACCGCGTTTATGCCCTGCTAGAAATATTATATCCCTATCGCAACACGCCTTGCCAGCAAGCAGGAAGGAGGCTGTGCTTACCGCAAATCATATTATCTACTTCCCACCTTCTGGACGTCAGGCATCTACAAATCTCCGAGTTTGCGAGCTTCTCCACGGACCGGTGGTTAGAAACACCGGTACAGTAGCAAAGACCGGTAGCTGGGAAGAGACCGGCCGCAACTCTTTACTGAGTTGTCCAAGTGTATTCTAGCGCTTAGGGGAGAGTTCTAGCATATGTGTTGGTTGAGTATCATGAACAATGCGACTAAGGACTATAGTCGCGTCATCGTTTTTCCTATCCAGCCTCCAGCTCTACACAAGCGATGGATACCACCTCACTCTTGCGTTATCCAGTGCAAACAACCTGCCCCGGAGCTTTCTAGTCCAAGCCTTGAAGCCTGTAACACACTCTTCCAGCTTATCCCGTCAACATATATAATCTCAAACATGTCAACGATGTGAGTTCATCGCCTCCTCATCCTTTTCTGCATCAACTTAGAACCTCTCTCCTTGCTGTAGAGTTGATATTAGTTTCTGGATTCCAGAGGGTGCGCGCCCTACTATGAGGGTTGTACGTCCTACAGATTCACTGCGTGTCTTCTGTTACTGAAGAATCCATAGGAAGGTGCCGAGTCAGGCTATTGCATTACTACTGTCACTTTCGACATACCCCAATTCGGAAACGTCACAATGAGTGCTCAGGGTGATAAGTCTTTGTTGAATTCAGATGGTCAATGGCTCCATCAGTTCCGTGGTGCCACGGTGCAGTGGGGTGTCTGTGCGCATCTTACGTATTCGTGTGATCGGGCGATAAGCACTGCATTAAGTGGATCCTTTGGAGTACGTATTTCGGACACGTTTCATTTCGAATCGTCAATGCTCACATGATTGCGCTCTGAACAGGATAGGCACTACTCAGTATGCAGTATGATTTGTGTCTGGAGCCAGCGGAAGCTGACCACTTCGTCTGTGACATACAGGTGTACGACAACCATGGACAAAGGGTGAAATTGTATATTGCCTGGTAACGACCGCAATTGCTTCTAATCTGTATACGAATCCCTTGTTTTGTATATATGCCGAGGTTCCATCATTATATGTTACTGTTTCAATGCCGATGTCATAGTGACTCCATATGAACGATAGATGGGTGAATTTGACTGAGTAATGGCAAGCGTGTGCCCTGGCGTATCGATCATCGGAACGATGGTGATCCCATGCGCAGTGCAACTGATTTGTACCGCCTGGAAATCGGACTGGGTCAGCTTTGCTCAGCTGAGGCACGACAACGTAGTTTCCTGAAGTGTTGGCTGGTCTGAATCGGAAGCCCTGAGTAGAGCTCTCGTGTCCAATAAATTATCGGATGCGTGAATGTGGAACTGGTTCAGCTGGAAGAAAGAGGCGTGAGGACAGAGATCCGCTTGAGATATGTTAGTTATCATAGGCAACGGTTGAACGAACTTAAAAATAAAGTTTCCAACCGATGACGAGTAGCGTCCAGCATAACGCTGCGAGAATTCAAATCTGGCAATTGAGGAATCTGAGCTCTTGTGGGTGTGACCCGAGGAGTCAACACCAGAAGAAAAACTAGAAGCAGCGGTAGCAGCAGTAGAATCGTCATCGCGGTCACGACTGGGTTGGGCGAGAAACGCTTGCTGGGCATTCTACGTGTGACAATTCCGCAAGAGAATGCTGCTCGTTCTGGCCTCCATGAGTCCATGGCATGGATGACAACGAGAACACGCGAAGACGAATCTGGAAAGAGGAAGGAAACAAATCGAGGCATAAACTTGTAGACGATCTGAATCCGTGCACGTGATACAGCATCTCTTCGATCAGTTTGTACCTGATCGTCGCCGATATATTCTCTTCTGTTACAGGAGCCATCTCAGGGTCACGTACTCTAATCTCTAAGCGTTGTTTCCTACAATGTAACTGTCCCTCACATCCTACCAATGAGGATGTACTTATGCCTCCAGTATTCAGTGAGGGTTCGTGTTGTGGTCATGAAGCGGCCGGAACACTGTGTAGTGGTTCTTAACGCCGATCATCAACACCGACATATAAGAGGTCGCCGATTGTCAGTTATTTCTCGACATCCAGCTGTGCTGTTATAATAGCTTATGATTGTAGCGAATTTTTAATGCTACATCGACGGAACTGCCAGATTGCTATGCTAGACAGAAAATCTTATGGGGCTCAGCCCATGTAGTGTGACGTCATTCACACCACCGCATGACAATGCTTTTTGGACCCAATGAAGCATCCTGCCTTGCCTTACCTGTACACGTCTATGCACCGTGTGAGCAAGCTTAGTGCTGCATTATGGCCGTAAGGCGATTTTGGGCAACTTATCTTCCAGGCTTACCTCATTTGGGAGTCGGCACAAGAAGTGTCTCTTATCCCCGATTTCGGCGATACGGAGGTGTCTGGAACAACCAGCGCACCTGGTCATCCGCTGCACGCACTGCAGTCCAGTCTGAATCCCAACAAAAACGAGAGTCCTGGCACACCGCAGAAGAATCAATTGAGCGATATGTTGAGGGAGGGTATCATCCGGTGTCGATTGGCGATACTTTCAAGGATGGACGGTATACGGTCGTGAGGAAGCTTGGATGGGGCAGGTACAGCACGATCTGGTTAGCCAAGGACAACAAGTTCGGGTGTATCTCTCAATGAAGAAGACACCATGCTGATCTACATTGTTGTAGGAAAGACATATATGTGTCCCTGAAGCTGCTGACCTCCGAATGGACGCCCCGGGAAGACCTGCTCTCAGAAGCCGCATTCCTACGCAAAGCCTCTACAGCCAACCCCTCCCACCCCGGGTCTCAACACGTGCTCACCCTTCTCGACGAATTTCGTTTCAAAGGCCCAAATGGAACACATATCGTGTTGGTGACGGATGTGTTGGGAGAAGACCTGGTCACGGTGAGGGGGCGGTATGACGGCGGCCGTCTCCCGGTCGGGGTGGTGAAGCAGGTGTCGAAGCAGGTTCTATTGGGACTGCAATATTTGCATAAGGAGTGTGGGATTACACACACGGGTATGTAGGCACTCATGAAAAAGGAGTTGTGTCTTTACGTCGGTGTCCAGACATGAAGCCAGACAACATCCTGATTGCACTGTCTCCCCCTCCTGCCATCTGTGATCCTTCGCTCTCACCCTCCGTCGTATCCAACAATTTCATCAGCGAATGTCTCTCCGTCCTCAAGCCTCAAGCTGAGATGATCACCTCTCCCTCAGGAGATCCAGTTCCCATCTCCGTCTCCCAGGCACTCCCGATATTCGCCATGCGCAAAGCGACGAACGGCAACCACCCACTCGAGATTAGGGTCAAGATCGTAGATTTAGGTGTGGCGAACTGGAATGACCGGCATTGGGCGGATATGATCGAGAGCCCGGCCATGCGTGCTCCCGAGGTCATTCTGAGAGCGGGGTGGGATACGAAGGCTGATATTTGGAGCGCGGGCTGCATGGTACGATGCTGTCGCTCCTCATCTCGCAGGGTATTGCTGATGAGCTATAGATATATGAACTCATCATGGGAGAGTGGCTCTTCACCCCCCGAGGCTCCCAGCTTTATACCCAGGAGCAAGACCACCTCTCCCAAATATCTGCCCTCCTCGGACCCATCCCTTCCTCACTGGTCGATCAGGGGAAATATTCACATAAGCAATTCGATGCGCACGGATCATTACCCATCATCTCGCACCCGCCGCGCACACCCAGCCTCGAGAAGAGGGTTGAGCGACAGGATGCGCTCAGCGCGGATCAGTTTGCGGGGTTTGTGAGCTTCTTGAGGGCGATGTTGCAGATCGACCCGGGGAGGAGGGCGAGTGCGACTGAACTGCTGGAGCATGATTGGATCAGGGAAGGAAAGGAGGTGCATTGGTGGAGCGCAGTGTGACACGTACGAGGGCGTGATTGCCCATTCGATGTTGCCGTTGTGAATAGACACGAGACGATCGATGGCACGATCCGTGGCACACGAACCGAATATGTAACTAATCCGACATGACATAACTCTTTATGTTCATATACCACAAAAGTACAATGGGTGCTGGGGTGTGCTGATGGGTAGATAATGTACAATGGCATGAATCCCGTCCATCCAAGATATGACGTCCGACGGGGAGCCACACTCGTACTCATAGCGTCCCAGCCTTCTTCATCGCCTCATACTGCTTGACGGTCAACGTTCTCTGTTCTCTTTTCAGCCTTCTATCGGCTCATATCAGACAATCGACGCACCTGGGAAAACGCATGCATCTCCGCGATCTGCTTCTTGAGTATCTCGTTTACTGTTTCTGCGTCAGCCTCTGGACAAAGGCGGACCAAACGGCAACAAGGGACAAGGGACAATGGCTTCCAGCTTCTGCGGGAGAAGACGTACCAAGCCGATGCCGCTTGAGCGTGATAAGCCCCTCGAAGTCGTCGCTCACTATTAGGACATAGTAGTTCTCCCCGCAGCCTGAGGACTGGTCTTGGATCTCCTGAGTGAAGGGCTTATTCAGAGAAGGAGGAACGGGCTGGGTGGGGAGGGGACGAACGAGGTGCGCAAGTTTGGGGAGGGCGGCGCGCAGTGTGGAGGAAAGCTCGGATTGGGCGACCATCGTGCAGCTGCAGGGGGAGCAAGGGAGAGCGGCCTGCCGGGAGACCGGGAGGTGGATGGATGGAGAAGATTGGTGTACGAGTCAGGGATTCATTGATGTCGTGACATCAGATATCGGCGATTAGGGGGTCGGCGATACGGGTCTACAAAGACTATTGCCCACAGCTGAACAACACACTTACTGTGAGGTAGTCAAGATTGTATAAGCATCAAGCTAGTCTGAGATAGATTTAGTGCAGACCCCATCAACAATATCCGTCCGCCTTCCGTTCGAGAGATGGGCTTTTATAGGTGATGATATGTAGCACGTTCATTTCGGGGAATCAGTAAAAGCGCAACCCAAATATATTGTGCAAGTCTCATTTCCGGTTCACCCAAATGAGTACCACTATCCAAGAGCAGTACTCTCTTGTGAGTGTTATCGTGAAACTAGGCTTGCTGAGTTCGACATTTCGGGAGACAGTCGCTACTCATACATGCCATAGAAAGGCCTCCTACAACTGTACCTTAGACCGTCCGCCTCACACCGCTCTGCCGCAGGCCATGCGTCGTCCCAAATTCTGTTATATCTCTCGCCTCTCTTAAGTAAACGCAAATCAGTCATCCACAAGACCCGACTAATCCCGAACCTTGACGCCACACGCAGCGGGCCGACGCCCTCCACCCGCCCATCCCTGAGCTGAATGCCCTCGTTCATAGCTTGTGAGATATACGTCATTGACTTGGGGCTTGACGACCGCCCTCTGTGTTTGAGACTAATAGCGCAGGGCGGGCGGGGATGCTGGAGTAGATGCGCTAGTGCCTGGTACTGCACGTCATGTGTCTTGCTGACAGGAGCGACTAGTTATTGATGTCCTAGACATTCCAACTCGCCGAGCTCATGGCCATAGTCTTGTATTCTTGAGTAGTCGACTTGCCACTGTAGTTCGCTAAGTCTATAGTTATGCAGAGTCTCGACCATCGCAACCACAATGTCGCGAATTGCCGTGCCGCGGTCCGTCTCCCGTCATTCACCAGGGTTTTCTGTATGGCAGATTACGATATGAGTGCCTTGTGCCCTGCCCCGGCGGAGAGAGGGTGGTAGGCGCGTATCGATGTGCCTCGAGTGGAGATAGGCGGTATGTGTGGTATTTTAGATCAAGTGCCTGGTCCCTTGTCATACTTCGGGTGTTGGTTAATGACTTGTTGTAAAGCAGTGGCAGTGTTCGATTGTATAAGAATGTTCCAGGGGACATTTCGATCTCGGCCATCAGGGTCTTTACTTACCAGAACCGCGTCAACCTGTCAACAGAAAGGAATTCGCTGCTCCCGCCATAGCAACCCGTTGCTTCGATATGAGTTGTCTGAGACGAGAGCGGGTCGTACCGCCGGAAGCGGGGGCGTTCATTTTGAGGTCGAGGGGAATGAGCAGAAATGGCAAGCCGCTGGCTGGGGAGAGGAAGCATGGGTCGCAAGTGATCAAGGTTAATAAGCCTATCAACATGACACCATCGATCGCTCATCTATTGCAGAAGACAAGACAATCGCTGGGATATTAATGCAAACTTGCGCAAAAACGGGAAAAGAGAAGCAAAAAAGACGCGTTTTGTCTCTCACCCCTTTGTTCTGTTGAACGGGGGTTAGTGGCTCAGACGTGTCTTGTCTGTGTGTCCCTTCCTGGGTCTCTGTGAGCGACAAAAACAACACATTTTTGCATTCTACGGATCTCAACCAACTTTATACCCACCAGCTTCCCTTGGCTACGGCGCTCCCTCTTCATCTCCCATCGTCACCACCTTCATTTCTCTTACAGTTCACCCTCCCTCATGCTATCCACTTCGGCCTCTTCATACCCTTCCACTCCGGGGCAACCGGCACAGTCCCGGCAGAACACACGCACTCATTCACGTCTCCGCACCTCCAAGAGCGCATTCTCCCTTGAGGGCCTCGGCTTTACAACTCCCAAGCTGCCGTCGTCACGCACCCAGGCAAGGTTGTCCGCTGTCGTCTCCAGCGATCGCATCCCCCAATTCAGCAACGGCCACGGGAGGACCACAAGCCTCTCATCCAGTACCACGACGCTTCCGCTCTCTCCTACATCTCTTTCCTCTCCACCGCCCTCTGCATCCAGCACCCTCCCCACATCGCGCACGACCACCAACCTCCGTTTTTGGCGAGGAAAGAAAGGCAGCCCCAACCTTGCTCCGATCGACGCACACACCTATACATCGCAAGAGCGAGGCAGGGCGTTTTCCCCCGAGCTTGCAGGTGTTCAAGAAGGCCCGAGTTCTCCGTAAGTCAATTTCCCAAGGCAAGGCGATGCATTCTGATGGTCTTCCTCGTCCGCGTGCTTGTTCCCGCGTACCTCGTTACCTTCCCCTCATCCACCGAATCATCATCCATATTGCATTATCCGCTACGCTTATCTTCTCACAATCCCATACATTCCGTCCCCACCCGCCTTAACATCTATCCCCTGGTGCCTATATCCAGCTGTTCCATCATAGTCATCCAACCCCCATCCCCATCATCCTCGCGCCCCTCCTCCCGCGCATCCACAGCAAGCTTCCTTAGTACCGTCTCGTCCCGCCTGATCCCTACAAGCACCCGCAAGCCAAGGACGAGGAGCATGAGCCCCGTTGCCCGGCAATCACCGCAGCTTGACGACGTCATGGGGGAGCATGGAGAGCTACCCAGAGAAATCAGAAAGAGATCCTGCAAAGGCGGGAGGGCATCACCGAACCTTCCGTACATCTGATTAACCTCATGCACGTATATGCCTTGACAATTCGCGCAGGGACGAGATGGATCCACACCAGCACCCGTATGCAAGCGCATACAGCAGCTCCAGTTCCAGTGGGAGCACTTCACGCCCGTCCGACGGCCGCAGACCGAGCGTCTCCTCCGTCACTTCCTCGGTTTCTGCCTACTCCCAGGAGGAGGACGCCACCGCCGCGTACGCACTAGGTGTCGGCCTAGGGCTGACATTCCCCCGAACCAACTTGGCCTCGAGCTCCAACATCCTCACTTCCACTAGGAAGAAGCGGATGTCCCTTGCTCCCAGTACTGCTGAAAGCCTGGGAAGTATGGGTAGTTCGAGAAGCGGCACACCGTCACTCGAGCTTCCTAGTCCGAGGAGCAGCAGCGTAGCTAGCTACAGCCCGCCCACGCCGGGTGCGGAGGGGGGCGTATTCAGGGATATGCACACGAAGAGCGCGAGCATCAACAGGATTGGGTAAGCAGGGATTTATTAGTCAGAGGATGGGGACTGACGAGCTGCAGGAGGACGTGGGACGTACCCCTGGAGTTGGGCGGTCTCACTACGAGCGACACGGCGCGTACGATAACCCAAGCCTCGCTCTCTGGTTCTCGGTCAGGAGTAGCTCAACTCAGCAGCCGAGCCTCCAACCCCGCTCTAACGCGCTCAACAACAAGCGCGGTTCACACCCCAAAAGCGACTACACTGAGACGCCTGCCTTCGCTCACTTCTCCCACATTCCCGCTGCGCCCTGTAGCCGGGTTTTCTGCCCGGCCAGGAAGTCCCGCTATATCCGCAGCGGCTAGTCTGAGCTCTACGACGCCTACTAGCACCCTACCACGTTCGCGAACGCTAACGAGGAGCCTGAGCAGGAAACGGTCTGATTCGATCCTCACTCCCGCCAAAGCTCCCCCAGCAGGGCCACTGCCTTCCGTTCCCCCGGTTCCGAAGGTCCCTGCTCTCCCTTCTCCAGCTCTTACCCCCGCCCTTCTTTCGAGCAAGGACACGCCCTCCCCTTCCCCAGCTACTCCATTCCCGGAAGCAGACATGTCAGATCTGCTCGAACGATTCCCCCTCCCTCCGGGGTCGAAACGGTTCTCGGGAGAGTCGGATAGTTCCATCCAGTCCCAGCGATCGGGCAAGTCACAGCTCTCAGTGCAGTCTGAGGTGTCGGAGGAATCTGAGCTGCTTACTCCTGGGACGACGCTGGACCTCACCAGTCTCCCGCCTTGGGAACACGTTTCCCTCTTTTCGACGGATTATGCTGAGCCTGTCCCGCCCTCCCGGCCCGCTCCTCAGTCTCAGCCCACCCAGCCTCCTGCGCGTTCCAACTCCACATGGAAGGGGAAATACGTTGAGGATGTGCTGGAGGAAGAGAGGGAGGTGCATCCGTTTGCCCGGAGCGGGGCGACTGGGATTGCGAGGACGAGACGACAGTCCCAGTTGGCGTATTTGTGAGCTTCGCATGGGCGCCCTCTCCATTTGCGCCCTCTCCATTTGCGCTCTCTCCATTTGCGCTCTCTCCATGAATGAGACACCCTGTTCTGTTCTGTTCTCTTTTGTTCTATGGTTGTGCGGTTATGTTCATCTTGTCCCATTTGTTTGTTTGTTCGCTCATCTTTCATTCGCACACGGTCTTTCGCAGCACATGAACCCGTTGATCTTTGCATCTTTTGCATTCTTGCATTTTTATCGTTTTATAGTTTACAACCCACCCCGAACCAACACAAACAAACAACCAAGCTCGACCCCATTCGATCCAGATCCGGACTCAAACCGGCCTTACCACATCCCGATTTTCCGACTCTGACTCCAACTCGAACTCGGACTTGGACTCAAATCCGAGCTCTCAACTACTCACGAAACAAACACGGCTTTTTCACCATCTACCACACTCCTTAACTCACTTGAGGCGCTTACGGAGCTGCCAGGAGGCTAGATATGATACATTATCCTTATTTTGATGTAATTTTGGAAGTTGGAGGGAGGTGTAGGATAGGATGGATAGGATAGGATAGGATAGGGAGTGGAAGGCGGTTTACAACACCTGTTCCTTATTCCGGAGTGGAGTGATGCTTGGCGGGGAAAGATGTGGTGAGACACCTGCGTTTCCCGTTAGTTCCTCCCCCAGATGAGAGGGAAAACAAGAGTGAGTGCGGGGAAACGGAGCATCTCCGACAACGACGCTCAGTCATCCATCTAGCTCTCAGCCACCTCCCTATACACCTCATTTCCACGTTATGTCGATCATCATCAAAGCCCAAGCCTGCGGTGGAACCACACCGCATTTCCGTTTGTGTCGTACCACCAATCCTCACGTGATTTTGGAATGTACACAGCCCCCCAAGTAACGGAGGCACGGCCCCGAACCCCTAAACAGCGCACCGGGAATGGAGAGTGGACAGCCCTGACACCTCGTGCTAATAGAGCGGGGCAGTCACTATTCATCAGAGGGCGGCATTGGCATTCGGAGTACGGCGCACGTCTTGTCTGCTTGTTCTTCCACTTCCTGCTTTGTTACTCTGCTTTGGATTGGCTTTATTTTGCTCTGAGAGGAATTGTTGCTCTTGCTGACTGGGTTGACTCGACTTTGGGGAATCGGATCGGGCTTGGATTGAAACGAACCAGCACGGAGCATTAACGACCGATATCAATTAATAATACTGCGCAGTCATCCTCATCCCACTCAGAAGCCTCGTCTACCCATACGAAATCTCGTCATATCAGAAGCAGGAAGAAGGCGCTAGTAGGCACTGAACATCAGTGATCAGTGGCAGTGGGTACCGTGCACTGAGCACTGAGCACCGCGGACTCACTCGTCGCTGCGTTCACATCGGCCGTCTCACTCCCGACAGCGTAGTTATACGCAGTCGTTCTCACTCGCGTGCTCTCACTTCGAAGAGTGACCGTAGTGATGGCACAAGACCCAGACGCCCAAGCTTGGCGTGCTCGTTCGTCCCCATCTCCCTCTCCCTCTACCAGTGCTTACCACCTCCAGGCCATCCAAGTATGTCCCACCACGCTCCTTCCCACCACCCTTCCCACGCGCAGCATCCCCATCCCACGCTTCCTTCCTATTCCGCTTCCGCCCAACCTGCCCACTCGCAGTACACCCAACAACAGCAGGGATATGCCCATCCGGGGCTGACGAGGACCGTTTCGGTGCCGTATGCCCAGTCGGGGGGATGGAGTGCGTCCGGTGCAGCAGCAGCGAGAGGCACAGGGTGGGGGCAAGATACGCATGGGGAGACGTACGAGCACCCTGCCCATCAGGTGTTCACTGTCGAATGGGCCGACAGGGACGATACCAACGGGTCTGCCAACGGCAACGGCCAAGCACAAGGAGGGGAATTCCTTAACCCTCTCAGTTCAAGAAACGCGAACTATACCGATCACCAGCAGTATCCTCCCCAAAACATGAACATGAACATAAACATGAGCATGGGGATGCCTACACCCGAACAGGGGTATGCAGCGCTCTACGCTCGAGTGCTAGGACCTGCACTCCCGGACCAGCCTCTCCCGCAAGCATACTCATACTCCCATTCCCATCCCCAGCCCCAGCCCCAACCTCTGCAGGCCCAACACCCTCCGCCAGCGCAGCCCCCCCTCCCTCACTCTTATAGCGCTCCAACGTATCCCTACCCTTACCATGCCCATCCGCAGCCTCCGATACAAGCGCAGCAAAGCATGCCAACTCCGCACACCGCCCCTTATACTCCCCACCCTACCGGACCACCACATTCGCCGCTCTCCGCACCAGCGGCATATCCTTTTCCACAGACCTTTGCCTCCCAGCAGCAGCAGCATACTTACGCAACGGAGCCGAGGCCTCACACTTCCGCTCCGGCTCGTCCTCCTCCTCCTCCCCCTCCGCTCCCTACGCCCGCGGTGCCGGCGACACCGCTCTCCCCAAACTCCCAGATGCTCTCTACCGACCCGTGGGTAAACCCCGCTCCTGCCTACCAGCACCCTTCGCCCTCTCCTCCACCTCGACCCTCCCAACCCCCCGCCTCAGCCCCAAGCACAAGCACAAGCACCCACCCCAATCCCAACCCTAGTCCTTCCTCTCTCCCTCCCCTTCCCCCCAAACCTGCTTTCTACCACCTGGACAACCCCTCTTCCTCCTGGAGCAGCCAAACCCCCGGCCTGACCAGAGACTCCGCAACGCTCAGCGACCTCCTAGAGCGCGCCAGCCTAGCCGAGAGCGTAGAGACACTGCCGCCGTTCTCAAGCCTCCCACCAGGGTACACTGTCGGTGACGTGCTGCCCGAGTCCCGACCTGCGGAAACGAAGAAGCTCCCTTCCAGAGGGCGGGACCTTCCGGACCCGAGGTTGCTGGCCTTAGAAGCGCAGGAGAGGAGGGATCGGGGGATCGCCCTTCGGTTAGCGCAGGAGGAAGCGGCGGGTGGAGAGGGCCTGCAGAGGAGGGGTACGGTTGAGTGGCAAGGGTTTGATGAGGTTGCTCATGATGCGGCTGAAGGGACGGAGGAGGGGGAGAGGGAGAGGTGGGAGAGGGAGGAGAGGATGAAGATCCAGGAAGAGGCTGATCGGGCTTTTGCGCTCTCTCTTCAGGAACAGGACGCTGCTGCTGCTGCAAACAGGACCGCGAACGCGAGTGCCCACCCAGAGGAGGAAGCACGTTCACCCCAGGAAGTGGCGGACGAAGCTGAGAAAGAACGAAGGCGGCGGCAGGAGGAGGAAGATGCGGAGTTTGCGAGAAGGCTGATGGAGGAGATGCGTGCTGCTCAGGCGGATGAGCAGCGGCTGAGGGAGGAGAGGAGCAGGAGGGAAGAGGGGGACGAGAGACTTGCTAGGGAGATGCAGGATACTACGGGGTCGAATACCCCTGAACTGCCAGAAGAGGGTGAAGAACTGGACGCGGTGGTACCGGTCAGTAGGCGGGAAGAGGCAGAAAGGGAGAGGGCGGAGAGGGAGAGGGCAGACGAGGAGCTCGCAAGGAGGTTGGATGGTGAGGCTCGACAGGCTGAAGCAAGGATCGAGGAGAACAGGCGGGCGCATGCGCATGATCCTCCTACGGCGTCTCAGTCTGTGCAAGACGACGACGACGAAGCGCTTTACGAGGACGCCCCCGAAACCCAGCCGCCGGCCGAATCTGCCTTGCAAGTATCCCCACCGCCTTCCCAGCCGACGTTCCAGCCGTCCAGCCCGTTGATGTCCGCGCAAACCCACTTGTCCCCCACTAGTCCGCGAAAGGCTGTGAGCCGGTCGCCGGTTAGGGAACTTCCTGAGATTGATGAAGAAGGGTGGCAAGTGTACGACCCGACGTCTTTCAGCTCAACTCATGGAGATCTTCCTGCCGACGGGCCATCTGGGGCAGGTGACTCTGTATCAGCGAATCTGGCTGGCCAGGACAGCAGCAGCGGTCCTGTGGACGGTCGGGGGGAAGGAAGCAGGCACACGGAAGTATGGATCCGACCTGGTGTGTACCAGCAACAGAATCAAGCTAATCGCCCAGAGCCCAACGGGCAAGCACTCGGGTCTGTTCCACCCGGCCTTTCACCACCAAACCTCTCCCCACCTCCGCCAGCGAGCCCTTCCCACCACCAGCGACACCACCCCCACCCGGCCCCGCCTTCACCCAGTCGTGTCCATCCTACGATGCCAATTCCTCAGCCTCTGACACTTCTTCCTACGCCGACGTCACCCAGTTCTGCGCTCCATCCCTTCGATCCCTTTTCACCACCGGGACCACATGAGCCGCACACTGATACCCCCCCGCCGTTCGAACCGCACGCTGATACTCCCCCGCCGTTTACGGCTCATGACCCTCTGCCTCCCGAGCCAGAACCAGCTCCCTCTCCATCCGCGCCGGAAGAGCCTCCCGTACCAGCATATGAGCACCCCCACATTTCTGTGCGCCGGCCCAGCCTCCTGCCGGAAAATCTGACTTTTGACCTGCACGCCAACAATTCACCTGCAATGTTGGGGTATTCAGGTGTGCCGGTTCAGCCTGTTCAACCTGTGAGCACACCAGGAAGCAACCCCATGAGGCTATATCCGCACGTCTTCAATCGGACCGATCTCCCTGTCAGGAACGAGCAAATCCCCCCGCTGTCACCACCAGAGGTAGTAACATCCCCACCGACTGACCCGCCTGCAGAGACGATTGCGGAGCCACCTGAACTCTCATCAGCTACCAGCCCCTCGCCCAACGCACTCTCCCCTAGCAGGAGTTCCTGTTTCACATCGCGCTCTCCTAATCCCGAAGGCAGCCCGTCGTCCCCTGGCATCACCCGGACTTCTTCATCCGCCAGCACCAAGTCCAATGCATCTGGTCGCTCCCAGCGCTCATTCCATACCGCTCCCCGCGCGAGCATTGCGGCGAGTTTGGCGACTGCACTAGAACACATTGAGTCGGAGGAGGAGACGGATCAAGACCCTGCAGATGACCAACGGAGTCCTGCGCCAGAATCGTTCCTTGCCACCCCACCTGCAGGAGCAGAGCTGAAGCGAGCCCCTTCGACTGAGCCTGTCAGTTCTGCGCCTCCGGGCCATCTGCAATCCCTTCCTGACGTTGGTACGTGTCACGTCCCATTATAGACCCGAGGGCTTGTATTGATATCAGAATAGCGATTGGCTTCAATGCCCCACAGAACGATCCAGCATTCTATCATCGGCATCAGGAACCGATGCTCTTCCCCGATCTCGTTCTCCTCGAAACCGTCTCTCCCCTGTACATCAGCGCGAATACATACAGGGCTCTCTTGCGCGCCTTAGCGCATTTCGGCAGTGTGCGCGTCGAGGCACCCCCAAATCTAATCGCGACGGTGAAAACAGTCGTGCAGACGAACACGGTGGTACAATTCAGTCGGCTTAACGCCCAGTCTCGCGACTGGCGTTGTATCCTTCATCTTGAGGTTCACCCATCTCAGCAAGGCGTGCAGCCCTCAGGCGGACGGGGAACAGCTCCTTCGAGTATCAAAGCCCGCTCTAACGCTCTGAACACTGTGATTACCCTCCCACAACCATCGCCTGTGCTTCCATTCACTCTCTCCTCCCTGGCGGACTATTTGCGCAAAGCGCTCTCCGACTCACGCAGCGCCTCCTCCGACAGTGGCAAAGCCCTGCACCGCGCAGTAGTACAGAGCGACCCCGAAGAAGCGGCCAAGAACGCCGATGCGCCCACTCGACAAGGCCTGTTGGGCGTGTTTGGCCTTGGGAAGAACGTGAAGCGGACGGATTTGAACGAGGATACGTATGACTTGGTCACACCTTTTATCTTGACGGACAACTGAGCGGTCTCGTTTGCATCTTTCGTCGTCCAGGCTGTTGTATTTTATGATATTTCCTGCTGTTCTTCGTATATCCAGTGTGCACATTTCAGTATATACCAACCGAATCAAACCCCCCCAAGTTCCAAACTCACACATGGGTAGAGTGTTCGGTGTCAACACAACCAGTCGAGGAACTGGCACATCTGACTATGAAGACACGACAAAGCAGCACACATGTTTTCTCCCCTAACACTTGATATCTTCATACATATGCACAAGCTCACGCCGACAGTTCGGCTTTTAAACAACTACAAATGACTCCTCAGGCTGCCAAGTACTTACCCCCTCCTCTCCGGAAACCCATACACTATCCTTGGCCCACTTGATCGTTTCCCCAGTAGCCTGGCCCTGCCAGATCTTAACCCAGCCCTTATGTGCCCAGGCTTCTACTGTTCCTTCTTCTTCTACCGCGCCTAGGAATGCGCCTTCCACGTCGTAGGCCACTGACCGGACCGGACCGGAAGCAGGCAGCTGTTTCTGGATCGCGAGCTTCCGCAGGTCCCAGACGACGATTTCCTGCACCCCCTTTGCGCAGGAAGCGAGGGAATAGCCGTTTTCCGAAAAGCTGAGTGAGGGCACACTCCCCCCCTCTGGGAGTACGAACTCGGCAGCGAGAGCCCGCGTGCGAAGATCGTATATCTGGATCTTGGCTGTGCTCGATAACCCGAGAGCGAGGAGTACGCCGTCAGGGTGCAGGGCGAGGGAGGAGAAGCCTTCGCCGGAGGGGTTGGGTCGGGTGAGGAAGACTTGGTCCAGGGAGGGAAGGCGGAGGAGGGAGAAGGCGCCGTCTGCCGAGGAGGAGAGGAGTAGCTCGCCAGAGGGATGCAGGGCAAGGCCGGTGATTGCACCCCCGTGGATCTGGGACCAGGCTTGTTGTGCGAAAGGAGCTGAGGCAGACCAGAGACGGATGGACCCGTCTGCTGAACCGGAGACGATGTACGCTGGGCCCTCTGCACGGGTCGCAGATGCTAGAGCGGTGATACGGGTTGTGTGCCCTGAAAGCGAGGCCAGCACTTCGCCGTTGTCCCAGACACGTACGGCTCCATCCTCGGAGCCTGTAAGGTAGGCTGTGGAGGAGATACCCGGTGCGAGTGTGAACGCGGTGCTGTTGCCTCCCTGGGCTGGGAAGGCGCTGGAGGGCGCTGGGGCAAACCTCGCTGGGGAGGGCACGGCAGGCGTCTTACGCTTTTTCCGCGAGGCGCTGAGCGTCGCGTGCGTGCTGTCGATAACTTGCTGTATGTCCTCAGGTAGCGCTTCCGGCTCCGCGGTGGCAGACATCTCCACGTCTTCTGCTGCTTCAGCAGGAGCGGGAACTGCCATACCGGTGGCGGCACGAACGTTTGCCAACGCCTCCCGCGCCTCGTCCCTCTCTCTCACCAAGCGTGCCACCACTCGCGTCGCTGCGTCGGACTGGTAGAGTGCATGGGCAAGTTCTTGACGCGTGGCGATGTATTGTTGCCGGAGGGAAGCGGTCTCGAGCATCAGGGAATCCCATTCTGATTGGAGGGTGTGAAGAAGGGCAGGTACGGAGGTAAGTGCAGGTGGGCGAGGCGGCGCAGCATTCGGACCTGAAAACGGCAGAAAGTCAGCGCTATTCGTGGTATCGGCGGAAGAAGGAGTCAGGAAAAAAAAAGTTGATAGTGGAGTTGAGGTCATCACACCCATAGGTCGGAAACAGCCTCTAAAATGTTCATCACGCGTGCCTCTAGTAGAGACAACACTATGGGAATTTTGGATGAAGTACTCACTCGCTTTGACAGGAATTAAGTCATCCTCATTTAGTGCCTCTCCGTTGGGCTCTGTACCGTGCTGGTTGAGCTGAGCAACGATAAGTCTGCGCTCGTAGACAAGCCCTGACTTCGGTGATATAACCGGGTTCTGTGGTGGTTCTCCCGATACTATTAACAAGTCAGTTAATGCACAACATAAGAATTAGTTATACTTACTTGCGCAGAAGAATGACATTTTGGAAGGAGGAGAGGGGGAGAGATGGCGAGAGGAAGAGTTCACGCGATGCTTTGAACTTGGGTGGCGAGAGCGCTCAACAAAAACAGGAGGTAATTCCTCCGATGACCCCTTTCGGGCGCATTTTGCCTACAATGACCCCTCGGGCGCAAATCCCTGAAATGACCCCAAGGCCTGCCCTAAGCAACCACGGACCTTCCAATTAAGAAAGGTGGCAGTTCAAGATGCGCTAGGGTCCGGTCTCTTCGTGTCGGTTTATAAAGCATGTTCTGACAATTAATTCGCAAGCTTTGTTTTGGTTTTTGAATGAGTTATATTACAGTATGTAAATTAATTCTGCATAGATGCCTCTTATAATAATCCACCGATTTTCACCATCGTAAACATAGGTGAGAGAACACCGCACTTTTACGGTAAGGCAATGAATTTCGCAGCGGTTCTTGAAAATAATGGATACCATACACAATGCCAACCAGCTTGTCTTTTGAAAAAGGTCTATTTTAATAGCGAAACATTCAGAAAACGCGTTGTTGGGTTGACCGGAGGCACGTGCTTCTACTGCCACAGCCACGACTTTCCCTATTTGGTTACTTAGGGGCGGCATTTGGGGTCATTTAGGGAATTTGCGCCCGGGGGGTCATTGGATGACATCCCCAGAATGCGGCATGTGCTCATGCCGGCCTCCCGGAAGCATAATTTCAAACTCCGAGCCTCACGCAGATAGCTCAGGGTTCACGCAGATTTTAGGGAGCACGCAGACCCTCACGGATGTTTTCTGCACGTGGCTAAGCATGACGCGTGCGCGGGAGTAGTAGCGGCACAGCCTTCGCGTCATGTGACGAAACCCAACCTCACGTGATCACGCAGATTTACGAATCTGTGTGCTCTGGACGCGCACCCTGCGGGAACGGGGTCACCCTTACACATTTGTTTCCGGCTTCCGGACACGGGGGCAGATTTATGTATCTGCGTATCTGCGTGCTACGGGATGTCATCCATTGTAGGCAATTACCTCACAAAAACAGCGAAGAAGCAGCGGAGGCAAATGACACCGCCACATAGTTAAAATGTCCTCCTACATGACGAGTTGTATATATCCCATTATTTGGTACTGCTTCAGAGCTACACTTACAAAGCCACGCTCTAAATCAAGCGATCGCCCAGAAGGCAAGACAACGTTCGCTCCCTGTGAGTCTCAATCTGCCACACGGGCCATGCCGATTACTTCTGCGATCTTTTGAGCGCCTAGTTTGTGATGAGGTCCCACTTACACTGCATATTCGAAAGGACTCGGTCAACCCTGTTAATGTTTAGTGCCGAAGGGACGTCATGGTCTGCATTCTGCGAGACGCAATCGCCAGTTTAAATTGAGGACAATAATAAAATGCGCTATTCATATTTGAGACTTGATTTGATTTATTCTTGCTATCTCAGGGTATTCAATAACAACTACACAGGACCCAAATCATGACTTCCCAAAAAGAGACCTCTTCCACCCGCTCAGTCAAAACAGCCTTCAAGCAAGAGTCGCGATGCCCACACGTGAGTTCGTCATATCAAACTGGGTGTAAACGTTCCGCATGAAGACGTCGCCCAAGATCCAGAATCCAAAGTTGCCTGCCGCGATACCGCCTACACACTGCGCGCTGTCAGTTCCTGCATGATCAAGCTGAGGAGCGAGGACTTACCATGCTTGACCCTGCTGAGACTTGGCCGAAGTTGAATACGTCGGGGGAGATGGTGACAGTCTTTCCGGCGAGGACGACCTCTATGTTGTTGGGGACGTTGTTGCACGGGAAGGTATAGACACCGTCTCCCAGAGAGTCGTCTTCCTTCGCTCCGGAAATATGCGAATAAAGTGATTGGGCACTGCTCAACGTGTTATTTTTTATAGAACATCAAATAGAGGTGACATACCTGGACGAGTCGACATAGATGAGCGTAGTTCCCGAATCAACGATCGAGTTCTGATTGCTCGCCACCGTAGTACCGCCGATCTTGAGTGAGTTTGTCGTCACCTCCCAATAGCCCTGTTCCGTCACCGGTGTATAGGAGAAGCTCCCGGTATAGAGAGACGAGTCTGCCCCGCCGATGAAGAGGCTCGAACCGGATTCAGCGAGTTTGAAGGAGAAGGAACCGGAAGAGAGGGCGCCTTGGTTGTTGAGGTTGAACACGAAAGGTGTCGCTGGGTAGACGGAGAGTTGGGGCCAGGCAAGACCTGTGATAGGAAAGTTAGAGATGATACGACGCGGGAAGGAGTTGATGATACGGACCCATTAGCCCGTCTTGCACACTTTCTTCAAATTCGCTCGAGTAGGAGGTCGCTGAGCCCAACGTCTGGTCCTTGACTGTCAGACTGCCAATAGATACCGTATCAGTATACTGGGTGCCACTGTTGCACAGATCAGTGGAAGGAAGGACAGCATGTGAACTGATATGTGCTTACGAAGTCTCGGAACCATCGCCGTAAGTCAGTGTAAATGTCTTGCCAAGGGGTTTAGACGTTGACGAAGAGGAAGGGTTATACGTATCATGGCTTCCACAGTCTCCGCAGGACGAATCGGGGAGGAAGAAGTCGCTCGAGCCTGTGTCAAACTACTCATGATAAGACATTTGACCCGTATGGATTGCGGATTCCTCACATCCACGGTGTACGTCTGCGCAGGTGTACCCACTACGACGTTTCCGTACCACTCCATGTCACCGTCGTCTGTCATTCCGTCGGAAGCAGTGCTGCGTTTCTTGAGGCTGTCGAAGAATCCGGGGGCGAGAGTGTGTGGTCTTCCTAAATTGGCTTCGTATTGCTTCAAGGTACGAGCGTACTTGCTGGATGTCACACAGGACTGTCAGACATGGTGGGTATGAAATGTATGCGCTGACGTACTTCTGTACTCTGGCCAGCTGATTCTTGAGCACATCCAAGTTCACAACTCCCGTCTCGGAGCGTAGGTTGCTGCGCTTGCTGAGGGGGATTGACAATCCTTCATCCCGAGTGATGTCGATGGGAGTAGCAGATACCGCGGCGAGGCAGGCGAAGGCAGCGACAAGAAGCGGGCTTGAAGTGAGCATGATGACTGGGGGGCTGGGGCGAGGGGTACTGTGTTGTGGTTACAATACCATCTAGGAGCAGTATTTATGGATGTTCAAGCGATGCTGGGATGTCGAACGAAACCATTTGCCGGATAACAGAGGTAACCAGAGGAGTACGCGAATTGTTGCGGACAAACTCGCACAGTGAGTAGGATGATCCATGCCTTCCACCGACGACCGGCGTATGAGACTTGAATCACAGTATGCATAGGGGTGCGACCAGCATGCGGCCAGACATTACATCCTCAATCAAGGAGCGTCTTGGTTGGTATGGAGCACCGCCGGAAAGTGAGACGTGAATCGCTTGTCATGCAGAGGTTCTATTCGAAATGTCTCCCGATAGGTGATGGGAGAAAGTGGAGTGTCAACTTCCTCCTCCGATGCGACGTGTGCGGCAGTGAGCTGCTGCTGTCTCAGAAGTCCAGAAGCGGAAGACAACCGAATGCGCCTAGGAGATACTGAAGGTGCTGTGCATGCGGATGCTCTATAGTTCGGTACAAGGAAGGTCTGGCGGTCAAACATTATTGTCAACGGCAATGAACATGCACGTCGTATGTCCGTGGCAGGTTGTTATGGACCGGATCGTGGTGGTTGTTCCGGGATAAGGAGAAGGGAGACGCACGCCGCGTGTCTGCTTCGCGAAGTCTCAAGGCGCGGATACAAAGTCTCGGATCCACCCCCTCCTCTTGCTGCTCTTACTCAAACCTCCTGCTTCTCCTTGGAGTGACAACAATATGGGCGCTGGAACACTATACTTTATCAATGGTATCTCTTTGGGAATGGTCATGTCTCCCTGCCCGTAGAGGACGTCTGGTTTGCAGAACTGGCAATGTTACGTACGAGCATGAACCACGTGGATCTGGAATCCTGCGTGTGGCTCGCGTCCGTAAACAATGAAATGGTAGTTGCACGATTCATACAGACGGCCACATCATGATGGTACGACCAATCGCGATTTGTATCACATGCTCAAACGTCAATTAGGGGATCACGGGCGAACACTCCGTATATGCACTGGTCTTCTACATACAGCCGGCGACAAAAATAATGAGAAGGGCCCTGCCGCAATTTAGGTATCGGAGATAATCCCGTGACTTCAGCACCATTTTGTACAATTTTGGAGACTGAGACATGCATTCGGATAATCATGGAAGAATGAACTGGCTCCAAGGTGGCATTTCCGAGAGTATGGATAGAAGTTTGTGTCCAGGATATATGCAGACGAACTTTGCCGCACCATCTTGCAGCTTTCGGCAGTTTTGAGCCCTGAGGTAGGTAAACATGTCTGGGGAGGCGCTTTCTCACAACCGAAAGAGCTACATATTTTGGGAGAGACAAGCCGCGGTTTATACTTGCATTTGCTTATTCATAGCTTTGTATTGCCTATAGCCCATCTCCGGCCTGAGACTTCAGTCTTCAACATTGAATAAAATTGTACTGAAGTTGCGGCATTATCTCCGATAGCGAAATCCCAATTAAATCGCGATCGGTCCTTCTCATTATTTTTGTCCCCTACTCTGTGAGTGGGGATGTCGACTATTCGCACATTGGCTTCATGACACTCGAACTCTCGCATGGTGATCTGCGAAGATTGCACCTCTGGCGTCTGTATTCTCATTCGCGATTCCATATCATACATATCGACCTCCCATCAAGGATATGCCTCAGTCTCAATTATTTCACGTACTGCACCCTCCAGAAGAACGTACCTGAACGGACAGCCGCCTCCCGGCTAAAATAGGAACTCTGCATGATGGCTACTACTATTATCATTCACTGAAACGCCTTCTTCGTTCCTTCATGCCGGCAAGTCTCTTTCCTGTCTCGCGCAGCGGGTGTCTCGCAATCGATCTATTTTATCGCTCATACCGCCCCCGAAGATATCAAACAAATGAATAATGAGACAGTCCTCTGCTCGCTTCCGCTATGGGGGTCTTCGATCAGTTCAGAGAATCGGGGAGTCTTCGCGTTCCTGCCATTTCCTGATGAAGGAATTGACCGTCTTGCCCGCAACGAGATCTTGTCATTTACTGTTCCCGGTAGGTTGGCTTTTACGTCATTTTTACTACTTTGGTACATTGACCCGCAGAAAGCAGCTGGGCCGATCGAGAGGGATGGCTACTGCCATTCATATTCTCGAGGCATGCGTGCAACTGTTTATCCATTTCATGCAAGGAATTATCTCATCAAAACAGGCTAACCGGGCATCTTGAGCCCTGCAACTGTACAACCACTGACCCTAACCAGGTACTTTGTCACTTATGCACCACCGCCGCGGCCCTGTCCTTGCATGAACTGCTGGGCCTAGATAAATCTGTCAAGGCTGTATCTCGGACCGAGGAAGGAATCACGCACAAGGTTGCGCATCATCGGGTTGTTCATGACCTGCTCCAGTCCACCGTTTGCCATCATCTGCTGAGCACTGGATCACAAGCACGTCAGTAACGCCGAGTGCGTACAGATAGTAAAGGAAATACGACGCACGCCTGCATAACCTGCGGGTTGTTCATCAACCCAGCCAAGTCGGGCATTCCCCCACCTGCCCCACCTCCCCGTCCCCCACCCATCCCGCCGAGCATTTCCGCCGCCCTGCTAAAGTCGAACCCTCCCGGTGCAGCAGCGGCAGGCGCAGGTGCAGTTTGCCTCGGGTCCTCGTCCTCATCATCCTCATCGGCTCCCTCGCTCACACGAGCTTCAGCATTCTCCAGCCCACTCTTCATGTTCGCATTGGACGGATCCAGCACCAGGCCTTTCCGGAACGCATCCGCCGCTTTCGCGTATTGCTTCATGCTGTACCTTGCGTGCCCGAGCCTACTATATGCCTTGGAAAACTTGGGGTCTGCTGCCAGCGCTCGCTCCGCATCCTCCGCTGCGGCGTTGTGATCCCCCAGGGAAGAGTACGCTGCCGCACGGTTTGAGAAGTACACCGGGTTTGTCCCGTCTAGAGCGATGGAAGACGTGTACGCGTCAATCGCTTCTTGGTACTTCTTCGCGGACATCCGTGCGTTACCCTGCGATTTGAGTTTCTCGGCTTCGGCGAGGTCAGACGCGGAGGGCTTAGAAGGCGCCGAGCTGATGGAGGCGGGCGTGGGAATCGGTGTAGAGCCACCAGAGAGGTACGAATTGAAGATCTCTTGCAAGGGCTTGTCAACAGCCAGCGACTTGTTGGTTGGGTCAACGTCGAATGCTTCACCGATGCATTGAACTGCGCAGTGTCAGCAACTTCACCATATTCAAACACAAAGAAGCGCACCAGCAACTTCAACACCCTCTCTGTCGTCGGCCCTTACAGTTCCATTATCCAGAGAAGTCTGGAGGAACTGCAAGATCGAGTAGATCAGCTTGTGCGTCGTTTCTGCGGCACCCTTATCAGCCCTCCCCAACCGACCGATTCCACCTTCAGAAATGCTCACCAGGATTAGAACTCATTGCGTCGTGATAAACAAGCGCTGGTATCCAAGAGCAAAGAGCAACAATACTTATAGAAGAAGAAGTTGCAGAGCAGGTGCGAAAGGAAACGTGTACACCGGCCGGGATTCCAGAACCGTCTGTGCTGCGGCTCCGGGGCAAGGGTCCTAGGCGCCATGTGATTTATCGACCCGGCGTTATCACAATCATATCGTCCGAGAGTACTGATGTCGACGTCAACACCATCAGACAATGAACGATCAATGCTGGTTGACCTTTCCTCTCGTGTAATATTGTCCTTGCTTCTTCAGCCTCTTGTCTTTGGTCTTGAAACCGCATATTTTTGGACAACACTAGCCGTTCCAACAACCTGATGTCCATAAATGTCAACACGGCAGGACAGCCCTGACGGGCAGGCGCTAAAGGGAGAAAATCGCGACCTCGCCTTGATAAAAGACGCCCTCACACGTCTAGCGGGTATCAATGATGTATGCATCCGTACCAATGTCTGCGACTGATGCAGCATCCGCTCATCCACCTAATCGCAGGTGCTAAAGAAAATGAATGAGACGAGGAACGAATGGTTCCTGTTCAGCCAGTATGCTTCAAAGGTTTTGGAAGCCGTCAGGGATATTGTGCCCCGGGAAGGAGAACCCAATCGATTCACTCAGTCGGTTGGGGACCTCGTAGTGTACGTTCGATTGGCGAGATCGAGCCGTGGTGCTGATATGTCCATGAGCAGGTTCATAAACAAATTAAACGCAATATGTTCCCGATTTGAGACGAACAAGAACATAAAGAAAATATTACAGTCATCCCAAGACGCGAAGGAACTTCAAACATTGCAGCATGAACTCGACAACAAAGTCAAACTCCTCCAAGTAAGTTGCATGCACATGCGAGATGTACTATCTCAAGTGTACTTTAGCTAAATCTGGACATAGAATATCGGAATGTCCTCATAGAGTCGTTAAAATCACTCAATGTCGATGACTTAAACACAAACATATCGATTCTACAAAGCGAAATGTGTACGTTCACAACCTCATAATCCTGGCTGCCCTAACCATCCATGACAGCAACTTCCGCTCAATCAAATCTCCAGCAAAGCGCTTTCCCGATTCTCGACAGTCTTCCATATGCGTCTGGTGCATCCTACAACTCGTCGAACACATGCATGCCCGGAACGCGCACTGCACTACTCTCCGAGATCACCGCTTGGATCCAAGCCCCTTCCTCAGAATCATGCAAAATCTACTGGCTGACCGGACTCGCTGGCATCGGTAAGACCGCCCTAGCCAACTCGGTTGCAATCATCGCTGCTGAGAAAGGATGGCTTGTGTCGTCTTTCTTCTTCAACCGGATGTCGGACGAGAGGAACAAACCGGCCAGATTCGTCACCACCCTAGCGCGAGATCTGGCCGGCAGAAACACGGGCATCGCGGACGCCATCGCCGTAAGGCTCAACTACGACGTCGGCTTGCGAACAACGCCTGATATTGACAGACAGTTTCAGGAGCTCGTGATCGAACCATGCAAAAATTGGAACAGATTAGAACCAGCTGTATTCGTGGTCGATGCTCTCGATGAAGGCTTCGACGAAAGCTTGTTACACCTTTTGACACATCGAGTGAACGATTTACCCAGTTTCTTTCGCGTCGTCATTACCTCCCGGCCATTGGCAGAGATCATCCTTGCTTTTGAACATGCGGAACACATAACACGGAAGTCCCTCAAGACGACAGACATGCAAAGCGAACAGGACGTGCAGACGTACCTTCACCAGCGACTGACAGCTGTGGCCATCAAACGGCGTCTAGGACAACCGTGGCCGTCGCCGTCTGCAGTCAGGGCTCTGGTACAGCAATCTGAAGGCTTATTCCAATGGGCATTCACCGTCACCGAGTACCTAGGAAAGTGCATGAATACGATTCGGCAGTTGGACCTCATTATTTCACTCCAAGGCATTCCGTCCGTCGCCAGTCGTATGGACCAGCTGTACGCTACCGTACTTGATGGGACTGGAGGAACAGATGACGAAGATTTCGTGACCGCTTATCAAATGTTTATGGGTTCCGTCTTAGCCGCCAAAGAACCGCTGACCATGTCGGCAATACGTCTGCTGCATGGCAATACGGATATAGATCCTGTGGAGCTCCTCGAGCGGATGGGTTCCTTCGTCGTTGGATTCGACAGCGAGCATCAACCAATTCGTATTCTGCATTTGTCTCTTCGGGAGTATCTCATGGAGAGGGCTACTCCACCATATCGACTATCTCGGACTGAGAGCAGTCAGCATCTCGCTTTTCTCTGCGTAAGAGTTATCAACGATCATATGAACGAGACGGCTGGCCTGTCAAAACCAAAGCAAAGCTCTCATACTGGGAGCCTGATCTCCCCAATCTCCCGAAAATCTATGTCGGATGGTCTTTATTATGCAATCTCATTCTGGACCCGTCATCTTCGTGATGTTCGCGACCCTACCCCAGAGTTTATGTCCGCCCTAGAGTTATTGCTGGACGAACGTCTGCAAGATTTGGTCTCCGTGACAATCGCTCTGGGCGCTTACAAAGGCTTATCGGATGTGAGGAGATGGCTTCAGGTGTGTTATTTGTTCGATTTCGAGTACCTGACTAATGATTTAGAACCGCGGTCCTGACGGAAAGCAAGCCCTTCTCCGTATATCAGATGACAATTGGGTCTCTTGGTTCTCCTGGGCTTCCGAAGCTCTAAGACGCAATGGTCGCCTAGAAGAAGCATGCGCCGCGGCTGAGGACGGAATTGCGGCGGCTATAGGCATTTTGGACAGCGGAATTAGCAATGCTTCTCTCGCCGAAGCTAGTGACGTGACAACACCTGTCCCTGCAACGGCGTTTCGACACACTGCTGAGGTGGCCAAACTCGCCGTCCAGCATATACAAGAAATCTCCTCAACCTTCTCGACGGAACGATTGGCCTCTATGACTTTGTGTCTCGATCAATTGGGCATCGTTCTCACTACGGTCGGGGAACTCGAGGAAGCATATCAAGCGTCAAACGAAGCTGTGCAGCTGCGCCGTGTGCTTATTAATGCCAATCCGAAAGCGTACAGTTCTCAACTTGCCTGGTCTTTGGGTAATCTTTCAGAAGCCCTTGCAAGAGGCGGCGATATTCCCAACGCGCTCATGGCTATCGAGGAGGCAGTTCAATTGTATAAACCTCTCGTGGAGAAGGATCCTAGGTTCACTGAGAATCTGGCGTGGGGGCTTGGTACGCTATCGAAGAGGCTCGCGCAGGTCCCAGGGGAACATCTAGGAGCAAAGAAAGCCCTGGAAGCGATTCAAGAGGCAGTCGAGCTCTACAGACCCCTCGTCAGCCATCACATAGAGGTCTACGGCCAGAATCTCGCCTGGGCTCTCGGCACCCTATCACAGCGTCTAGCCGAGACAAAGCGCTACTCAGACGCACTACCTGCTGCACAAGAGAGCGTGGCACTGCTGCGTGATATTGCAGATTGCAAGCCCGAAACCGCAATCACGCCTGACCTGGCTCTGCAGCTGCGAAACCTGGCCTCCCGGTACTCGGACGCTGGATGCAGTGCAGAAGCGCTCGAGACGATCGAGGAAGCCATCAAGCTCTATCGACTGCAATGTTTGCGCCTACCGCGGCGGTACAATCCCGAGCTGATGCGTGCACTTCATATGAAGTGTACGTTCCTGGAGGTGGCGGGCCGGAGGAAGGAAGCGCCCGCCCCGCTGAGGGAATCGATCGCCCTTCTTCGGGATCTGGAAAAGCGCCAGCCGGCATTGTATCGCACGACGCTAGAGAGCTACTTGCAGCGGCTCCAGGAGTTGACTGTGACTGTGGGATCCGACGACGGAGAGACGGAGGAGACAGAAGCAGAACACAGTCATGTAGAAGGAGAGTAACCGGGCGGATACTCCATCGCAGGGAATATCTATCGTATCATAGTTTATTTCCTGGACCTCGTTGATGTACCAACCTCTGTACCGCGCGCGACTTCATACTTATGCGTGTACCTGAGGATGTACCCTCACGTTAGTTGTATAAATGTACCGACAGCATTCCGAGTGATGTAGAAAAGCAAGATCTGTAGGTGTAGGCTCAAAGAACACAGACAAGCGACGTCCTTCGATCGAATTCTCCACCTAAACTCGGCTCTGGCAAGTGAGAGAGGGAGAGACCTCCTGCGAGGACCACGAGGCGGGTACGTAGACAGATTACTAGCGGTGGGTGTGTGCTAGGAAGGAAACAGAACGGAGGGCTGATGACCCGGGTCAAATGGGACAGGACGGACGCGGCAGATCGAAAGGACAGGATAGTGGATAAACATGATCGGACAAGATCGGTGTAGCTATAGCCAGCAGGTTAATGTTGAATTTGTGAACGCAACCACGTCCGGGACGGGACACCTGGGGTGGTCGTCCCGTTACGGCGAGCTCATATGAAACCCTCTCCCTGCCGTGTCGTTCATCTGGTCCGAGACGTCCATCTTACAGCTCAACATATACTTCCCCCCCTTCTGCTGCAGTCGGGATCCCGGCATCAAGCGTTAGTACGAGGGAGTGATGAACAGAAGAATGCAAACCCGCTGGCTGTGCGACATACAGCGCCTATCCCGCAGACGCCCTCACAACACGTTCTCGGTGATGGCGCCTTTTCTTGTACGACATTGTTTGTGACCTTACATATCTTTGAGCGACTCTGCAACCTGCTGTTCTTACACTTCAATCGTACTCTACGAAAGACCTAATGTCACCAAATGCCGACTGTGCGCATGGAGGTCCTGGCGAAGATACGCCAGAAGAAGACAGTTGGGGACTTGCCTTGATGAAAGATGCCCTCACACGGTTAGTGGGTATGAATAATGTATGTACGCGGGCCGAGTTAGGGTTGCTTCCGCTTATCCACGTATTCGCAGGAGCTGAAAAAAATGAGCGAGACGAAGAACGAATGGTTCCTGTTCAGTCAGCATGCGTCTAGAATATTCGAGGCAGTCATGACGATCGCGTCTCAGGAAGAGGAATCGACTCGATTTACTGAGTCGGTTGGGGATCTCGCGCTGTAAGCTCGAATCGGGGAAAATTAACTGACATCGGCCCTAATATTTCAGCGAGATTCATAAACAAACTCGACCAAACATGTCGCCGATTTGAGAGTAGCAAGAATGTGAAGAAGCTGTTGCGATCCTCTGAAGATGCAAAAGAACTCAAAAGTTTGCGACATGAACTCGACGACAAGATCCAACTTCTTCAGGTGGGTTGTAAACACCACATTCGAGCCTCGTCTCAAATCGTCCTTCAGTTACATCTGAACATAGAACAGCGGAACTTTCTCTTGGACGCGGTGAAATCACTCAACCTTAATGAGACAAATACGAACAAATCGACTCTCCGGGGTGAGATGTGTGAGTTCGCAACCTCATAGTTACGAATGCTCTGACCACACATGACAGCAACCAACCATTCCAGTTTCCAGCCAAGCGCTTTCCTTGTCCTCGACAGTCTTCCATATGCGTCTGGTGCATCCTACAACTCGTCGAACACATGCATGCCTGGAACGCGCACTGCACTGCTCTCCGAGATCACCGCTTGGCTCGAAACTCCTTCGTTGGAATCATGCCCGATCTGCTGGCTGACCGGAGTCGCCGGGATCGGAAAGACCGCGCTAGCCAATTCGGTTGCAAACATCGCTGCTGAGAAAAGATGGCTTGTTTCGTCTTTCTTCTTCGCCCCAAATGTCGGACGAGAGGAACACACCGGCAAGGTTGGTGACCACCTTAGCGCGAGATTTGGCGGGCAGAAATGAAAACATCGCATATACCATCGCCGCCAAACTCAACTACGATGTCAGCTTGCGAACAACTCCTGATATTGAAAGACAATTTCGGGAGCTCGTCATCCAGCCGTGCAAGAATTGGGATAGGACAGAACCAGCCGTATTCGTGGTCGACGCCCTGAATGAAGGCTTCGACGAGGGCTTGTTACGCGTTTTAACGCGGCAAGTGAAAACACTTCCCCGCTTCTTCCGGATCGTCATCACCTCCCGACCACTGGAAAAAATCCGCGATGCTTTCGGAGACGCGAGCCACATCATTCGGCATTCCCTTAATATAACAGACAAGCAAAATGGACAGGACGTACAGACCTACCTTCGTCAGCGGCTGACCGCCGTGTCCATCAAACGGTGTCTGGGACAACAGTGGCCCACACCGTCTGTGTTCAATGAACTGGTAGCACAATCTGAGGGCTTGTTCCAATGGGCATTCACCATCACCGAATACCTAAGAAAGTGCATGAATCCGATTCGGCAATTGGACCTCATTATTTCACTCCAAGGCATTCCGTCCGTCGCCAGTCGTATGGACCAGCTGTACGCTACCGTACTTGATGGGACTGGGGGAAAAGATGACGAAGATTTCGTAAACGCTTATCAAATGTTTATGGGTTCCATCTTGGCCGCCAAAGAACCACTGACCCTGTCGGCAATGCGGCTGCTGCACGGCAATAGGAATGTCGATCCGACCGAGCTTCTCGAGCGGATAAGTTCCTTCGTCGTTGGATTCGATGGCGAGCATGAACCCATTCGAATTTTGCATCTGTCACTCCGGGAATATCTGATGGACAGAGCTGCTCCACCATATCGACTGTCTCGGAGCAAGAGCAGTCAACAGCTCGCTTTTCTCTGCATGCCAGCCATCAACGATCACCTAAGTGAGGTGGTTGTCATGTCAAAGCAGAAACGACGCTCGCGTTCTGAGAGCCTGATCCCATCGAATTCCCCAGACTTGATGTGGGACGGTCTTTATTACGCAATCAGCTTTTGGGACCGCCATCTTCTTGACGCTCGCGACCCCACCCCGGAGTTTATGTCTGCATTAGAGGTACTCCTGGACGAACATCTGCAAGATCTGGTGTCCGTTACAATCGCTTTGGGCGCTTATAAAGGCTTATCTGATGTGAGACGATGGCTGCAGGTGTGTTATTTATTCGAGTTTGATTACTTAGCTAATGATTTAGAAACTCGGTCCCAAGGGAAAGCAATCCCTTCTCCGGATATCAGATGACTACTGGGTCTCCTGATACTCTTGGGCTTCTGAAGTTCTGTGGCACAACAATCGCTTGGAAGAAGCATGCGCCGCGGTTGAGGACGGCATCGCGGCGGCCATAGGCATTTTGGACAGCGGAAGTGCCAATGCCTCTTTTGCCGAAGCTGCCGACGCAAGAACGCCCGTCGGTGCAACCCCGTTTCGTCGCTTGGCTGAAGTGACCAAACTCGCCGTAAAGCATCTACACGGGGCTTCCTCTACCTTCTCAACAGAACGAATGGCTAGGACGATTGTTTGTCTCGATCGGTTGGCCGTTCTCACTGCGGTTGAGTACCCAAAGGAAGCATGTCAAGCCTTGAACGAAGCCTCTAACCTTCGCCGTGTACTCCATGTCGCCAATCCGCAAATGTACTGTGCTCTCGTCGCCTGGCCGATCGGCCTTCTTCCCCTCCCCCTTCCCCCCCCGCCCCTGGAATCAACTGCTTCAGCATTCCCTGGTAAACATACGTGCATCGCTTGTGAGCATGTCTGAGCCGGTGGCGAACACATCTATCATCCTGCAATGCAAACCGCCGGACATTGCTCAGCAAAGCCATTTGAGAACTTCAACACTCATCTTCGGTTCGTTCCTCACCTGGGCGCTCTCCACCCAATCATCCCGTCTAGCCGAGGCGGAGCGCTACCCAGAGGCGCTGCTTGCCGCGCAAGAGTGCGTAGCTCTGCAGCGTCATCTCGCAGAGCACGAGCTCGAAGCGACAATCTGGCATGATCGTGCTCTGGTTCGGCAGTTGCAAAACCTGGCATGGCGATACCTCGACGCTGGTTACAATGCAGAAGCGCTAGAAACGGACGAGGAAGCCCGCACGCTCGAGCGACGGCTAGTTAAAGACCCATCAAGGTTGCACATTCCCAAGCTGAAACGCTCCCAGTCCCTGAAGAGCATTTCTGAGCTGAGTCGCTCCCTGTCCAAGAAAGGCACACAAGTGAAAGCGGGCGACCAGAGAGGGGAAGTGGGCTTGCCGAGGCAAAGGTTTGCTCTTCATCAGAATCTGGTCCGGAAGCAGTGCATGCAGATAAACTGGCACTCATCATTGCCCATACACCTCCTATGAGGCGTCAGGAGTGGGGGGAGAAGCAGAAAACGGCCCTTCGGAAGGAGAATAACTGCATCCTGAGAAATATTGGTCCTCTCATTTATTGTATTTATTAAGACCGTGTCAGTGTAACCCATTTCTGTACCGCTTGATATATCCTATAAATTGCTATGTACACTTGAAGTGTTAGACTTACCCGCATATTGGGCCGCGGTCACGTGACATATGTTGGGACTCTTCTGGACTGTACTAGTGGTTAGAAGACTCCCCGTTACTGCTCTTGCACTTGTTCCTGCATTAGTTGTTGGGCTTGGGCGGCCGGTGGGACTCCGGATGATGCTGGTGTAGGGTTGGCACGATTGCGCGAAGGAGCTGTCCCATACCTGTACTATAGCCAAAATCCAACAGCCTGGGAACACTGCAGCCAACAGAAGACACAGAGAAAGCCGTAATGTGCATATACCGGAAGGCGGAAATCACATTCGCTCTCTCTATATGCAAAAGAATTTTCTGTTGGAGAGACTGAAACTGAGGCAGAGGGCCGAAAGCAGACAACGGCCCTGTGGAAGGATACATGTAGCAAGCTATTTCCTACCTGTAGACCTGTGAAGAGTACAGTACTGTATATTCACCACTCTCTGTATCTGAAAACCTGGAAAGCTAGAAACGAGTTTGTGCAGACTGGTGTGCAAGAAATCCATTCTGATACACGTGTATGTGTATGTGAGGGACTCCCACCTGTGGAGAAAAAAGGTAGTGGGAATGTGATTGGTTGAAGACCCCCCTGCAGAATGACACCGATGACCTGCTCTAGACTGGGACTGAGCCAATAGTCAACAGAGAGAAAGCCGTAATGTGCATAAGCCGAAGGCGGAGATTACATTCCCTCTATCTATCCAGAAGGTTTTGGCAGTACGTAGTACGACGATACGGAGGACGATACGGAGGACGATACGGAGGACGACACGATACGGGGCGGTACGAAGGTGATCGTAGGTACTGTAGGTAGGCAGTCAAGGTGAGATGGGCGGTAGAGACATGCGAGCGAGCGAGAAAGGCAGGACAGGACAGGACAGGATGCAAGACGCGACATGACACAGGACATGGGAAATAGGAAGGTAGAGTAGGACGGAACGAATACGATAGGCAAGAGATCGACGTTCTGAAGCAGGACGCAGGAAGCAAGCCGCAGGACGCTCAGCAGGAAGCTCGAAGCAAGACGCTCCGAAGCGAAAGGCAGGGAGCTGGAAGCTTCAAGCAGGAAAAGGAATCAGTTACCAGTTCCCGCCATACCCCCCCCCTCCTCCTCCTCCACCGGAGCCGCCTGTCCTGCCTCTCCCATACCCTCCTCCTCCCGCCCCATACCCACCGCCCTGTCTCCCTCCATACCCTCCACCGCCACCACCCCCCTGTCTCCCAGCCCCGTACCCCCCACCCCCTTGCCTCCTATACCCCCCACCCCACTGTCTCTGCCCCCCCCCTCCCCGATTCCCCCGAGCATCCCTAGCCATCTGCACCAACCACATCTCCGGTTCCTGACCCGCGCTCTCAATCACTTTGATAAGCCCATCAGCGCGGGGTGCGTCCTCGTCCGTGAGGAAAGAGAGCGCTTCGCCCTTGGAGCCGGCGCGCCCTGTGCGGCCGATTCGGTGGACGTAGTCTTCGGGGTTGTTGGGGATGTCGTAGTTTATTACTGTGTGGACGTCTTTTACGTCTAGGGGGGTGTTAGTTGGGAGAAAAGGAGAGGGGTGATGAGACCAGGACGGGGAAGGGAAGAAAGAGCGACCACTCGGGGGGGAAAGTGTTTCCCCCGAGGAATGATGGGAATGCTCCGCCGAGAGAGCAGAAAAATGTCCCCAGGCGCCAGAGCGCAAGTTAATCGTCAACCGACGAAAAACTGGTTCATCCCATCCCATCCCATCCCAAGGGCGTGCATGGCATCCCAGAATCCGGCACGGCACCGAAACGAAACGAAACGAAACAAGAAACCGAAGCACAAACAAAACCAAAGACCAAAAACCAAAAACCAAAAAACACAAACAAATCCAACTCACCCAACCCCCTCGCACAAACGTCCGTAGCAACAAGCACCTGCGCCTTGCCAGCTCTAAAATGTCCAATACTCCTATCCCTCGCATCCTGCGTCTTATCCCCATGTATAGTAACCACCGGGTAACCCCCCTGGCTCAAGCCCTGATGGAGCATATCCGCCGTCAGTTTGGTACCGACGAAGATGATGATTTTGGCTTGTTTTTGGGCGGTTAGGATACGGACGAGGTGGTTTTGCAGCGCCATGGGTTTCCCGGAGGACTCGACGTGCTCTGTCCGCTGGAGGACGTTCTTGTTCGCCTCCAATTCATGCGAGCCCACAGTGACATGCACATGCCCCCCCGGGTTAATAAAGTCCCTAGCAAGAGACTGTACCTCTTTGGGCCACGTGGCGCTCCAGAGCAGGGTTTGGCGGTTCGGGGGGAGGTGCTCGACTATTTGCCGGATTTGGGGCTCGAAGCCCATGTCGAGCATACGGTCGGCTTCGTCCATTACGAGATAGGAGATGCGGGAGAGGTTGAGGATGTTTGACTGGGGGGGGGGGGTTAGCGGGGGAGCAGGGGTAGGGAAGGGAAGTAGTTTGGGGAGGGAAGGGAAGCAGTTTGGGGAGGGAAAGGAAGTTGTGGGAAGTTGTGGGGATGGACGCACTTGGATCAGATCGTTCAGCCTTCCAGGAGTAGCGACGACCACATCTGCGCCCCTCCTCAAATTATTCATCTGCATCCTCTTATCCGCCCCTCCATAAACCGGTACGACCGCCATCCTACAACTCAGCATATACTTCCCCGCTTCAGCCGCGATCTGCGTTGCCAGTTCCCTAGTAGGCGCCAGTATAAGCGCCGAGGGAGAGATACCGAAGCCGGAGGAAGTAGATTGGCCTGGACGCCAGGAAGGCTGAGCTCGCAGGTGAGCGATGGCGGGGAGGATGTAGGACAGTGTTTTGCCAGACCCGGTTTGGGCGACGCCGATTAGGTCCTTTCCGGAGAGGACGATGGGCCAGGTTTGGGCTTGGATGGGCGTTGGAGTCGGGAAGCCGGTTTTGCGGAGGGTGTTGTGCAGTTCCTCTGGGTATTGGTTAGCAGGGAATGGGGGACGGGGGACGGGGGACGCACGGGGTATACATTCCAGTTCTTCAAAGGTCAACACAGGCTTCCTCAGCTCCGTCGCGCCTCCAGGCTCGTGCCCATTTCCCAACCTAATAGTCATCTCGTTCTCCTTCAAGAACGCATCCACATCATGCATCGTCCTCTGACCCGTGGCCTCACTCTCGGTATAGACGTCCTTGACGAGCTCCATCGCTGCTGTTTTTTTGCCTGAAGGGACGTACTCTGTTGGGAATGAGGATTTGCGAGGAGGAAGGGAGGAGGAGGGGTAGGAGAGCGTGCCACCGGCATGGGCGTGCCCTGTGGGGGAAGCGAAGGGGTTTGAAGGACGGGCATTGGGGGCGCTGTGGACTAGAGGAGAGATGTGAAATGAGCGGAGGTTGAGTTGCCTGAGATAACGGAGAGAGGCGAGCGCAGTGGATGGCTTTGGGAGTGAACGTCTGAACATGATTGCACGCCAGAGGGAGGGAGGGGAGGGGGAGGGGGAGGGGGAGGGAAGGGAGGGAGGGGAAAAGCAGGTAAAGTTGAGAGTGATAAAATATTTGAATCCGGTACAGCCACCGGAAAGAGTCGGATATTCACGTGCAATAATAGGGCAGTACGCAGTCTACATCGCACACGGGAATGAACTCCGATACACTTCGACTCTACTCTACTCTACACTCACTCGTCGATGACAACACCATGGAAGAAAGGAGAGAGGAGATGGATTGGAGAAGTACAAGATCAGTGGGTTATGTACTCGTGAGTCCACTGCCTTACTAGTACTCTTGCTGCACCCCACTTCTTCATGGCCTGTTATGGAACGCTTGATTCTCTTTATGCATTGGTCATTCATCATTTGCTGACATTCTCTTCTACTCGACTCCCTCCAATTCCCACAACGCTCCCACTCAACTCCCCTAACCCACGTTGCCTACGATGCACAGCGACAACCCAACCGACTACACCCTCCACGCACCAATAGGCTACGGCTCAACCTCCGTCGTCTATCTCTCATCGTACCACCCCCCCTCCTCCTCCTCCCCCTCCCAGCCCCTAGCCTGCGCCGTAAAACTCATAAACCTCGACCTCCTCCCCCCCCAATCCCTACACCAGCTCACACAAGAAACCCGGCTCATGTCCCTCTCCAAACACCCAAATGTCCTCCGCGTCCGTGGCAGCTGGACAGAGGGGAGTAGATTGTATATCGCTATGCGCCTGATGAGGAAGGGCAGTGTGGCGGATCTGATGGCGTATAGGTATCAGGGTGGGCTGGCAGAGGACGTTTGTCGGTGTATACTAAAACAAGCATTAGAGGGGCTCAAGTACGTCTCCCTCCATCTTCCCTCCCTCTCCCTCTCCATCCCCACTTTCGGCGAAATCGACAGCGACTGACTTATGCGTCCCAGATACCTCCACGTAAACGGGTTCATACACCGGGATGTCAAAGCCGCGAATTTGCTCATCGACGATGACGGTACTGTCCTCCTCGGCGATCTGGGAGTGGCAGTGTCAACACTGGACGATGTCCCTTCCCCGACTAGTACTACCTTTTCCAGCTCTACCTTCTCCACCAGCATCGGCACCAGCACCGGCACTGGCGCAGGCACCGGTACTGGCACCGGTAATGGTACCGCCACTGCACGTCCCCGGATAAGGAAACGGAGTTTTGTAGGAACGCCGAGCTGGATGGCCCCGGAGGTCATAAGAAGGCAGGCGTATGACAGTTCTGGTGCGTCCTCCCCTGCTCTTCCACCTTCCCCAACTTCCCCTACCTCACTCGCTTCTTGCCTCTCCCTTCTTGCCACCCCCTTCTTGACTCTCCCTTCTTGACTCTCCCTTCTTGACTCTCCCCCTCCCCCTCGCCCCTCCCCCTCGCCCCTCCCCCTCGCTTCCTGCCTCCCTCGTTCCTAACCCCCCCAAAGCAGACATCTGGTCCTTCGGAATCCTAAGCCTCGAATTAACACGCGGTCGAGCCCCTTACTCCCGTCTCCCCCCCTCCCGCATCCTCTCCCAAATCCTCACTCTCCCCCCTCCCACACTTCTCCTCACCGGGGGAGTTTACACCTACACCCCGCAATTCGCTGACATCATCTCCCTCTGCCTTTCCCCAGACCCGGGAGCGAGACCCGGAGCGGGGGAGTTGCTGGATAAGGCGTGGTTTAGGCAAGCGAGGAAGAAGGCGTTCTTGGTTGGGAGTGTGCTTCAAGGGCTGCCCCCGCTGGAGGAGAGGTTGGTGAGGAGGGGGGAGGGAGATGGGGGGGG